ATGATCGAGCTGTGGGATTCACTCAAAGAACAGCTGGAGACAGCAAAGGAGTCGAGAGAGAGATGGGAATGGATGGAGGACTTGAAGAGGCTGCCCATGTACATAAGGGGACAGAAGGGGCAAAATGTATCCATTAATGTTCAACTAGAGATGCTGGACACTTGGGAGACACATGCGGTAAAAGCCTTAGTAGACAGCGGGGCCACCGGCAGTTCCATAGACCACACCTGGGCCCACAATCATGCTCTCAACCTCAAAAAGGTGGCCCGTCCTGTTCCAGTCTATAATGCCAACAGCACTAGGAACAAGGGAGGGGACATCACTGAGTATGCCAAGGTGCGATTATGGATTGGGGATCACGTGGAAAGGATCGAACTAGCTGTGGTAGACCTAGGCACCACACCCCTTTTCCTTGGGCATGATTGGCTACAGAGACATAATCCGCTGATCGATTGGGACACCGGGGCGGTTACTCTAGCCCACTGCACCTGTCGAAAAATCCCCTTTCACCTACCAGATGTGGATCCCTCAGCCCATTGGGATGAATATGAAGAAGGAGATACAATCTTGGTAATAGACTTTGAAGAAGCCTTCCATGTACAAGCCATGGGGACTAAGGCTAACGATCTAGCCACCCAGGCCAACGCAAAAAAGACCACCAAATCCTTTGAGGAAATCGTGCCGGAAGAATACCAAGACTTTAAGGACGTCTTCGACAAGGAGAGCTTCGATGAGCTTCTCCCTCGAAAACCCTGGGATCATGCCATTGAATTGATCCCTAATGCTAATGCTAATCTAGATTGTAAAGTCTACCCTCTTAATCTGGCAGAGCAGGAGGAGCTAGATAAATTCCTTGATGAAAACCTTTCTACTGGTCGTATTCAGCCGTCAAAGTCTCCCATGGCGTCGCCTTTCTTCTTCATCAAAAAGAAAGATGGAAAGCTTCACCCGGTGCAGGATTACCGAAAGTTAAACGAAATGACTATTAAAAATCGGTACCCTCTACCCCTTATCGGAGAACTCATGGATAGGCTGAAGAAGGCCAAGTACTTCACCAAGCTGGACATGAGATGGGGCTATAATAATGTCTGCATCAAACAGGGTGACGAATGGAAAGCGGCATTTCGTACCAACCGCGGACTTTATGAACCCCTGGTAATGTTCTTTGGACTCACAAACTCCCCCGCTACCTTCCAATGGATGATGAATGACATCTTTAAAGATCTCATCAATGCTGGGGAGGTGTCGGTATACCTCGACGACATTTTGATTGCGTCCAAGACCAAAGCCGAACACAAATGCATAGTATGAAAGGTGTTGGAGAGACTTCAAGCCCACAATCTTTTCCTCAAGGCTGAAAAGTGTGAGTTCGAAGTCAAAGAAACGGAATACTTAGGGGTAATCGTCAGTGAGGGGAAGATTCAAATGGACCCCGTGAAAGTCGCTGGACTACTGGAGTGGCCTATTCCTTGCAAGAAGCAGGAGCTGCAGTCCTTTTTGGGATTCTGCAATTTCTACCAGAGGTTTATATGTGACTACAGCAAACACGTTAAACCTCTAACCTCGCTCACAGGAAAGGCTGAATGGAAATGGGGGGAAGCCCAACAAAAAGTGTTTGAGAAGCTGAAAGAATTGTTTTGTGAAGATGTAGTGCTCGCAATACCGTTAGACGAGGGAAAGTTCCGAGTGGAAGCGGACTCCAGTGAAGGAGCGGTCGGAGCCGTGCTATCTCAATGGCAGGATGAGAAGTGGTGACCAGTGGCCTTTCTTTCCAAAGCCCTATCCGTCACTGAGCGCAACTATGAAATTTATGACAAGGAACTGTTGGCCATCATGATAGCCTTGGAAGAGTGGTGACAATACCTCATGGGGGCCAGGGAAGACTTCAAAATTTGGACAGATCATTCCAACCTGCAGTACTTCCACAAGCCGCAAAAGCTGAACCGCAGGCAAGCATGGTGGGTAACAGAGCTGGTGGAGTACCAATTTACGCTTCACCACAAACCCAGGGCCCAAAACCACAAAGTGGATCTATTGTCTAGACAAGCAGACCACGATCAAGGCAAGGAGGATAACTGGGATGTAACTGTCCTGAAGGCCGAACACTTTCAGGGCCTTGATCATGCCTACGCAGGAAGAGCTGCATGAAAAAATCAAGTTGGCCACTCACAACCCCCGTAAATGGGATCGAGGTATTTCAGACTCCCTTAACCATGAAAAGGGGGTCTCTCGAGACCAGGAGCTCCTTTGGTATGATGGGCGCATCTATGTCCCGATGGATCGACAGTTACAGGGAGAAATCATAGCCCTATGACATGACCACATAATGGCGGGGCACCCTGGTATAGAGAAAACCAAGGAACTCATTTTATGAGACTATTGGTGGCCTCGAATGCGCCGAGAGGTGGAGGCATATGTGAAGGGATGTGAAGTCTGCCAACGAACCAAAGCAGATCGCCGCCCAAAGAAAGCCCCTCTCCACCCGAACAAGGTCCCAACTAGGCCATGGACTCATGTCTCAGTTGACATGATCACCAAGCTCCCTAACTCGAAGGGGTATGACTCCATTCTCGTCATAGTCGACAGATTTTCCAAGACAATAATTCCGATCGCATGCACTGAGGAACTTACCTCCCTCGGTTTTGCCAAAATCCTACGAGATCACGTCTACGTGCCCTACAGGGTGATGCCCAAAAAGGTCATCTCAGATAGGGGAGCCATCTTTGTATCCAAGTTCATGAAGGAATTCTACAAACTTGTTCACCTCACTGGGAACCCTTCCACTGCTTATCATCCTCAAACAGATGGACAGATGGAACAGGTTAACCAGGAAATTGAAAAGTACCTCAGAATGTTCATGAACTATTGACAGGATGACTGGAGCGAATGGCTACCATTAGCTGCGTTCACTCACAACAATCGAAAGCATTCGGCAACTGGCTTTTCTCCCTATAAAGTGGTTTTTGGAAGGGACGGGCAAGTCATCAAGATGGCCCAATGCCCCGACGTCGTCCCAGCTGTCTCAAAGCTGGTCCAGGGTATACAAAAGGTGCAGGAAAAGGCAAAAGATTCTTTGGAGCAGGCAGCCGAATCAATGAAGAAGGCCTATGACAAGCATAAGGACAAAGCCGTTGAATACCAAGTTGGCGATAAGGTATGGTTGGATTCTACCAACCTAAACCTTCCTCATCCAACCAAGAAACTTGGAGATCACCGAGTAGGACCTTTCACCGTCATGGCCAAAAAAGGGGCCTCCGCCTATGAACTAAAACTTCCGGTGGGGTGGAAAATTCATAATCGATTCAACGAATCCCTCCTGACCCCATATCACGCTCCCGAATTCCCCAATCAACCATGTCCTGAAAGACCACCTCCAGAACTAATCGATGATGAGGAAGAATATGAGATTGAAGAAATCGTGGAACAGTGAGATAAAGTCATTGGTCGAGGACGAACTAGGTGCACAATAACCGAGTACCTGGTAAAGTGGAAAGGATACCCGGCAGAAGAAAACTCTTGGGTAAAAAGATCCAATATGGCCAATGCAGAAACGCTGGTCAACGAGTACGAGGCAAAAGTCCGGCGAATAAAAGGGAAGATTGAAAGGGCCGACGAGGGACTATCATACAACAGCGATACCCAACAAGACTCTTATCCCTCTTCCCCTTCTTCGCAATTAATTGACTTGGTAGCCTAAAATTGGCACCCGGCATTTAACCCAGAACTAGAAGCTGACTTCTTACAAAGCAAATGGCCCATGGTCACCACAGATGAAGCGGACGGAGTACCGATGGTGGAGGAAGAGGACACCGAGGAAGAGGTAAACCTCCAAAACCTCCAACGAATTCATGAAAACTGGAATGATGAGGACAAGGACAATGATATCCCATCATTCTACTCTGAATCCAAACACTCCACTTCAGACAGCAACGAGTGGGAGTCTGAGGACTCATTTGGGACAAACAAGTCTTAAGAGGGGGGTAATGTTACGGTTTATTCATTTTTCTTTGTTTTACTCAGCCTGATTACTCATATGCGATCACCACGGACAGTTTCTCACAGTACTATTATTAGCATAGCCAAGTGTATTTAAGTGACGCCTTAGCTGGGTTAAACCCCAGCTTCAGCTAAGGTTTAATCTACCCAACTCAAAGCTCCTTGTTTTGCGACTATCTAAGTCCTCGATTGACTTCACACATCTCCTTTGACCTCTAAGAGCATTGTCCACTGAAGTGCGAGTGGCGATCCTTAGTTGATCTAAGTCGATTAAAGTTGGTTGTTGACATCCATGCTCCCTGCATGCTAAAATGCTAGTCTTAGTTAAGTAGATCATCAGTAACGACCTATCGTCGCAGGTCAGGATCAACGACACCCCAGCCTGCATTACGACGAGACATGCTTGCTGTACCAACAGGGTGCCAGAGCGTGTCAGCTCCTTCATGAATGGCGGCTTCGGTAGTGTTCGACATGAACTCGAGGATGTATCCATCCCATGCAGGGGGCAGTGACAGATCTCTCAGACACGTTTATGGTGGCTTGCATGATAGTCAAGTCCTGGGGGTGCCCGAGGAGGTTGGGGTTGATGAGCGGAGGGTCGAGAGGGTTCGTGCTGTTAATGGTGATGTCTCCACCTGGTATGTCCCTTGTGAGATGAGAGGAAAAGAGGAAGGAGTTGAAACATACGTGCTAGAGAGCAGACTACTATCGCTAGTATCGTGAAGTAGTTGCCAGTGGGTGGGATGGGCTCTTGAGGGATACCATTCTATACTCGCCTTCAGTAATGGAATGCAATGAAAGCCGAGAGAATAGTTACTCGCTGAGAAAATCAGCTCAAAGTGTGCCATCTCATCGCCTGAACATGGCGCATCATCCAGCAGACCTTCAGGTACCCTCAAGAAACCTAACTGATTCCCTGAAGTACTCACGATATATCCTGTATGGTTTGCCTCCCATTCGGCGAGTGCCTCCTCTGGAACAGTCTCATTTTGCAAGTGAATGTTCTAGATGGTGTCCGTGCTATTGATGGTCCAAGCTAAAGCATACCTCGGGTGATCAGTGAGGTTCTTCCTGACATCAGGGAGATGCACAGTAGGAGTAATGCCAACAGAACTGAGTTTGTCAGCGTCGCCGATACCTGAGTAGAGAAGGATATGCGGTGTCCTGATAGATCCAGCGGAGAGAAGGATTTCTTTGGCAGGCGAAAGGGTATATATTATTTCTTGTGACAGATGTCAGATTTCGGTCAGAATAGTATAGAGAGTCATTGCCTACCTCCAGCATCTTGGGTAAATTCCACGGTATCGAAGGTCTTCACACCTTTAGTAGTGCAATTGGATTCGAGGATTCAGGTTGCATGGCTGTGGATGAGGATGTACAAGTTCGGCCTACTCAGGTATTTCAGTCCAGTTTCTGAGCTAATTTGAGTGCCATTGTGAACTGTCGATTGTTCCCAACCTGTAGAGCACGTAAAATCAAACTATGGCACGTTCTAGGGAGAATCAACACCTACCAATACCCAAATGGTAGCCAGAGTTATAATCTTCGTTGAAGGGGAATTTGTCTGGTAGATCTGCCATAGCCTGGATCATATGCGAGTCCATAGCCCGAGAGTATCCTGGAAGCGCAACAGAGAGAAGCCCGTCGAAACCATGATCCTCTGGGATAAACTCCCCAGTGATATTACGGTAGTCGATCGGAGTAGTAAATTGTTCCGACTATGCATATGATGAAATTAATTATGAACCGACAAGCTACGCGTAAAGCTGGACTGACCTTGAGAATATATGGTTCCAGCTCCACCCATCATATCAGGTTCTTGATCATTGTGTGCCTGCACAAATATCACTACAACAACAAACTGATTAGCAGGAAACAACATACTTGAGCAATACAAGACACAAAGTCAAATCGCGTTCTGGAACCGAACCTAAAAAGAAAAAGAATCATGCTAAAGGATGGCAGTGAAAGGAAAGAAAAGGAAAGGCATCTGCGAACACCATCAACAGTTCGTCGACCAATAGGGAGAAGTCGGAAAGACAGGGTTTTTTAGCCACAGCGGCAATCACTTTCAGCCACCCGGCATGCCAGCCGTAGCGTGCCGCATGCTCGCCAATCACCGCAAATTAGCTAAGCCAACCCGGAGTATAGCCCCTGTCCAGACAGTTTGGCACTACTCACGACCAGTTACGGCTTTCTATAACCCTCTGTCGTTTCCTCATTCTTCGGAAAGAATCGGGGAAGTTGGAAGTTGCCGGATTTGCAACACAGCCACTGAGACTGTCCTTTTTGTTCTTTCGTCTTTCTCGCGCAGTCGCCCACCTTTATTTGCATTTTCAGCAATCCAACGGCTTTTGGGAGGGGCTGGTGCTGTTACGCTCGATATCTCACTTCCTTTCTCTCCCTCTTGGCCTATCACTACGAAAATTCTGCGTTGTTCTGCTAATCGGATTGTTCGTCCTTTCATGGAGATTTGTCTCTCTCCGACGCATGAGCACCCGGGAATCAAAGATGCCTATATGCATCTTTCGATTAACTTACCAGTCGTCTCATCCAGGCCCCCCAGAAGGGCTGCCAAACTTGGTCGCGTAAATTCATGGAAATTAGACCTCCAATATTTGGGTAGTCTCTCGGGCAAAGCTCTTCGGCCGAGGCTGCCCATTAGGCTGCCAGGTCCACTTTCAAAATCGTCTTTTTTACCAACCTTTGCCAACTTCGGTGCTCTACGGAAGGATCGGGCGAGGGAGGAATTTTGTTTTATTAGTGGTAGGTGAGGAAATTTGGGAACAGGGAGTGACTTTCTGATGATTTTTGTCTCAGTTTCCACTATCTAAAGTATGGACCCTGTTCATTAGGGCTATCCCTGACCTTCCCACTCATGCCCGCTGCCCGAAATATGCTAGATTCGTACTGAGTTTGACAGCTTTTACCTTTTCTTTTGCGATCTCGATGTCCAAGAACTTTGTAGAAATTGACGTCGATGGTAAATGTTGGGGACTTTTTTTTATGGTGGGTCTTGTGCTATGTATCCGAAGACACTTCTTGCTGACTGTATTCCTTGGGCAGGTAGCTAATCTACAGGGAATAACCAGTGGATCAAGTATAGAGCGCCGCCTTGAACAACGATTGGAAATATATTTGAGAGAGTAAGCGTAGTTCTAATATTTATAATGCATTTTCACAGTACTAATTTGCTGGTCGAACGTACAGTTCCACAGAACTGCCGTAGCTTGAATGTCCTGAACGAATAGATCCATATGGCGTTGAACACAAGTAGTATTTCGACGGAGCTTAGCCTACATGCACCTTTGCACATCAGTACGGCATCGGAGCCGCAACGGTCTCCTTCGCAAAGGTGGTCGATGCGCCGCCCGGCGATATTCCGCTCATCGAAGTGACACTTAGAAAATCATTCTCTCAATTTTATTAAACCACCTTGGCCTGAATTTAGACTATAATCGCACCGTGACGAAAGCCATATCAATCGAATCTCACGACTGACATGTTCGACGTGTGTCGATCTTTCGAGCATTCAAAATCTACCTACCCTTCCCCCGCCCGCCCTTCTCCAGATTACTGCACTGCTCCCTAGGACGCGTGGTATCCCTCGACGCGTCAGTCACGGAGACATCCGACGATCGAGGAAAGATCGGGGAGTATAAAAGCAGCCATGGATCGGGAAATCCAACATTAGCAATCTTAATTCGGAACAGTCACCATGGTACTGTGCTCAGCACTTATACTCTCGTCCTTCTTGTTCTTTTTTTCTACTACGTCTCTATACGGGGCGTCCATCTCCACCACTGACATCGGTCTGTGGTGGAAAGGACTCTCTGTCATAGCAGACAAAATCGTCTGCGGCGTTCCCGGTGGAATCATGGATCTCAATTCGAGGTTGACCTCCCTCGAGGATAGCCTGTCTCGGATCGTTGATATCGACGTCGTTGAGCCAATCGTCGTCGAGAGTATGGTTCCTGTAGCAGCTTCCGAACCTTCCTCGACGCCTATTGATTCCCCGCCTAATGAAGATTTCGTCGAGCCTCGCTCAGTTCGTCTCGCGCCTATGGTCACACAGACTCCGTCAAACTCGAAGACATTCCCGGTGTTAACGCTCTTGGCGTTATTCTTCGTGGTCTGTGCCGTCGTGGTGGTTCTCAGCAGGGCGTTCAAGCCGTCCCAGCATCGTCCTGCATCTACTCCGGTGTACGTCCCAAGATCATCTCCGGTCCCTGGTTCCAGCGGACGAACATTGTTCTTTGCGCTCGTCTTCGCTGTCATGGTCGCCATTGCTCTTGGTCTCCTTCTCGTCCAGGATCTTCTCTCTGAGAATCATTCCGCGTCTGTCGACGGCCTCCGTGTTGCTGTGTTCACACACGTAGGAATGACGGGAGTCTATGTCCTGGTCTCTGCCGTGTTGGACATGCTGGAGAGACGTCTAGCAACTGAAGGAAGTGGTATTGGCCAAGGCGAGGCTGCCGCCGCAGAGGATACACTTGCAGGAAGACACGGAGAACGTGACATAGGCTCATTGTTGATTTCGGATGTTCAGGTGAGTGTCGTATATCATGATATAATCCACATTGATTCATTTTTCCTTCCAGACATCAACAGGCACGGTGTCGTTCCCATCTGGAAACCTTGGACACAGTAGTGCTAGCGCGGTCTACTCGTCAACAAAGTCTACCAATGATCTCGTCTTCAAAGCACCCGACACCCAGGTAAGCATCGCCATTTACCACTATTCAATATACCGACTAGTACTGTATGCGCAACAGATTACCTCTTCTGCCGGCGAGTCCAATTCGGATAAATCAGTATCAAGCTCGTATGCTACGGTCCCGGATCAGAATGCCGTGTCGGATATGATGGCTGGCGTGGAGTATAACGTTTCGGATTCTTTCGAATCGGCTATTCGTTCAATGGCTAGTCGAGAAGTGAGTACGCCAAACAACTATCCGACGGTCACTGACATTTCTGCTTTCAGGACTTGCAGGGAGAGGTATCCCTAGTTTCATTCCCAACCATCGGTTCTTTCATATGTCATACCCCCCAGCTGGATAAACTCCGCTCAGACCTTGCTGAGCTTGAAGAGGGCCTAGAGGTGAGCTTCGGATTGTTTCTATTGGTGAACGTGCTAATGCATAGCTTGTAGAATATGCCGCCCTTAACGTCCTTATTTTCGATGATGGATCTTCGGAAATTAGAGTCGACTAAGTTAAGCGTGCCTCCAGTTGTCAAGGAACCGACACGATGTACATCCTCATGCGATGACTCCTCCGCAATGAGTAAAGTGAGTCCTTACATACTATGGTCATATCCACAATTGCTCATTATCACATTCAGGATATTTGGGCAAAGGAATTTCTCCAGAAATATGTGTCTGATGAAAACCTCGATGACGACGCATATCTCGCTTTACTGTCCGCGCTTTTCACAAAGAGTGCTCTTGCGAAACACAAGCCTGGACTGTGTAAAGAACCGGTGAGCATAGTCAATTGGAAATTATTACCGGTCACTGATCTTGGGCCAATTTCGCAGTCGACGGGTGGAGTTGTTGAAGAAAACCCCCCGTACATCTCTTTGGGTCACGGTTGGCCTTCATGGATCAAGGTGAGTTCCGACTTGGAATATGATATCCACAAATTGTTCATTATCACATTTAGCACGTGTGGATTAAGGATTTTTTGTGCCGATTTGTATCGGATGAAATGCTCGCCAACGATGCTTATCTTGCCCTGAAGTCTGTGATCCCTGCAGAGGCTGCTGTTGAGGAACAAGAACCTGAGCCCGAGTTGCTTGAGGATTCGGTGAGAATCTTCACTTGATTAGTATGATGCAACTGCTGATGGGTGATATTGTCTAGGTCAAGTCCACGGTCCGCTCACTGGAGCGGCCGTCCAACCCGGTCTTAGGCACTCTATCCTCAAGCTCATCTGTTAATGATGATAGATTGAAGGACTCATTTAAGGTGCCGGCAGTCACGCCTTATCCTAAGCGTGTGCCTTCCCCATCTCGCATTCCATCCCCTGCTCGGCGAAAGGGGATACCGCCTATATCCCGGGGTCAGATATCTGGATCACCGTGCGGTGGTGGACCGACCTCCTCTCGCCCTCCACTATCGGCTGGGAGGAGGCAACGACTGGGAAAGGAAATTTCATCCACCCCTTCGTTGCGTCCCAACCAGCGAATCTTGAACCCATGCCGTTCCCCCCTCGGTGCGCCTATGATGCGCCAGTGGGATGAAAGCGGCCGCTCTATGCGTCGGGCACGCCCCTGCGTGAGTTTTCATTCGACTCGAATGTGTTTTCATCCTTCTAACTTTATTCCCAGCTGTCCCGTTCTAAATCTCCTTGATGAACCTACCACCATGATACACCAACGGGCGCTTAGAGATGACGAGGATATTGACTTTACAAACTATCAGTATCCTGTCGCAGCGTTGAATCTTAGGGATGATCAGCGGTGCATCGGGGTCGACGGGCTCTGGTGCATGCAGCTGGTCACCGGAGGAGGGCTGGTTCGCTGACGAGCTTATCAGTCCTTCCTCTATCCCTGGCATACGAGGAACCTTGGAGACGGTGTGGTCGACGGGCTATCACTGTTCTCTGAGGGCCTCGGAAGGATGGTTGGCTGCCGACGGGTAGTTGACTAGTCCTGTTCTGCCTTTCTCAACGCTTTGCGACGACAAACTATTACACCCTACGATATCCTCGTCGTCTCTTACGTTTCGTTGGTTCTCGGTTCTCATCCTCATCTTTGGAAACTCGTTTAGGACACCCGCGCGCGTGCTCGTCGCTTCCGATCTGACTCTCGATCTTTACATCCGACGTGCATATCTCTTCGTCGACATTCTACACCCCCGCCCTATCTTTATTCATATCTATCATTTCGATGCTTTTGGACTTGCATATTTGTCCTTTGGTGCCGCTCTTCAGCCTATCGTCATCACTTCTACTCCCCATATACCCCCGTTTCTTTTTGGATTTTTTTTTCTTGGTTTTCTCTGGGCATTCCTGGTACAGCCTATACCCTCGCGAACTTGCATACATATCATTCGAGGACAGTCTATTTTCATTCCTATCTCCCATCTCTCATCGGGTTCTTGGATTTCTTTCGGTGTTTATACCTTTGTGGGGTTCACGGCAATTTATTATTTTATGATGTGGCTACACTAATTGTGACTGAATTTAAGCCCAATTTCCAGCACTTCTCCCGGGTAAGTAGGAGCAGTACCTGGCCTTCGCTTAGATACTATAACCATCATATCCTTTCTTCGCTGCTAACTTGTCCCCTCTATGTATGAGGCTGATTTCTCTACAGATATTTTGTTGCTGCGTCTCTTCAGATGTAAATGACAAGACTAATCGTTCACTCATTTGTTTTTTGGACTCGCCGTGCGCCTGAATTGAAGGACACGTCTGGGTGTTAGCGCCGCTTCTCAATAATGCTCTCTTTCTGCCAGTGGTAACCAGCTCTCGAAGAGACAAGGCTCTTGTTCTACTGATGAGGAGTCGTATGGCACCAAGGAACGCGATTCAGGCTTAACTACGCCTATCGGTAGATCCTAACTTCCAGTCATTTCCGCTAGGTCCGCGCTAATGAAGTGGCGATCCATCGCCTCCACAGACTTTCAAATGCGTCTCTGTTGGTCAAAGATGATTATGTACACACCGGCTATTCTTTCCAAACGCGACCTCCCAGAACCCTGGAACCTTGCTCATTCTCTACGAAACTCAGCCTCCCGCTCATCCAGCCACACTTCACAAGCTGTGCATCCTCTTCTGAGCCCCTCTCCACATGCTTCCATCGATGAGCTTCTCTGTGTCCCTCCAGGTCGAACGAGGCGGTATTTCAGAGTTATTTCCAGACTTCGCAGGCTTTAGTCATGGGTTGAGCACCGATTGCGAGTATAGAATCAAAACGGCTTCAAGTTGCAAGTTGCCAGGCTCAGCTGAGACCATAGCCTGGAACCCAGGGCGGGGGGTGTACTGATAGGGTCCAAAAGTTGGACCTTTTGAGACTCCGCTTGAAATTTTATAGGGAGGAAATCTCGTCGCCCTGCCATTTTACCATTAAAATCAGCGCATTTTCTCGTCCTCTCTAGGGATCGACACTTTTGTATGTACTCTAGATATCTTGAAATGCATATAGCTTCAATTTATGACCAAACACAGAGGCCCTTGGGGCCCACAAAAACTTTCGGACCCTACCAGTATACCCCCCGCCCTGGGTACCAGGCTTTATACACAGGTACGAGTTCCGCGAGTATCTATAAAGCGGCTTGCCAGGCTACTGAGACCAAGGGGAAGGACGCGATGCCACGTGACGACCAACCTTGTGCTACCCGGGGTCGCGTCGGCTTCTTCTCTTAAGTTACCTTCACCGTCCCAGAAAATTCTTGGTCGGCTCCATGTACAATTTTATTGCGCCGTTCCGACAATGTTTGAAGGAAGTACGTCTCCACTCAACGCTGCACTCATGATGCCGTATCTGACGCGACATTTTTTATTTGGATTTTTATCTATTTTTTTCCCGGTGTTTCGAATTAGTAGAATGGAGCTACAACACGGTATACATTCAGTCAATTGCGAATTCAAGGAAATATTCAGGATGGCTTTTCACAGCGAGAATAGACGTGCCATTTCTACTGACTCCTTGTTTGCAACGATAGGCGGTCATCAATGATCATTTAGGTCGGACTGGGCTACTCTTCACAAGGCGGCACATTGTTCCTCAGCAGCACAAAGTGGATATAATCTGTGGTGCTCCCTACCTTGGATTAGTACACGCGCCATATAGGTGCATGCATAACATCAGATAGCTTGCGCGTCGTACAAATACTCTTTCCTCGGCGGGTGCTAATCGTTTGGTCTCAGGAAGAAGTACTTGTGTTTGTGCCTGGCACATCGCACTGACGGATGAGATTGGCTTCAGCCTCACGCCAGCGAATTCGGAATTCAGGACTGCCTTGATAAATGGATCACCTCGGAGATACAAATCGACACCTATGAGCCTGATAAGTTCATACTTACGATTGTGTACTCGTATTTAATCTGCTTCGTGCCGAGAGTATTGGTGAGCCTTTGTTAAGAGAGGAATTACCACTTAACCAACGTAATAGCTTTGCCATCTCATTCTGGGCGCATATACCCATCATTCATGTCTGTTTCTAGCTGTAATTTCCCATCTCACTTGTCTGTGTACATTTGAACTTATAGGCACCACCTCAAAATCTTTTGTCATGGCAACAAGCTATATAAATCTTCAATATCAGACAAGACGGAGGGCACCCACCTCGAGTCGATAGCACGACGATGTAAGTGCTCATTCGTTTCGCAACTTGACGATGTAAGAGATATCCAATACTCTCAGACGTTTCCCGGGAACCCCGAGCTGCGGTGCTCACGGCTTCCTAGGCCGACAAGTACCACCGGCTCTTTGGCCAGTTTCATCAACCTATCGACCATCGCGAATGGATCAGCGGGCGAAAGTGGATAATGGACTACCATGCGGACAGCCTTCAAGATCTGTCAATGAATTGAGTCAGGGAAGATAACATCAGTGCGATACACTCTGTAGATCCCTATCTGGAGTACGGACGTTGTTACATTTCTGTTCAGGAATACTGACGACTGATACAAAGTACGGTTTCTTTCCTTCCTTCTCACAGCCAATTCAAAATTGACAGTTCATCAAAGTCGATATGCAGCAACGTCTTGTGGACCTGGAGATTTAATGTATATGTCTATTCTTTCGCTCGTCAGTCGCTCTGGTCAAATCTATGAGATGGTTATCATTATTGGGCGATGTCCACAACAAGTTCCTACGCCCAAACGGTCTGCGATGCTACCACGGCTGTTTCTGTTTTACCGGTCAGTACGACGACTGTTACTTCTATGACTTTGAGTCATTGGGCCTTGTCCCCATACTTCGTATTACCTTCATCAGAAGACTACGCGCCGAAATTCTGACTTTGATCACTTACGGATTCATCAATGTCATCTCTTACCCGCGTCTTTCGTCCGCTTGTAGAACAATTGGATGACATGTATCCACTTGAACGTGAGCTGCAAACCTGATGTTTTCATTGTAAATCACTAAACGATTAGCACTCACTTAGGTCCTCGTGTTGCTGTTCAGAAAACTAGCGCAACGTAGTCCATCGCGGAAACATAAAGATTGTGTCGTTCACTCTTTTGAAGCATAGACTTCCAATCCCTCGCCCTGTAACCATCGGCAGAAGTCGGTGCTTCTATGTCAACAAGAAATCTTCACCCCTCCGAAATTAGACCCTATTATCTACGGTTCTGTACCTATCAGTTCCGATGAACCAAAGGACTAGGTCTGTTGTCAAGTGCTATATAAAGGTAGCCACCGAATTCAGCTCACAACTTCTCCGCAAATCTTCACCATGTCAAACGAACAAGTATCAATTGCGCCGCTCAACCAGGCGTTATTGGGAGTCTTCTGTCACGGTCAGTACTATGCCAGCGAATGCACATACAGGATTGCTAAATGGGCTGAGACACAACAGGCATTCACACTTGCATTTTGGCGTTCGCTTTATGGGCGATATGTGTGTTGGTCTCCAATTTCGCAGTACTGTGCATAATATAAACATCGATAGTCTCGAGCAAACAACCCCGATCCAAAACACGAAACATTATGGTTTTCTTGATTATATGCTTGTATATCTTCGCCTCGATTTCTGTCACCACGAACTGGGCTTGGATTATCTACCTCTACATTGGGGAAGGAGACTCTAGCCTTGTGCAGAAGCTTTACCATTGGGCGGGAATCGCACTGGGTATCAATGCTGGCATTGCTGACTGTATCACGGTCTGTAATATTCGTTTTTAGCATGTAGCACTGACTCTTACGCATTGTATAGATCTGGCGTTGTTGGATTATCTGGGGCCGTCATTGGCCATTCGTTATATTGCCAATACTACTACTTCTGGCTCAAGGAGGTACGAGACTGGAACTTCCTTTTTTTATTATATCCCCAACCTCCCTTCACAGTCTCTGGCTGTTTCGCATTCCAACACAACTTGCAAAATACAGTTGTCGGTCACTCGCCATCGGAAGTCAACTGGACAATGATATACCTTTCCTGCTCCTTAGGAACCACACTTTGGTGCACCATACTCATAATCTATCGTATTCTGACGGTCAAGAGGTACACAGACGACAGTACCGGTACGCTCACCTACCGCCGAATCGTCGAGATTCTAGTTGAATCCGCCTCGCTCTATGCCGTCGGCTTAATAGGATACATGGTTTTACTCACTCTCAACGTGGCTACATCTTTTTATCCGCAAACCCTCTACGTTTCAATAACTGTCTGTCTCCATTCCCTCTTTGTGAAGGAATCTCGATACTGACGTCCTATTTTGAAGGCAATCTCACCTACGCTTATCGCGGCACGCGTTGCGTCGGGGAATGCACGTCCCAATGACAGCTGGCAAGCGAGCAACATTGCTTCTTCATTATGGTTTGGGTCGGCGGTTCGCTCGACAAGCATGAATCCTGATGGCGAGTTAACTGCTAATGGGAGTGGTGTTGACCTGGAACACGGTGTATCAGACACGATTTATGATCACGAGCCCGAGAGCGTTGTGAATCCTGGCCAGGGAGCAGACTAGCCGGAGAACAGGAAAAGCAGAGTCGCTTCAAGTCCGTGGTCATGGTGAATATCAAGGACTTTGTTCTATGCACCTCAGAGACGCCCATGCTGTGTCATAGAGTGGTTCGGATTATGTGTTGGTACGAGATTTTTAATGATTCATCTTTTTTAAGTTAGGACAACGGTGTACCTCTGTCTTCGAAATTCTGCAGATCCGTATATGGTAGTCCAAGAGGTTATCTCGCGACAAGGAATCTCTTCCTGAAGTGCATGTCCATCCTTAGTGTTTGGGAGGCTTTGTTCTCTTGGACAAGACTAGTTGAGCCAAGCCCAATCGTGACATTCTCTGCAAAGCGCAGAAATCTACAAGTAAAACCGTTTAATTTTTTCTTCCGGAGGCCTACACCCGATACGCTCGATGAACAGTGGACATCAATGGCCCCGCGGTTATAACCGGGCAAGGGGGTCCAGAGAAGGAAATGCAGCATTGCCGGTTATCGGCTTTATTTCGCCGAGTCCCGAAAAGGAAGAGTGTTATTCGGCTTGATACACGGCACGAAGCCCGCAGAATATACTGTACCTTAGATCATTGCAACAGCATCCACCAGGAACCCGCGATGTAGTTCTGAGTCTCTGATATCCCATCTGGTACAATACCTCTGTATTGGCAGACATCCGACAGTGCTTTGCTAGGGCTATGAAGCGACATCATAAACTGATTGTACCAAGATTGTACAGGATTGCACTTTGCTTCCTTTCCCAGAGAAGGACTGCCATCCTCGATATCTAAAGATATTCCGTGATGATATCTGATTCCATAGCTATTACTGCTGACCCAATGCTGACCTCATGCTCATACCCTGCTTCATGTTACGCTTTCGACCTCAATCTAATTTCTACGATATTCTCTCCGTTATCGATTTGATGAACTTCGAATGGGCGGTCCACGGTTGAAACGCTGGTCCCTCGCTGTCAGATGTAACTAAAACATGACTTCATCTAGGAGACCAATGCCTACGCTATTTTATCCTTACGCAGTGACACGGAACTCTGGCGTACTTATTCCTTGCTACCCATCTATACCAACGGCCCCAAGAAGCACCCGGGAGCGTCTTAACATATTATAGCTGGTGAGTTCCTCGATTCTTTCATCCTTTCGAAGCTCAAAACACTGATCGGCCGCTTGTGATCAGTTCGTCGCACGATTTACCAGCCATCACGCAAATCATGAAGATGGCATCTTTTCTATCTGTTTGCAATGGTGAGGGCGCCCTGAATTCAATTGATTACGCCAAGTCTGATATTGATGAAACTGAAGCAGGGCCTTATTTATACATAAAAGTTCCCTTAAACTCACCGTCTCCTTCGCTATATGTCCCCATCATGTCAGAAGAACAGACTACCTTCGATTATTTGGAGGCAACCCTGAATCAAGCAATCTTAGGCGCCTTAGGCCACGGTAAGTCCCTGCAAATCATGTGGTAGCTAAATCATCTGACATACGTGGTGCGCCATCGACCAGGCATTTATGCATGCCTTCTGTCGTTCACCTTATGATCGATATGTACGTCGAGTGTTCCGTTACATTTTTTCAGAAATCGCTCACGTTAGGTTAATCGTATAGTTTCCAGCAAACAAAAACTGTCCAAAGCCCGAAATTTCATGGCTTTCCTTATTATATTGTTATACATGTCCGCGACAATCTTCTTGGCCTTTAATTGGGCTTATGTTATCTACGCCTACATCAAGAAGGGGCAAACGTATGTCACCGTAGTACAGGCTCTTGGAAGCTCTGCCCAGGCACAGACGTTTCGTTGGGTATCTGGAATCACGTCTGGCATCAACACTGATATTGCCGACACCATCACGGTCTGTTATGATTTTCGAAGCCCTGTACCTATCAAAGAAATTCTCATTTGTGATTAGATCTGGCGCTGCTGGATAGTATGGGGCCAACGTTGGACGGTGGTTATTCTACCGATACTGCTTTTCTTGAGTCAAGGAGGTGCGGCTCTCGGTGGTCCGTATCTTTGCGCACTGATCAACGCCTTCGACAGTTTTTGCTGCTTTGCTTTACATGCTGATCTATACGACACCTCCAACGGAGGTAATACACCAGGAAAATCAGAAATCAATTGGACGACGATGTACCTTTCATTCTCTTTGGCTACCACGCTGTTATGCACCACTCTCATTATCTATCGTATCGTCACGGTTAGGAGATCTCCAGATGGAATCAGTGCTGCAGCACGTGTCTACCGTGGTATCGTCGAAATTCTAGTCGAGTCCGCCTTGCTCTACGCTATTTCCCTGATCTTATCCATCGTTTTAATTGCTCGCGGCGGCGCCGCAAGTGCTTACCCGCAAATAATATACGTCACAATAACGGTTTGTTATTATTTCGTCTTTTTCTACAGTACTTTGATCACTGGTGTATATGAAGGGAATCGCGCCTACACTTATCATGGCGCGTGTCGCATCAGGGCAGGCACGTCCTAATGATAGCTGGCAGGCGAGTCATGTCTCTGCGCTGCAGTTTGGCTCTGGGACTCCAGAGAATACTCAAACTGACGGTATTATGAGCACTAGTGGACGTGAGAATGACCTGGAGCATGGTGAACCGAACCATTACGATTAACTTGCTTCACCTCAGTGCACGTACTGAGGCAGGTGTTAAATTCCCAGCCGGCCCATTCGTTCCGTATTATCAGATCACCCATTCGCCTAAATCGGAATAACCTGTAGATGTTACTCTAAAACATACAATTAATATATACTGTACTGCATATTGAAGCGGTCATAAGATCTCTCGTCTCCAATGGTAATATCTGGCACTCTTTTCATCGGGTTACACTCATCCTCTCCGATACATTTAATGATCTCCCTCGCGATATTCAGACCTTCATCGTAAGCTCCGTGCAAAAACCCTAGTGAAAGACGTTCTAGTTAGCCCGCAGAAAGGATCAAATGCACTCACCGACATATTTCAAGCTTGTCGCTTCGCCAGCAAAGTACAGTCTTCCCAAGTTAGCCCTCAAATTGTGATAATGCGAAAGGAAGAACGAAGGGGGCCAGTTTGAGTACGACCCACGATACAAAGGATCTGAATGCCATCGATAGAAAACCATGTCGAGTGGTTGAGGAACGTCAATATCGGGGAACATTTGCTTCAAAACGCTGAGTGCCTCTTCCCTGACTCGTGGATCAGGTAAGGACTCGACTCGTTCGGCGAAGATACCCTAGAATCAACAAGTTACATTCGGTGATGCCGAACTTGAATGAAATCAGACATACAGTCACGGTGACAAAAATGATACCCGAACCGGGAAAGAAATTCGGGTGGTCTAAACTCTGCCATGTGGAATAACGTCCCCGTTCTGGATCTGCATACAATCCCATCTATTGGACTTTATCGTAAGTAGTGTTTCTGAGGATTCCAGAACAGGCATATCACCTCTGTATCAAACCAGAATTTTCGATCAAACTTGAAGAAAATCTTGGTATACGTGGCCATCACCATGCTTTGGATAGCTTCTTGTTTGTATGCTTTCCGATATGCATCATCTATACATCGAACGTCCTATCAAAACGGCCGACTCACCGGGTAACTGCGGGTGGAACCGTACATCATCATGTTGAAGCACGCCCAAGCTGAAAGTACATAGAGCGTACGCGCCGTGTATCAAGCGCCCACCGTCGAGAGTCACGCTTACTCCGCTATCGGAATACGAGATGTCCGTAACAATCGAATTAAACATGACCTGAGAAGGCTCCAAAAATTCAGCTGCTTCCGCCTGGACAACAGTCTTGAATCCTCGTCGATCAATAGATAAAAGCGTATCTTTCGAAGGCCTTTCCCCAGTGAAGTCATAGGTGAAGTTTGCATTCTGCCAATAGAATGTCAATTCGAGAAATTGAAAATGAATAAACGTACTAACCATAGCCTGTGCGATCCATGATGATTGTTCTGGAGATTGCGCGTATTCCATGTCGAACTGCACGATGTTCATCAGCAGAAGTCTCAGACCAACGAGAGTGAATGGATTACATGGAAATACTCGGCGGCTTGTTCATGATGAGTCTGAGGCTTAGAGCCCACAAGAGCGTAACCCGTTCGAGCAGAAAGGTCGACAAGCGATCTGCCGAGTCTCTCACCTAGCGGATGCTAAAACTCAGCTTGTTTCGAAGGTACATAGAGTATAGCATGACAAGAGCACCTCCGGCGATAGTCAGCTTTATATGGTCCTGAAATGCCTTGCGACAGACGTCAATGAAATCAGTGGTACCATTCAAATCGAAGGTCGCTACCAATCTATCAGCTTCGCAAAGATAAGAAAGATAAGACTGGCTTACATACGCTTCCATAAAAGTCATTGTACTGCGTCTTCACCTCATGTTTCTTGGCCAAGGTATAAATAGGATTCACGAGACCCGACATAGGCTCAGCGCCGTGAATCCAATTGGCGCCGAGCTCGACTGTCTGCCCACCAAAGTGATGACTTTTCATTCTTCCACCCAGCTCGTCTCGGGCTTCAATAATGATAAAGTCATCTATGCCAGCTTCATGAAGAGTTTTAGCTGCAATAATTCCAGCCACGCCGCCTCCGAGGATCAGTACTGTCTCAGAGTCTGAACCAGCGTTTACTGTGATAAGAAGGCACGAGAGTAACAAAGCCAAAAGCACGAACATTGCAGTGAAGAGTCGAACTTCGTAAGATAACTCGAGGCTTTATAGAAGTTATTAGCTTCCCTGGTTCCCACATTTTGCGCTGTAGTTCGGATCTAATGCCAGTTATGGCGGCACAAGATAAGGGATAGATATTAGTAGCAGTTACTGGTGCCTGGATCCTTGTTATCGGAGTCTCTTGGTCTCCATAAGATCTGAAGTAAATTACCTATCGTAAGCGCTTATCTATTGATGGCGCGTGAGTTGGTCCAGGTCTCACAGAAACAAGGGCAGATCGAGTACTTACAATATAAGTACTATACAAGCTTCGGAACTCGAGATAGTCGCATTTAAACCCTGTAGGCCGGAGGAACGAAAGGTCAGATAAAATCCACAAGGCTAGAACCTCCTTTTCATTGACTTATCCTCATACGGATCGTGGAGTCTGGTTTACGAGATTCCCCCCCTTTTAGGTGTTCGAGCTTCACAACCACTAGTACACAGTTGGCACTAATAGAGTGATTAATGCATACCCATTGGGTCTGTAGGTGTGCACATTCGGTTCCTCGCCAAGGCAGGACAGTCTTAGCGGAGTACAATCGCCAAGTAACCCCCTCTAAGATGGCAGTATCATAGGAGGTCACGTAAATAGTCAGTGTAGTCAATACCACTGTCAAACTCACTCGATAAAAAAGGAGGACATCACGAAGCAGGTCCCATGAAGCATGAAGTATTATTAAAACGAAGACTTCGTTAGAGACCCGAAGAACTGGATGTATACTTCCTGATCGCTCCGTTGGTTGAACGCCCATGATGCTCGTGGTTGTGGGGAATTGAATACCGATGTCTAAGAGAGCGTACCTCAAATACAGGTAAGCCATCGCACTAATCCGATACCTCCAGACTAGTCGCCGAAAGATACGGTGCCGCTAATCAAGACATCATGCATCAGCGAGGCCAATAACGATAAAACTAGAAAGAACACCTACCACATGGCGACCACGAGGGCAAGAGCAGTAGCTGCAAAGCATGTAATTCATGAGAAGATACTGGTTAAAAGACCTGCAAGATTAGTCACCGCGAAGCTCTCAGACCGGAGGAGCACGCAGTCCCTGAGAACAAACGAAACAAGGTCAGGTCTGGGGATCGAACCCACGATGAAGTCCGATAGGGAGGCGTCCATGACGGTGGAGCAAAGCGCCAAGGGTTCTTGGTCAAGCTTGGAATCATGCTGCAAGTATAGGTCAACCAAAAAAAGACCATAAGTCGTAATCATCCTATTCTTCTGTGGCGCTCTAACAACAAGAGACCCGATGTTGAACAGGAGGTAGAGACGGTTTTACTCGATAGGCATGATAAATGATAGAGGACAAACAACCACATAAGAGATCGTAAGCACGGCATATCGCGAAGTGAATCATCAATAATTGCACCAGGCATAAATTTATTATGAAGGGCAGATCCATGTACAAGGGTATAGGCATGATGCGTAGTAACAATCGATAGGCTGGATGATGACGATGATGGTAGGAGATGGGGCCTGAAAGATATCGCAGCTAACACGTCCAGCTAGCCTTGGTAACCATCTGCGCTGAGGCAGGACCCGGCGGGATATACAACAGCCGGCTCACGGTGGTGCGAAGAGTATCATTTCCTCATTTCTTCCCATGGCGAATCGACATCCTGACCACGGAAGGAGGTGTTGAAAGAGGGATATAGAGAAGAGCGCAGTGAACGCGGTAGAGAAGCTCAAACTAGAAACCATAGAAGCGCTTCTCGGCCAGCTCGCGTATATCGAGCTGTCGTTGATTTTATACCTGTCGATTATGCTTGGTACAGGATAAGAACACGTCAAGCGTGCGATTGGGACGGATGTGTCAAATCTGGGGGACACTTTGGGGAGCCAGAGAGGCGGAGAGCAGTGCAAGGTGGGTACGGGGAAACGTCGACTGGATTTGCCACGGATTCGGAGGTGCCCTAGGTTTTGATCCTCTCTTCCTCTTTCAATGTCCTTGATGGTCTAGTTCGCAGCGGCTAGACCTAGACGCACCCTGTCATGGAGGAGAAAGACGTATTGCGAAGTGTGCGTGTCTGAGGTATAGGCGGGGTCAACAAGCCACGTCAATGCTGCTTCCTGCCACCCGTTTTGCTCCCTTTCTTGGTTTCCAGCCATTGACGATCCAGCAATATTCAAGACATCCTTCCGCCACGGGCATCATCTTGCAGCTGAGGAGGCTTGAGATGCTGGCGAGGAACTCCGACCATTCGTTCAACAGAAGAGTGTTTCCGTCGACGTTTCCATAACCATAACACGCGGTATTCCTCATCTAACAACGAAGAGAAGGCGCGGAGTTCTTCATGATGACGCACAGCTATACCAGAGCTACATCTTGGGATAGGGCCAGTACGGAGCATCGAATATATGCGGTGGCAACGTTGACCGTTCATGCATACAACCAGTTCCATCCCTGAATCCAGTGATTTCTAGGAGGTACCATGCGAATGACAGTCGCTTCAGGTGCAAAGGCCTTGTTGACATGTTCTCCAAGGCGTGGGTGACGGTGGTCTGCAGTCTTTGCGTAGTGAGAACCGACGAATAGGAACTTCACCGTCGGATCATGCGTATCTATAGAGCAGTCTTTGCACTTGAGAAGATCTAAGTCCGGTCAATGTGAGCTGAAGTTTTGGAGCAGGATGAACAGAAGGAATTCACCGTCTCGTATGTCTTTTTCATTAGGTGTTTGCGAACAGAAAGTGCTTTTGAGACGGTTTGCTTAGCTATATCATGGCTAAAATTACCGTTAGTAAAAGTTTGACGATTTGCATCTGTTAGACGTACGTCCGTCATGGGATACTGTAGTATCCGCAGAATAGCCTCTAACCAATACGACTATATCCTCGAGGACGAACTCGGCGCTAAACCTCTTCGCGCGCACAAGACGAGAGCTCGAACTATTCACGGTTCCCATCCCGCATCGCTTTGAGGGTATTATTGAATTGAGCGGGAGATAAGATAGACAATGCAATATTTGGTACAGCTGAAAAGTGGTACCAACGGAATGAAGCCCGGAAGCATGAGGTGCAAAGCGTCCATGGACTACGATGGATAGCTTCACTGCGCAAGGGGGGCAGTGTTTCAAAGGAACATAACACGCCGAGCTACCCGTAGTCTCCAAGGATCCTAAAGAACAGTGCCCATTGACACAAGGTCGGGCGCTTCGATCCGATGCTCCAAGATAGCTGAGTTGCCTGTGTGAATGATATCTAGATTGTTTTTCTCTATCATCGGGTGCATGTCTTAGTTGCTGGGTGATTCTTGAGCTGGAGACATATACGCCTGATAGATACGGTTTGAGCAAAAAAAGGAAGTAAACGGTATGACGACCTCACGAAGTAGTATGAACTTCCTACCTGCCGCTTTCTTGGGGAAGATGGCAAACCTCCGTGATACGTAGTAAGTATGACACCCTGACTTGGCCATTCTTATGTCCGTGTCCTTGCCATTAGCATCTGGTATGGAGAACAACGACGTAATGATAAACCCGGGAGATCGAAGACCGACGCGGGAGATGATACACGTCGCAGAGTTCCTAGAGCAGGAGGAAGGAGTAAAAAAGTGAGATATACGGGGAAAGTACAGCGACTCGTGTTTACCTCGCTGTCGTAGATCATGGTCGACGCTCTCACTGTCAACAATCGGTAGCGGTACGTCCGGTTGCGGTGCTCATGCATTACATAGATCTACGGGAAGTCGATACGGGACCTTGCTGCAAGTGAGAGTTAGAAATGAAATGAATGGCCGCCGATGTATTGGATGTGCATACTTCAACGTTTGAACTGCAGATTGACGATTCCTATCTTCGGATCAGGAAATTGGCGCTGGATTTTATTCTCAGCACGCACCTCATCTGTCTCTCCTTTGCTGTTCTCGACACATCCTGTCTCTTCCTCCCGCTGCCAAGAACCCGAAGAGTTGAGTGCGATCAGAAGAATATCTTGGTAGTACGAGGTGATTGTAAAGCGTGGATAAGGATATCGAGAATTGAGGCGTAATTGAAGCGTAACTGAAGTCTATGTTGTGTAAAATGAGAGCAGAACCGTAACGGGCCACAAGACGAGGGGGCAAAGACAAGAGTGAAGGTGCCGGTTGGACCCGGCCGGCAACGATAAATAAGTGTAAATAACGCGAACCCTCTCCTTTATTTTGCCCTTATTACTTACATCAGAAATCATTTTCTGCCAAAAAATGTTGCAGTCCTGTCACTTCGACGAAAGATCAGATAAAGAAATATCCCGATTCACATATCCTTGAACTTCAACTCTTTCGCCATTGCCGTGCAAATTCTGGAATTATGCCGACTGGTATGGTCGTTTCGATGTCATTGATATTCTAGTTTCCAAATGTAGGCTCTCTTCTCACAGAAACTGCCCCGCATGCGGACTTCCGGTCTCCTGAACTTGAAGCACGATGACGAAGAGGCCATCGATATTCTCAGAGCAGAACATCCCCTTCTGCTACCAGAATACGATCAGGGTTGGGTTCACCACTGAAAAACAACGATTTGAATCCATATCTGCTCCTATTCGATGTCTTCCTAGAGATATCCTGCTTGAGATTTTCTCTCTCTATTGTCCGCGCCGCAGCTCCAGTTTGAATACCAGAGCTTATCCCTGGGCTCTGGGTCATATTTGTCATTGGTGGAGAGATATTGTCCATTCCTCGCTGACGCTTGATTTCTTGTAGTGAAGACACCACGTTCAATACCCTCGTACACTGGCCACGACCTTTGTGTGGATTTTCTCTACCTTGTAGTTGAGGTCCCTTCCCGGAGTCCCCGGATTCATATTGAAAGTCGTTGGACGCCTGCCTGTTGCCTGCAGCAAAGAATTCCACTCATGCCCGTACTGTGGGTGGTCGGCATGTGCAAATGGATCGCGATGTGCAAATCCTTCTTTGCAGCATGTTCCGGCTACTTGTTGGCTTCGGTTTTTTTTCTGACGACTAAACAAAACTGTATAATTAAGAGTGCGTGATAATTTTATTTGTGGGTTTAGAGGAAGCCGTGCTGTATCGGAATTTGCACATCGTAATCCGTTTGCACATGCCGACCACCCATAGTACTAGTAAGGACTAAAATGGTTGCATATAATTCTCAGGTTTACCCAATAAGTACTCTACGGTCCAAAATGCCTAGAGTATACGATGCCCGAATCCGAGGTGAAAAAGAGAACATGATACAAAAGAATGTCCAGCGGCCAAATACCATCCGTGAAGTCTCCTTCAACTTAAAGAGACTGAACGAGCATTAATAATGAGCAAGTAAACATATCGTTCCAGTGAGCAAAAGTAAAACGACCACTCACTTATCAAAGCGGGGGATAAAAGCTATCAGGACACGATGCATCCACCATCCATGCCACCCCATCTCTCAGCTGCTTCATTCTGTAGCGTGCGATCTTGCACAAGCCAAAAGGTCAATCCGTCAAAGATGTCCATGAAAGTGAGGATGGTTGTAGACGAAAATTATGGGTGTGGACCGGCACTGCAAACGAAATTAGGTGAAGGCTGCGAAGTTGGTCTGTCTTGACAATTTATGTGGTTGGGACCTATTGTTTTGGCCCAAAGGTCCCTAGTTCGCCGACAATAAGTTACGGAGCTTTGCTAATGCCTCCATCTTTGTATTTAATCACTGCGGCGGGCAAGTCGGCTGAGTATTTTGATGTTCTTGACAACGGACTGTCCACCATCAATATTGTAAGCACCAACTTCACGGACCTACTATGTTATTGTGAGAGGGCCGTAAGGATGTTCGCACGCCGGGTTTCTGTTGGTGAAGTCGGGCCTCGTGGCCCCGTTGCCTGAACCGGGACTAAAAGAGATATATTACTGTCGCACTTGCGCTATTAACCCACCGTTCAGTGTCATTTGTTCTAGGTTTCGTCGGTTCTCCATGATACTTGAATCCTTTAATTGATCCCTGCGGCGATAATAATTATCTACTACTCTAAAGTAAATTATCACCGATATTCTATGAGAACTATGGGAAACCAGTAAAAACCATGCTACATATCGGCCTGATATGAAGCAATGACAGTAGCCAGACTCATTACCATGCGATTCGTGCAAGGAACGACAATGGGTGCATCCTGTTCCACCATTTGCGAGCCTCGTCAAGGAAAAGCATGCCGATACCATACCTAAAGCAAGAGAATTGAACATCACAACGTACGGCTTCGACAGATAAAGAGGACTCACGCAATCGGCAAGAAATAGAACTCGACATTAACTCCGCGTGTCAAAAGGACCTTTTGGAACCATGGAATGTAGGAGAAGAAACTACTCGGATCGATTAGTTCGGATCCAAAGACATTCCGGAGGAACTGACCAGGCAATAGTGAGTGCAGCCGCCATAGCAGGGAACAGGAAGACATTGCGCGTTTTTGAACCAAAAGGATTTTGCTGGAACAACGACAGCCTTCTGGTACGTGTCGCAAGTAGATTGAACCATTGCATTATGACCAAATTGAAGAAATCTACAAGCCACCGTTAGTGTGTTGACCATGAAAAACACTAAATTCTGTCATACAGATGGACTGTGCCTTGTTCGTAAGCTCCTGTATCAGCGCGGGGTCTGCATCATAATCTCCGTACTTGAGCCACAGAGCAGAGAATGGGACGCCATTGCGCTCAAATCCGAAATAGAACGCCCTGATTGTGATATTTAATTTAATGATATGAGATGTATAGTAGATGGCTCACCCAACCATGGATGTCACTGTCTCCATCAACCCCAGAAAGAGATACGCATGCAGCAAGAGTTTCCAATTAACCAGGCGATCCTTTTTGCGATTACGAGGCGGGCGTAATAACAGATCTGCTTCAGGCTTCTCGTTCACCATGGAGAGCGCAGGGGAGACATCCGTAAAAATACAGATAATGATCATCTGGAAATTGCTCAGTGCTTGCGGTACCCCGGTGAGTACATTAAGAACGATAGGCATGAGCTCGGAGAAACTGCCTGGCAAGGGAACCATCAGTAAGTAATAGAGGATGATATCAAGACGCAAACATACCGGCTGGTAAGAGATACAATATTGACTTTTGGAGGTTCTCAAAGCACAGACGTCCATATTGAATTCCAGTGATGATGGCAGAAAAATCTGAGAGCAGGATCAAGTCCGCGGCCTCCATGGCAACTTCGGAGCCTCCAGCAATAGCAACTCCGACGTCGGCTTGCTTCAAAGCCGGAGAATCATTCACTGAAGAAACCGACGTCAGAAAAAAAAAACATGTCAAAGAATCAGTAATAATCACCTCCATCGCCTGTCACCGCAACGGTACATCCCTCCGCTTGTAATTGTTTCACGATTTGAAGTTTCTGCTGGGGCGTCGTCCGTGCAAAAACGATCTCATCAAAGGCAAGTGCTTGTTTCCACTGAGATTCGGTCATGCCGATGAGGTCAGAACCGCTTAAGACAAGACTTCGCATTTGCGGACCCGAGCGCTTATAGATGTCAGGCTCGTACTCAGCCACTGACTCAATTGGAGCATCGTGCTGAAGGTCTGTAACATGCTTCACTTCGCTCATTGGTGTGGTGATAATTCCCACTTGCTGAGCAATGGCGGCAGCAGTTGAAGAGAAATCGCCTTTAAAAATGGGATTAGTAATAGGAACGTCCAGGACACAATAACAGACCTGTGACCATCGCAAACCGAATGCCCGCCCGACGCGCCGTAGCAACAGTGAGCTTGACATCATCCTTTGGCGGGTCGATCAAAGCTACCAAACCAACCACCGTCAAGCCAGAGTTGAAAGCAAGCATATGATCTTCCATAGGGAAAGAACCGGATTCGACAAAAAAATCTGCTGGGAGCTCTGCGCCGTGGATGATCTTCTTAGCCATGAGTAGAACGCGCTGGCCGTTTGATGCAAATTGCTCTTGTACTGCCGACAGACGGTCTGCGAGGGTATCGTCCATCGGTCCGATTGTTCCGTCCGAATCCATTATATGGCTACAACGGCGTGATACTATCTCAGGAGCCTATTGCTTTTTAGATAGCAGCACAAATGGTAACGAGACATGACCTACCCCTTTAACCAATAGGACATAATCCGATGACACATCGAAGTCATCAGTGGAAGAGACGGGCATTGATCTAGTCGGTTTGTTCTGGGGAACTGCTTGTAGTAGTTTCATAGCAAACTTGTTCTCTGCATACCATCAGAAATTCGAAAGCATAGTTAATAGAAACAAGCACATACTAGAGTTGAAGGCAATCTTTGCACGCTCTGTCCACGTTGCTCGGCTGTCCTCAACAGGACTGATGCTTTCCGAAAATCGAAGTAGACCGGTATCTACACACAATCCGTGTCAGTGGACAAGACACCGCCAAATACAGAGACGCTCTACCTGTAGCATCGCCGTGAACTTTCCGAATTTCCGCAGGTAACTTCTCGTCTGCCGCGTCGAAACGCGCGTCGTTACAAATTCCAGCAATTGCAGCCAAAATCTTAACACGCTCCCCAGCGGGCCCAGTAGTGAGTGCAGCTGTTTTTGCCTCTGAGACTGTCAAAAGCTCGTCCCCGATAGAAATATTGACCACTGTCATTTTGTTTTGCGTCAAAGTACCCGTCTTGTCAGAAGCGATGAAATTGACGCATCCCAAGCTCTCAACTGTACTGAGGGACTTGCACAGGATGTTAGCTTTCCGCATGGCACCGGCTCTATAGAAAAAAGAATTAGCAACGACGGAAAGATGGGCACACTATCACCCACATCACCGTCAGAGAAAGAGTAACGCAAACGGGAAGACCCTCTAAAAGAATACTAAGGTTAACTAAGAATGAATGTGATGAAAAGAGTGCGCTTCTGACCCGGTATAAAGGCAACAGCGACGGAAACCAAATCTATAAGCAATGTCGGAACAGGTATGAAGTTTGGATGATCGCGACGGAGCCACGCAGCCCACAAAACTACGCGTAAAGGTAAGCCCCGAAAAAAAAAATACGACACATACGAAAGTAGGCGCTTACTAACAAAGATAATGTCGATGGTGAGGGCCAGGCTACATATGATCAACACAAGGCGTCGGATCTCGGACTCCAGTGAAGTTCGTCCAGGACGCTCTGATGCAGCTTGTTTCGCAATCCGTCCAAAGACCGTCTTGTCGCCGAGGCACACACATATGCCCAGACCACCTCCACCAACGCAGAGCGTCCCTTGAAGAGCTATGTTGCGAGACTCCATGACTAGCGACATAACCTATCAGCGCCTGCATAGATGGTAGATTGCAGCGGGAGCTTACAGTTAGGATTGGTGTTTTCGACAGTAGCAGGAATAGCGTTGCTCTCGCCAGTCAGGATGGACCTGTCGAATTTGAGATTGGAGGATACGTCAATGAGCCGAAGATCCGCAGGGACTTTGCATCCCATGTTGATATGAACGATATCTCCAAGGACAAGTTCGGGTGCCGGGACTCTAGCTAGGACGTCAGACGGGAGAAAATATATCGCGATGCTACCCACTTGACAGCGTTACCATCCCGAGTGACCAAAACATCCATGGGTAACATGGCGGCAATAGAGTTCATAGTGCGACTTGTAGTGAAATCTGATGCAACCAAGGTGAGTCGTCGCCCAAGCTTGACTTGAATTCCGCACCTTGCCAGGCATTGAAGACGGCTTGTATCACAATAACAAGCAGAAGAACTACCGCAAGAGCCAAGTTGGCTGTCGATGGGTTCGGGTCGCCGAGGGGCCTCCTACGGAGATCTGTTAACTTCGTTTCCCTTCCAGAAAAACCGGATGGGTAGACAAACCAAGAAAGGAAACAGACGATAGACGCGACGAATAACAAGCCACCGAAACCTTGAAGACATCCGATGTGTCAGAGGGTATAAGATAGTAGATGGTATTACGTACCTCCAAAGATATAGAAAAATATACGCTTGTGCAGATTCTTCGGCAGAGGAGTGATAACGTTCTTGCCGTTCTGCGCCAGCCGCCTGATAACCATGGGACCATCTAATCCAGCTTTCTCTGATACTCCGAGACGAGTGAGAACCTCGAGAGTGTCCAGTTCGTGCCAGTCCAGGTCCGCAATTTCTAGGGAAAGGGTGAGCTTGCCGTTTGAAGATGAGTTCCCGTAGCTTACCTTTGACGACGGGCTTCGCCTTGGCGTCCGCTCGACCATCTCTTGTCTCTTCAACATGGATACTGGAAACAGAATGACAACGAGAGACATTGATGCGCAAAAGTGAATAACCTCAGAGTTCTGAACTCGCCTGGTATCTTCGCCCCAATGTTGACCCGAGGGGAATAGTGACTGGCACTACGTTCCAGCGCTACATCGCGGGGGCGAGTTTCCCCAAGGACATGAGAAGAGGATTCTGCCTCCTTCTCGGTACTTCCACCAAGAGATTCCAAGTCGAATTGAAGAGGTCTATCACCAGGTGTTCGAGAAGCCATCAGAGAAGAAAGTTTGATCCCCTTTGGTATCGCTTATCCTATTGAATTGATCGCACGTTTTTCCGTACGAAGATTCGATGGCAAGTAAACAGATAACCGAGCACCCAGAATGGTACGTCCTGTCATTATGCTGTCTAGCAAGCTGAATGATTCATACCCTTGTAGGACCCGCAAGGTGACCCTAAACATCAAGGGCTGCGGCGAGGATTCTGTCTGACATGTCCGTGTAGAGCAGGCGATTTCAGCCGTCGCACTGGCGTAAATCCCTCTGAGACATTAGATTCTTTCCGCATCACGTGATGTGGAAAATAAATTCTATAGATAATGCAAGATGAGTTCCAGGCTCGAGATCCGTAAAGCCGTCGCTTGCCCAGACGACCGTCTGTGCGCATGAAAAACAAAACAGTCGAGAATACACAGGTACTTACACGGAGAGACGCCGAGATCTCAGCGACATGTCTGGGGAGACAAATGCGTCAGAGCAGTTTCGGCCCTCGGTCCTCATTACTTTCACAGATCAGAGGGCGCATCAAGGCATCTGATTGATGATGACCGACGCAAGCTCGTTGGAGCTTGCTTGATGTAAAGTTTATTATCCGAATTCAGTCTTCAAATAACGTATTCTCAACCTTCGTTCTTTCCCTATCTCAGCGTCAAAATGGGACAAAAATACCGAAGGAGCGCTCACCATCAGAATCAATACTTCCCGGCGCCTTTCTGGTTAGTCTTATGAACCACTTCAATGGCGTTTTTAGCGCGTATCGCCATTGAGTATTGATTAGTGGAACGTACCAAACCTGGTTCCGCTTCTGTATCAGAGATATGAACACCCGGGTTTAATCTTGGTACAATGAGCTTTCCGTCATCATATATCGTGGTCAACTAGACAGTAACATACCATACAGATGAAGCGGTGGGCCATCGCAGGGCGCGGCATATCCGAGCCCTGAAATTGGGGTGGGCTGCTCTGCGTGGGCGTGGCACAAGGTTCATATTCGACACAGTGACAACACGATAAAGTTAAACAATAGAACAGTAGTGATTGTATGCCGTCTCTCCCAGGAACTGAATTCACCTCCAGATCCTAAAACAACAAACAAAACACACAGAAGGAAAGAACACACCTTTGCAGTAAGCGGTAGGTTGAACAGGGCATTGAGTGATGCTGAATCGAACGAGGCCGCTTGACAAGGTACAGGAACACTACGAAGACAGGTCAGGACCATCCACAACGCCAACGATAAGAAGAACGTACCTGAGGTACTTCTACTATACTTGCCGGAGACAACCTAAGACATTCGTTCTGCTCCCACTCGTGTCGTTAAGACGATGTCCGACGTAATACTAAAAGTCGGTCAAGATGCCGCCATTGACGATGGTCTACCCCACAAGTACACGGTCAGTGATCAAACCAGAATCAATAAGCGGTACGTACACACGTTGGATACATGAATACTCTGCTAGCCAAACCTTTTCGCTGCCCTCTCTTCTCCTTCTCGTCGACTTGATTTGCCTGGAGTTCCCATCATTTTCGAGAGTGCAAACGCCTTCAGCATTCGTTTACATTACGATCTAGATGCCCTTGGGTGTGATATCGAAGAACGGTATCCAGAAACCGTGTCTCGTATTGTAGGCCTTGGCGGCAGACAGCAGCAGACTTGAATTTGAGTGGAAGTGACATTGATGCCTATGGACCGTGACAAGATGAGGATTGAGGAATAAGGTTAAGGAAGCGTTCCTACCAGCAGTATTAATTTCATGAGAGAGGCATCAGGACTATGGACATAGCCTCGTTTGGTAACGAGATGGCTGAGGAAGAGCAACAATGCTCAGAAGATAACGCGTAACATGTGTGACGTGTGACATCAACGTGGGCGACCACGGCATGCACGGCACGGCAAATTGTCGGACTATCACCATCATGCACCGCCACCGAAAGGCTCAGATTAGCATAGACCGAATCCTGTATACACAGGACTCGAAATGCGCACGCGATTTAAAGCGGATTGGAAAGAACCAGATGGGCTAGGTTGGGTTAGGGTCACACGTGGCGGACCGGACCGTGGGCCGGCATGTCGCCATCAACTCGTCCATCGCAGAATTTTCATTGTTCGAACCTCCAGGTCAGTTCACCTCTGACATAATTTCAGTGCTGAGCATGGCCTATCATTTATCTTATAAATCAGGGGAATAGCGTCACATTGATGTCTGCGGCAGCTTTGATATCACTTCAAAATTCATCTCTTGGTTCATCTTAATGTTTTCAATCATGAAGTCGGTATCTGGCTCTTGAACTGATTCGAAGGGGCGGTATCAAACATACTATGTCTCTGAATCATTGACGATCCTTGGAAATTTTCATGCAATATGTCGATCATGCCGCTGCTCCCCCGCCTTCTTTTTCCCGGTCCTTTCACAGCAGTTAATACTACCTTTTGGTCTGTGCCACGGATCTTAATGGAAGCTAGAACAACCGAATTCTGTCCTCCACCATCGGCTTAAGCTTGTTACCCCTTCTGAATCGTCATCTGATAAATGGGCCTATCCTTCTCCCTGTAGTCGACCGCGTATCTTACCCAGCGGACGTACACAGATGTCAATGGGCCAATGATATACTCCAGGTATACTCCAGAAAACATTACTGACATTACGTTCTCATCGCCGCGATGAAAATCGAGAATCAAAGGTAGTATTAGCCGCTGTGAAAAGATGCGCCTTAGAGAAGGTTGCTATAATGATTGATTTATTGCATGGAAGCTTCCGGCGTTCGCCAATGTTTCGAATTGTCGAATGCATAGGTTTGCTAATGTCCGGGATCAATCCTCTATACCGAGAGACAAACCGCGCAATGTTCATCAATACTGGCATGGAGGTGATAGGGCTAGGGCCATACAATTCCCAGTTTTTTTTTTAGGTAACTGATAGGGCATGGTCTTAATGCGCTGAAAGGCTCTGCAATCTGCAAAACGCGAAGAGAAACGAGCTCACCCGATCTGATTGCGGAAAGGTACTCATCGCCTGCCGGCCTTCGGTTGAAGCCGTTTTCAAGACCAGCTCAAGAACAGGATGAGGAGGTTACTGCTGCAACTTATCGCTGACGGCAATCTCATCCTGAATTACGGTACTCCCACCGTTCGAGCTGGAAGCTCTAGGTTCTGGTTTAGGAGCCTCAGCTACTATATTATCCTTGATCCGGCTCAAGTACGTGAGGAGACAAGCTAGGCAGGCAAAGTGGTGACCCAACTTTTTTTAACATAAATGTAGAGCAGGGCGGTATTGATTGATCTGCAGATTATCGACAGGGAGCTTGTCAAGAGCCGACTGGAACAGATTGACCAACAAGCTTGGAGCTTCAAAAGATACTCCAGAAAAAGCCCAGATAGCTCCAAGACATTTATGCAACCATCATTATGGCGGTGTTTACTAACGATCCAACTCACACCGAAAGTCATCCGCGAGCGCTACCGAATTTCTGGCATTGCATATCTTCTTTGGATAATGTATCGGCTGCACATGCCTTAATGTATCACACTTGCATCACCCGCTTCATCATTATACGTGTAAGAGCACCGACATCAAACTTGATTTCATCACACCGACTCTTGGACAGCTTTAAAGATTGCCTCGCGCACGGCGGAACTTGACGTGGTATGACTGTCATGAGTGTCTGACCATTGGCTGACGCCTCGACTTGAACCTCTCCTAGTTGATGTTCTGATATGCCTGTCTTTCAAGGTTATACTACCATCTTCAAATCGTTTACTTTTTAATCCGCTTGAATGTTCTCGGCGTGCCTGCAGTTTTCCGTACCAGCATGTGATAGTTGGTGCGTTGATGACACTGGCGTCGAGGACAGCTGCTCAATGAACTGAGGTGTCCCAATTACAGGCCAGCAGTATGAAGGTCAGTCAAAATCAGTAGAACTTTATGGGTGATCATGACGACCCACGAATATGTAGGTCACGTCAGCTATTTTATGTCTGCATCCTTCTTGCTGCCATCCGTAATCATTAGGCACAGTCGAAAGTTGGGAATATGTGCATATTACGACTAAGGATGATGAATGGCGAAAATAGATAATAGAATCGTAGGAAAAGCCATGATTCAAACTTAATCGAGTGATTATTATGATTGTACATAACTCGGCGTTGACTAACATCCCAGTAGTCCCATTCCCCTTATACAATTCAAGGTACGCGTGAGTGCACAGTGGTAGAAATGTGGTACTTATGACGTAGAATCGACTTCAAAATCGGCAGTATAATCATCGTCGTAATCATCCATAAAACCCAATTTTGACTTCCCTATAACATGTCATGATCCAACGGGGGTCTACTGTCTTCGATTGCAAAGTTTCGGAAAGTAAAATTTTGGTTTGTAACACATGAAAAGAAGGAAACCTACCTAGTAACTGTTACGCATTACAGCTTTCAAAGTATTGGGATACACAACTACCCCCGCCTATGCATTACATTTCAGCAGTACATCATTAGTACACTAACACGCCAGTATGACAATCATGCCCTTAATTATCCGCTAATACCTCTGACCAGATGTCCCTGGAGCCTCAAAGGCTGCCACTATCTGTAGCCCTTCATAGCCTTCAACAAACGTCTCAGCTTGAGCGTCTAGAAAGAAATTGATTATTCATAGCTTCAACGCATCGCATCCCTGTTATTGATGAATCAGCGCTCTGGCGTGGAAGAATGGCCGATGAAACGGATACCTGTGGTGTCGAACTTAGTTTCGAAGGCCCAACGGTGATGTCCACCGAGTTCAAGCTTCAGTTCCTAGACTTGAACCAACGGAGATGTCATCGCAATTTGCACGGTTTATAGGCACAAACCAAGGTACGCATAATTCCAAACTAGGCCTCCAGTGATCCTAACACTGTCTTCGTAACATCTAATTAACGAAGGATCAAAGCATAGGTCAAGATCGCATCATTTGCGCAATAACGGACCTACTTGTCCGGGCTTCTTCAAACATCTTTTGCCCTGAAGACGAAGCTTCGTCTTCGTCTTCGTCGTGCCCTTCTCCCCCCCTGGTTGCTAGAGACAGATTCAAATTTTTGGCTGCGCGTTGATGAGTTATCAGACCCGCAGAGACTCAATATCTTTGTGGCGTGCAACAGATTTTGGTTGAAGGCAATGTCATGGAACTGACCTCCGACACAATGATCGGTTGATCTTCACGACGGAAAGCCTGTCTGCGATCATGGTGATCGTCTGTTGGCAACCGCTGAAACGCAGTGAAACGTCCGCTATGACGATTGCTTACGTAACTGCTCCTCCTTTGTCTCGGCCTCTATGGGTCCTTGGCTACCCTTGAACCTTCCTGATTTGCACCAACACATGCGAGCGTAATTCTTTTTTCCCTTGTGGTGGGCGCCCTCCCCATTCTGATTTCTATCTTGCCATAGCTTTTTTTTCTCCAGATAAATATTTACCCACATGGTGCACAGCCAGCAACGCAAGGGCTGTGAAACCCATCTGTAACGCATAAAAAGCGGAGGACATGTCTGCAGATTGCAGACCTGGAGTCCTACGCACCGGTATATTTGATATACTTCAACTCGGATCCGAAGGCGAGGGCGATCCTTGTCTCGTCCGAGTCAACGTCGTCATCGTGTCAAGCCGTCACGGTTACATAGTCCCAAGATAGTCCGGCAGTTCTGTGTTACTGAACCCGCCTCTTTCTCTATCATCATCAATCCGTTCTTACTCTCTCCACGAAACACTTGTCCTGTATTTCTACCGTCTCAGAGCAGTGGCCTCACCTGTTTCACGATCTCAATTCACCATCACGACATCTCAGTTCCTTGACACTGTTCATGGAACCACGTTATCCATATTCTTCTTCCTCCCCTCACGAACCATCACTGTCTGTTTCCAGTCCAGATAGCGGCATGACAATCAGCCCAAACTTGACTAGCGGGTGGCAACTTTCGGTAAGCACCCTGACTTCAAACAGTAACCCATGATTTCTAAATAAGATCCTATCAACGCTATTTACATCCGCATTTTTCGACCTTAAAACTCGACCTTCACTACCTCGACCCTCCCATCCCGCAAAACAACGCGTCATTGTACCCGATCTACCTCGCTATCTTCTCATCATGTCGACGAAAATGTTCATATACACTCAGCGCGTCCCAGGCGATGTTCCGACAGCTGTCCATGCCCTTCTTCTCTCCACGAAACAACTCCAAGAGTCCCTCAGACTATGGAGTATAAATCAAGCCACGGAAACCCAAGTCAGCGACGTATACGTGCAAATAGGCACGCAGTTTAACACTACCATACATGCCTTTGCCTACCATAAAATCGACCTAAGGTTAGCAAATCCCTCCCCCTCAACAAAACTCCCTTCTCACTGCTGCGGCTTCTTTAATTTCAGTGACATTCACAGCATACCGACAGACCTTCGAACAGTTCTAGAGCAATGTCTCGCCGAAGACCCTTCACCGCAAGCTCTGGCAATGTACATGCCAGAAGTCCGGCGGGTGCTGTATAAGCTCCTCAAGGGCCTTCAGGCGAAGCAGGACGCCTGGAAGGCTGTAGGAGGACGTATGCCCATGATGCCTTCCGAATCACGGTAAATCACAGTCGGAGCCTATCGAAGCTAATTTATATGGGAGGTGAGAGCATCTTTGAATGATCGATAGCCAGCTCTTTTTGTTCTGACTTGCGTGCCGTCATAGGAATGAGAGATGGAGCGCCGCCTACGTGGCGCGCAGGAGCATGTGGATATGTTTAATTGTTTAGGCTGGAGCCAATGGCTGGTCTCTGTAGACTCATTACATACTTACTGTAATTCTTTCTGCATTCTGCATGGAATGTCAAATACCCAAGCGAGACTTTCAATAGAACAGGGTCATAGTTACAATGGAATTTCTGGACAGGCGTAATTTCTCAACTTTAGTGCCGCAATTTCTTCTAGTTCCCGCTGTTTGATCGACTAGTGCGGTCGGGATTTGGCGGTTTTTCAAGACCTCCATGTAGCCGTGGGCGGCGAGCAAACACATTTCTGAGCTTCCATGACAATACTTGTCCGAAATTCTTGAATACTCGCATCGAAGGCGGCGCCGGTGAGTAAGTGGACAGTCTTCGATGAATCAGAAAGCCCCGGCGTGTATACAGAGCGGACGTTCTGGAGGCATCTCTCCTCATGACCGAGGATATGGTTCTGGAAAGAAAAACATCATTACGAGAACAACAAGAAGAACGAAAGAAGCGCTCACGAGCTCCGCAAAACTGAATATAGCCTCGTAAGAATCCCGCCGGTCCGCCGTAACCGACGATTCGATATGACATGACAGAATGAGCCAAGTAATATAGTCGATGGCTCTCGCCTTGCCCAGAGGATACACAATGTTTACATTAATCAAGGGCGGTGTTCTACACAACCTGTAAGGTAGTAAAATAGGACGCAAAGCACAACGATGGACATAACACCAAAACGAGTTCAACGACGAAGTAGATACAACGGAAAGATGTTAATGAAGGGGCGCTCATAAATACATGCAACTAATAGTCAACGTCCCTTTGGAATATAAACAACCCTCCGCCCGATATAAATTGGAAGGTGGATAAGAAATTAAAGAAAGGGTGCGATATATGTAATAGCCAAGAGATGCGACAAAAAATAGAGTGGAGTAGAATTCAAAAGCCAGAGATATTGCGACCCAATCAATCCCTCGGTTCAGAATTGATAGATGTCGGCCAGACATTTTCCCCCCGACTCCGGTCTTTATCAGAAGGTCGCGGCAGAGGAATGGCACTAGTGGAGGGACCGCCCACTGGTGCAGGCAGTGACGTTTGTGGTTGTTGTTGACTCGTAGACTGTGAGCCGCTTGGCGCGCCGCTACTAGAAGCAGTCGCGTTCCTTAACTCATCCATCCCCCTTTTGACATCTCCCATCAACCTATCTGTGCGATCCAGTATCTCCTCCGTTCGCCGTTTGTGCTCATGCAGTTCCATATAATGCCTCTCCAAATCCGCCAAGGTCGGTATACCACCGCCTCCCATCATACTCATCGGCGGTTCATGTCCGGAGTGAGTTGCTAAAGGGCCAGTATAGAATGGCGACATTCCATGGGGCGGAGGAAGGATATAACCACCCTGCGGAGGTGCTGCTGTTGCGTGTCCCATAGGCGAATGTGTTCTGCTTGGAGCATTTGATCCCGACCTCATGTAACCTGAAGGCATGCCGGGACCAGACGGAACACCACCGCCAATCGCATTTAACGGAGGAAGTTCGAAACCTCCATGACCGGCAATAAACGGTGACGAGCGTTGCATGTGGGGGTAAGGACCAATCGATGGCGGCCTATGAGAGCCCTCCCCAGTCCAGCGTTTCCGTGAGCCTCCGTCCTCCTCACCTCCTGTACCAGAATCCATGTTAACATCATCATCGCCCGACCTTTTATCACCTTTGCTTTTCCGGGCCTTCTTCCTTTTCGGTTGATCGGCACCTTCCCCATCACTCTCGTCACCCACTCCCACACCACCGAATCGGCCTACAGAAACCAAGGCCTCGGCTGCGGCCTGATCAGACATTCGACCTAACGGCGGGGGACCAACAGGACCAGCAGCGGGTACACGTTTTCGACGCTTGATAACACTTTTCTTCATCGAGTTGGGACGATGAGTCCCGTGAAGCTTAAAGTAGAGGCCTGTAAAGGAAGGGCCATGAGTAAAAGCGTATCACCAGACCAAACATAGAAGAAAAACGTTAAAAAAGAAGGCGAATAAGGTGCGGGTGACGATAACATATCATCAGCGCACACTCACCACCTCGCAGTCGTTGAAAAAAGTGAGAGAGATAAGATACCCGGTTCATCGGAATTTTAATCTGATAAGATCAAATTCGGGACATGTTGGCCAAACAATCGATGGCAACAACTGGGTACGTGGATGCAGGGTCCCATACGCAAACGATATTGCGGAAGAGGGAAATGTCAGAAATGAGAGATGACTTACCGCACGCATTACAAATATTATTGCCGACATCGTCCCGTCTCCACAAGGGCGTCGTGCTTGTCCCACAGTTTGCGCAACTCAACGCTCCTACGGCACCTCTTGGCATCTTCCTCGAAGGGTTCCCGCTCCCGCCAGGTCCACCACTCGGATCCGGACTCCCAGCACCATCTCCTTGGCCCGGTGAACTCGGTGCCGCATCATCACCAGCACCGCCTACAGAAGGTGAATTAGCGGTGTTGGTTGGCTGGGATGGTGACTCGACGACGGCGCCCTTTGCGCTGCCAGCGGGATCGTTGCTGCTGCTAGGTTTCTTTTCCATCTCCATCATCCGGGATGAAACTGATACAGCATTGTTATAAGTGGGACAGCCTGAGCAGGCTGAGCTCCCACCTGTGCCGTCACATCTTCCATCTCCGGGACATGTTCCTCCAACATGATGCGAAGCTGTTGGCGCAGTTGGCGATGGGTTGGTGGCAGCGTGTTCCGTGGGAGATGAGGGCTTGCGCTGATTTTGGGACGAGGATAGAGTCGGTGAGGTAGACATTTGTTTTGACCCTAAACCATTAGTTCCGTTGGTGGGAGCAGAAGTGAAGGATGGCGGCGGAGGATGAGGTGGTGGTGTTCGAGCGAGTGACGATGGACGAGGCATATGCCGAGACTTTTGATAAAGACCTATATCAGAGGAAACAGGAGAAAGACAGTGAGAACGAGACGAAGACGCAACAGAGGATAGCATAAGAATTGAGGAGAGGGAGAGGAAAGTGCGTCAATAAACAGCTCTGAAACGACAAGCGGATGCAAGTAAGGTAATAGAAAGAGTTAACCACGAATGAGATAATTGACAGGACTAGGGTAAGCGACGTGTAAAATGCGAGCTGAGCGCCGGCATCATATCAAGTTGTTGAAACGCAGATGATGCACAATGAAAGAGCATTCCGCGTCGCCGAGCATGCCTCTACGGTGCGGGACTGATGTGACACGATAGTGATACATAAAATACAAATGGGAAAGCACGACCAACGCGCGCTTTGGAGTGATGAATGACCGGGGACATGCAAAAAGTGGCCAGCAAGCTTCTACAACACGTGTAGAGAGTGAAGACGATCGACCGTCGTGCAATGGAAGAGCAAGGATAAGCAATATAGAAGCCAGACTCACCACAAGCGTTGCAGACAGAGTTACCGTCTGCATCCCTTCTCCAGAGCGGGGTATCCGACGTTCCACAGTTCACGCACGTCAGTCGCGGTGTTTGGCCCGTTCCGTTGGGGAAATTATACTCCTCCGAAGGTCCTGACCGCTTCATGGCGTCGTATAGATCCGAAGGTAAGTTAGAAGCTGTTGATTCAAGATCTAATAGTGATGAGCATCAATACGACTGATGCCGTCCATCGGACACGTCAAGGGCGACACGTACGAGACATTGTCGATGTAATAGGCGAATTATGCATGTTCAGAGCGGGCGGTTCTAGAACAACTGGCGACATTATTGGGTTACTTTTGGGGGCTGTTTCCGGTTGTCCTGGCTGTGCAGGACGATCCTATTGGGCGACCGGAGGGAGAAGAAAGCAGGGAATAGTGAGCAAGAAGACTGGCCCAGCAGAGAGGCAAAATTTCACGTAGATGATGGTGGTTCGTGAACAAGATGTGAAAATAAACAGGCCGGGGAAAAGTGTCAGCAGGGGCAGATAAATCCAGATAACGCCCCAGCCAATCAGAGCGATCTTATTGCGCGATTGATAACGGTTCGAGACTAATCGCCGCTTATCTCCCGGTCTCGATTACTCAAATTTCAAATTGATAAATAAATATATTCTATTATTACACCCCTTCCTCGGTCCCACCGCCCTGCTCAGCCACGGACCCCCCTTCCCGTCCCCCTTGCTCCCCTTGTAACCTCTCGATATCGCTCAAACTCGAAACTACTCGTTTTAATATCGTTCTTGTCATGATCCGATCAACCATATAATTTAGTGATCTAACGGGTGTATCATCACAAGGGTTACAAGCAGCGGTCCTCATACTAAAGTGGGGTTCATGGCCGACGGCCCGAAAATAACTACTTTCGCGGGATGATTATCTATAAATGCGCACTTGCCGGTATGCTGCGCGGTCGAGCCAACTCCAGCCATTTTACATCACGGCCATTTCTTGGTTTCTCTCACTGTTGTCTGTATACGTGAAACTTGTTACCTTCTTGACCTGATCATGATTCATTGTCTCACTGGATAAGATATAATTCGCACGATGTCAGGGGGTTCTTCATGAGAGATAAGACAAGGAACCCGACAGGTTCGGTGCGGGACAAATCTGACATCTTATCAGATAAATCCGCACGGTCACTGATAGAAGGTGATAGAATTCATTCCTTATCACGGATCCTTTGAAAGCGTTCCAGACCAAAAACAACAGGTCCTCGGGTGACGAGAAAGAAGGCGTTAGTACTCATTGGATCCCACGTTCAGGTATCGATTTCCGACCGTATAAACCACAGTACCTGATCCAAACACGATCTCTCCAAGCCATTTGAAGAGCACATATATATGGTATTCATTACACGAAGGATCTGAACCGGAGCCTTTCGACGATGAATATGACAGCGAAGTACGCCAATCACCATCAGTGCCCGAGGCTGAAACCGACGTCGCCTGTTGCTGTCATCCTCAATCGCACCTTCTTTTTGATGACTCCCTGCTCCTTCAACTTCGCCCGTTTGAGTGGCCATTTTACGAAAGATCCGCCGGATCCTCCTCATCCCCCTTTCTTGAATTCAACTCAGAACATGACATTGCCTCCAGGGATGGAGGAATTGTGCTCGTTGCGGACGGAATTGTCGAGAGGAACTGTATGTTCTGGAGCTGAGAAAGGCGAATATTGAAGGAAACCAGTTACATACCCGCTGGCTCCACCCGTATTATTAGCACTTGCCTGAAAGATAATAAAAGGAACAGTTGCCACGAAGAAGATCGCGAAAGAAGGCGGAGGATCTTTGACTGCATAGCCTTTTCTCATGATTTCTATTTCCAGCGTCAGGGTTTCTCCAGAGGCTGCTCAAAGAGAACATCAGAAATTTCCCAAAACGTACGATCTAACATTCAAAATCCCAGTGTCGAGCTCATTGAGGTAGAGCCATTGCGCTGGGGAAAGGCGAGAACTAGCTATTGGGCCGTGTCGAAGATCTCCGCCAGGAAAAGCAGATAGGGTGGAAATCCTACGAATAAAATCTTGATCCTGAAGAAACAGCTTCGCCCAGCGGTTTTTGTTCGAGGTGACCACAAGGGCCTGGCAGGATTGTCGGCGAACGACCCGGGGTTTGAACTTATATCATTTGCGGTGCCCTTGCACATAGCAATGTCCTCACGAAGCAATTGCCGAGTACTAATAGAGGTCAATATCAGCAATATATTGTTAGCATCGCAAGAAGCCGCAGACATGAGTGAGAATAGTGATTGAATGAGTGAGCCTCAGAAGTGGCTGTGCCCCAAACGAGCAAGTACCGACTTACCCGAGGCTAAGCGTTGGGTGTAAATTCAATTGGAGACAATATAGACCAAAACAATAAAATTTCCCAGCTGGGTGGTATAGTTGAGGAAATGGAAGAATTAAGGGCCAAACCATGTATGGAGGTGAATGAAAGGTGTACTTAAAAGAGTTCTATGATGACTTGGAGACCAAGGATGAATACAGTGCAAAGACCCAGAAGACATCATGTATGGAGTCAAGTTGGCGAAGTTGGCATATGGTCAGAATGAACTAAAGTTGTGATTAAGGATATCTTGCTTTCGGAAGGATTTAAGGAATAATGTTGTCAACATGGACAAAAATGATAGCATCAAAACTATTCTAAGTGTCCTCTATTCCCCTGTCCTCTGGCTCACCAGCTCCCTTTTCCGTATTCATAGTAATGCTCTCTGGTTCATGATTATCAGTCATCTCTGATCTACCATGTTCCAGATCAACACCATTCTCATTAGCAGTTAACACACTATCAGGATTCATGCTTGTTGAGTGAACCACTGGTGCGAACTGTAAAGAAGGGACATTGGAGCCCATTTGCCAGCTGTCATTGGGACGTGCATTTCCCAATGCAACACGTGCCACAATAAGTGTGGGAGAGATTGCCTTTTATAATAAGATATTAGTATCTGGATTCTTTCACAAAGACAAAATGGTGACAAACAGTTGTTGAAACATAGAAGCATTCTGGGTAAAAACACATTGGTGCTTTGAGAGGGATTAAAACCATGTATGCTATTAAGCCAATAGCATAGAGTAAGGCAGATTCAACTAGAATCTCAATGACTCGGTGGTAGGTGCGCATACTGGTGCTGTTATTCAGCCTATCTGTGCCCTGCTTGACTGTCAGGATACGATAGATTATGAGTGTAGTGCAGAAAAGTGTGTTTCCTAAAGAACAGGAAAGAGATACTATGGTCCATTTGAGTTCCAATGGTTTGGGACCAATAGTTGTATATTGTAAGCTGGATTGCAATGCAACACTGCCACCAGCTGCAAAGAAAGATTAATGATATGATAAGAGAAGGAAGTTCCAGTCTCATACCTTCCTGGGCCAGAAAAAGTAGTATTGGTAATATAACAACTGACCAACAACAGCCCCAGATAATCCAACAGCGCCAGATCTATACAGGGCATAATGGTCAGCACACATTAAAAACAAGAAATACTGAATATCATCACAGACCGTGATACAGTCTGCAATGCCAGCATTGACACATAGTGCAATTCCTGCCCAATGATATAGGTTCTGAACAAATCCAGAGTCTCCTTTCCCAATACAGAGGTAGATAACCAAAACCCAGTCTGTAGCAACAGGAATTGTGGCAAAGATAAACAAGCATATAATCAAGAAAACCATAGTGTTTTGTGCTTTGGATCGAGGTTCTTTGCTCAAGACTGTTGGTATTTATATCATGCATGGTACTGTGAAATTGGAGACCAACACACATATTGCCCATAATGCAAATACCACGATGCAAGTATGGATGCCTGTTGTGTTTCTTTCAGTAAACATGTATATATATATCAGTTTACATACTGACCATGCATGAAGATTCCTATTAGTGCCTGATTGAGGATCGCCGTTAATATTTGTTCTTCTGACATGGTGAAGATTTGGGGAGAGGTTTGTGGACTACCAGTGAACTCAATGTCTACCTTTATATAGCACTAAATAACAAGCTTAGCGCTGTGATTCATCGCAACACTGATGGGCACAGGATTACAGATCGTCAGACGATTTCTTACTAACACAGATCTTCTGCTTCTGCCAGCGATTTCAGGGCATGGATCCTGAAGTCTCCGCTTTAGAAGAGTGAACAGTCCAATCTTCAAGCCCCCATGGACTGCGCCGGTCTTCTGAATGGCAGCATGGAAAACCTGAGCGAGTACTAATTGTTTAGAGATTTATGGATAGAAGACTGAAGTTGCAGCTTACATTCAGCCTGCCAAGATCTGACGAGGCTATGAGCAGACTGAAGACACCGTAACAGTCTAAAAAATGATATCAATGAATCCACTATCGATTGACGCCAGACTTTTGGTATGTAGCCTTCCGACGGAAGTATTACGAGCTATGCAGACAAGGCCCAAAGACTCAAAGTCATAGCAGTAATAGTCGTCGCACTGTCTGGTAAAACAGAAGCAGCCGTGGCCAGGCCGTACGTGCGCAGGAACTCACTGCTAAGCATCACCATAATAGTAGCAACCATCGTCCCGTTGGTTTGACCATATGGAGCGACTTATGAGTGGAAGAATGTATACGTACATTAATTCCTGGCGTCCACAAGATGATGCCTTATACTATTCGGTTTACTCGAGTCATTGACGCCACTTTTACCGTGACAGGATGATGAGACAGAAACTAAGCCCGACCGGGCATGGAATATCGAAATAGTAGTGTTTGACGGGAACGGACGATTCAAAAGAAGGGAGATAGCACAGGGGAGATAGGAATGGGATCCCTGCAGACAGCATCTCCAGCATAAATGGATACAAGCCATAGTATTCCCAGACGCAGTCTAAAGTGAGAGATATACAATGTTGAAGGTCCTACAATGGCCACAAGACGTAGCGGAGCCCAATGTGGGATAAGACGGATAGCAGTGGATATGTGGATAACCGTACCGCTGTTGAGAGTTTACTGATGATCCCAAAACATCCTCTACGTCTCAGCGCTGTTTCATCCACGGTCCTACTTCACCCAATCCGTCTCTCCCCTCACCGTTGCTGCTGTCGTGATCTTGTTCATCATTGAGCTTCTGGTTGATTTTTGGCCCTGTCAGTGGGCCTTTAGGCTCCCATTGAAACATACGAGTCAATATCGAACCTAAACTGGCGGTGCGGCTGTGGTGCGCTCATTGTGCGGGAACTAGTATACTGTGATGGCTTATGCACTTGGGGAGTGGGATTGCAGCGTCAAGGGTAGCCAGAGAGATGCCCGCCGGTCTAACCCGAGGAATGAAAGCAGAATCAAAGTGGCACGGAAGAAATGCACCGGAGACACGTGATCCCATCCCTTCCTCCCTCGAACGACCAGCACTATCAAACAAGTAGCTCGTCTCTCGCTCCCTCCTTATTTCTCGCCTTTCATCAGCTGGCTTCCGCTCCTTCCTTGTGATACCATCACCTTGTTCACCATCCATCGAGCGCATCAAGTCCAAGTCTCCGTAGAGGTGGGGTTTTTAGCAATATTTCAGGTGTTACACTGCTCAGAGTGGCGACCATAGACATCGTTATTGTCACAGACTTTTCCCAGTATCAGTCTTCAGCAATCCTTCCCAGACCTATGGAACGTAGTCGTTCAAGATTTCTGTCGAGGGCAGATCTCAAATTGGGTTCAAATGCTCGATAAAGGGACCCGAGTTCGTTTTTGTTCCGTCCCCGGACGAGGTTAGCGGAAATGACTGGATGCTGGGATCTTCCGGTAGGCGTAGTTGAATCTGAAGTGCGCTCCTCCATGTCGGTACGACAACTCATCAGTAGTTAGTGGCCATAGTCACCTGAGATGACTCCAAGTCACTGCTTGTCGGTGTAGGAACTCTATATCTTCGAGTGTTTCCATACAGAAAGAATATACATGTTTGTCGATATCGATGATCTCCGGTCACCCTCTGACACCTCGTCATGAAAGATTCATCACAACGAAGATTACATCGCCGATTCCGTGTGCTTCTCTCATGTTGACTTCTTTTTAATCACCCTTTCGCAAGAGCTTTGGGCAGAGTTGGCCTAAGCGTTGGTCAATAGAGAACACAGAGCAAAAATTCAAAACGTACCTGATAGATCCCTACCATTGTGGTCAGTCATCGCGCTGGTGGCGGAAGAAGATATGGAGAGTCTCTGTCGGGAAAATACTAGATAGGTCGGAAATGAACCATGTCATGGCGCGAAAAGAGAGCTATCATTGAGAAGCAGTACTAAGAGCCGACGTGTCCTGTGGTTTAGGCGCACGACGAATCCAAAAGTCGAATGAGCAAAGCATCAGTCTTGTCACTCACACTTGAACAGACGTAGCAGAGAAATATCTGTGGAGTAATCAGCCTCATATGCCGAGGAATCGATTTAGCAAAGAAGAAAGAAAACGGCAGCTGACGTACCAGAGTAGAGGCCAGTTACTCAAATGCTACTACTCACCCGGGAGAAGCGCTGAGTCGAACTTAAATTCAGTCACAAACAGTGTAGCCACATCATGAAATGATAAGTTGCCGAGAACCCACAAATGTATAAACACCGAAAGAACACGACGAGAGATGGGAGATAGGAATGAAAATAGACTGTCCTCGAATGAGATATATGCAAGTTCGCGAGGGAATAGGTTGTCCCAGGAATCCCCAAGAGAAAATCAAAAAAAAAATCTAGAAAGAAACGGAGTATATGGGGAGTAGAAGTGATGGATAGAAATGATGATAGGCTGAAGATTGACGCCAAAGGACAAATATGCAAGTCCAAAAGAATCGAAATGATAGACATGAATAAAGATAGGATAGACTGGGGGTGTAGGATGTCAACGAAGAGATATGCACGTCGAGAAAAGATAAGACAGAAATCGGAAGCAACGAACATGCACGCAGATGTCCTGAACGAATTTCCAAAGATGGGGATGAGACCGAGAGCCGACGAGGCGCAAGAAACGATGAAGATATCATAGGATGTAATAGTTTGTCGTTGACGCAAAGCATTGGGAAACGCAGAACAGGACTAGTCAACTACCCATCGGTAGCCAACCATCCTTCCGAAGTCCCTCAGAGAACAATGATAGCCCGTCGACCACACCGTCTCCAAGGTTCCTCGTATGCCAGGGATAGAGGAAGGACTGGTAAGCTCGTCAGCGAACCAGCCCTCCTCCAGTGACCAGCTGCATGCACCAGAGCCCGTCGACCCCGATGCATCGCTGATCATCCCTAAGATCCCGACGCTGCGACAGGACATTGATAGTTTGTTTAGTCGATATCCTCGTCATCTCTAAGCGCCTGTTGGTGTACAATGGTGGTAGGCTCATTAAGGAGATTTAGAACGGGACAGCTGAGAATAAAGTTAGAAGGATGAAAGCACATTCGAGTCGAATGAAAACTCACGCAGGGGCGTATCCGACGCGTAGAACCGCCGCTTTCATCCCACTGGCGCATCGTAGGCGCACCGAGGGGGAAACGGCATGGGTTCAAGATTCGCCGGTTGGAACGCAACGAAGGGGTGGGTGAAATTTCCTTTCCCAGTCGTTGCCCCCTCCCAGCCGATCGTGGAGGGCGAGAGGAGCTCGGTCCACCAGCGCATGGTGACCCAGATATCTGACCCCGGGATACGGACGGTATCCCCTTTCGCCGAGCAGGCGATGGAATGCGAGATGGGGAAGGCACACGCTTAGGATAAGGCGTAACTGTCGGCGCCTCAAATGAGTCCTTCAATGTATCATCATTAACAGATGAGCTTGAGGATAGAGTGCCTAAGACCGGGTTAGACGGCCGCTCCAGTGAGTGGACCGTGGACTTGACCTAGACAACATCACCCATCAGCAGTTGTATCATACTAATCAAGTGACGATCCTCACCGAATCCTGAAGCACCTCGGGCTCAGGTTCGTGTTCCTCACCAGCAGGTTCTGCCAGGATCACAGACTTTAGCGCAAGATAAGCATCGTTGACGACCTTTTCATCCGATACAAATCGGCACAAAAAATCCTTAATCCACACGTGCTAAATGTGATGATGAACAATTTGTGGATATCATATTCAAAGTCGGAACTCACCTTAATCCATGAAGGCCAACCGTGACCCAAAGAGATGTACGGGGGATTTTCTTCAACAACTCCACCCGTCGACTGCAAAATTGGCCCGAGATCAGTGACCGGTAATAATCTCCAATTGACTATGCTCACCGGTTCTTTACATAGTCCAGGCTTGTGTTTCGCAAGAGCACTCTTTGTGAAAAGCGCGGACAGTAAAGCGAGATAAGCGTCGTCGCCGAGTTTTTCATCAGACACATATCTCTGGAGAAATTCCTTCGCCCAAATATCCTGAATGTGATAATGAGCAATTATGGATATGACCATAGTGTGTAGGGACTCACTTTACTCATTGCGGAGGAGTTATCGCATAAGGATGTGCATCGTGTCGGTTCCTTGACAACTGGAGCCACGCTTAACTTAGTCGACTCTAATTTCCGAACATCCATCATCGAAAACAAGGACGTTAAGGGCGGCATATTCTACAAGCTATGCATTACCACGTTCACCAATAGAAACCAGTTGGAACCTCACCTCTAGGCCCTCTTCAAGCTCAGCAAGGTCCGAGCGGAGTTTATCCAGCTGGGGGGTTTGACGTATGAAAGAACCGATGGATGAGAATGAAACTAGGGATATCTCTCCCTGCAAGTCCTGAAAACAAACATGTCAGTGACCGTCGGATAGTTGTTTGTGGTACTCACTTCTCGACTAGTCATTGAACGAATAGCGGATTCGAAAGAATCCGAAACGTTATACTCCATGCCAGCCATCATATCCGACACGGCATTCTGATCCGGGACCGTTGTATACGAGCTTGATACCGATTTCTCCGAATTGGACTCGCCGGCGGAAGAGGTAATCTATCGCGCATACAGTATTAGTCGGTATATTGAATGGCGTTAAATGGCGGTGCTTACCTGGGTGTCGGGTGCTTTGAAGACGAGACCATTGGTCGACTTTGTTGACGAGTAGATCGCGCTACTACTGTATCCAAGGTTTCCGGATGGGAACGACACCGTGCCTGTTGATGTCTGGAAGGAAAAATAAATCAATCCGGACTATATCATGATATACGACACTCACCTGGACGTCCGAAACCAACGATGAACCTATACCATGTTCTCCGTGTCCTCCTGCAGGTGTATCCTCTGCGGCGGCAACCTCGCCTCGGCCAATACCACTTCCTTCAGTTGCCGGACATCTCTCCAGTATGTCTAACACAGCAGAAACCAGCGCGTAGACTCCCGCCATTCCTACGTGTGTGAACACAACAACGCGGAGGTCGTCAGCAGATGCGGAATGATTCTCGGAGAGAAGCTCCCGGACGAGAAGGAGACCGAGAGCAATAGCGACCATGACAGCGAAGACAAGCGCAAAGAACAATGTTCGTCCGCTTGAACCAGGGACCGGAGATGACCTTGGGACGTACACCGGAATAGATGCAGGGCGATGCTGGGACGGCTTGAACGCCCTGCTGAGAACTACTACAATGGCACAGATCACGAAGAGTAACGCCAGTAGCGTTAACACCGGGAACGTCTTCGAGTTTGACGGAGCTTGTATGACCATAGGCGCGAGACGAACTGGGCGAGGCTCGACGAAATCGTCATTAGGCGGGGAATCAATAGGCGTCGTCGAAGGTGGCGTCGAGGAAGGTTCAGAAGCTGCTACAGGAACCATACTCTCGACGACGATTGGCTCAACGACGTCGATATCTACGATCCGAGACAGGCTATCCTCGAGGGAGGTCAACCTCGAATTGAAATCCGTGATTCCATGGGGAACGCCGTAGACGATTCTGTCTGCTATGACAGAGAGTCCCTTCCACCAGAGACCGATGTCAGTAGTGGAGATGGACGCCCCGTATAGAGACGTAGTAGAAAAAAAGAACAAGAAGGAAGAGAGTATGAGTGCTGAGCACAGTACCATGGTGACTGTTCCGAATTAAGATTGCTAATGTTGGATTTCCTGATCCATGGCTGCTTTTATACTCCCCGATCTTTCCTCGATCGTCGGATGTCTCCGTGACTGACGCGTCGAGGGATACCACGCGTCCTAGGGAGCAGTGTAGTAATCTGGAGAAGGGCGGGCGGGGAAGGGTAGGTAGAATTTGAATGCTTGAAAGATCGACACCCGTCGAACGTGTCAGTCGTGAGATTCGATTGGTATGGCTAAGTTTGTCACGGTGCGATCATATTCTGAATTCAGGCCAAGGCGGTTTAATAAAATTGCAAGAATGAATTTCTTAGTGTCACTTCGATGAGCGGAATATCGCCAGGCGGCGCATTGACCGCCTTTGCGAAGGAGACTCTTGTTGCTCCGATACCGTGCTGGCGTGCAAAGGTGCATGTAGGCCAAGCTCCGTCGAAATACTACCTGTGTTATTCAACGCCATAATGGATTTATTCGTTCAGGACATTCAAGCCACGGCTGTTCTGTGGAACTGTATGTTCGACCAGCAAATTAGTACTGTGAAAATGCATTATAAATATTAGAACTACACTTACACTGTCAAATATATTTCCAATCGTTGTTCAAGGCAGCGCTCTATACTTGATCCACTGGTTATTCCCTGTAGCTTAGCTACCTGCCTAAGGAATACAGTCAGCAAGAAGAGTCTTCGGATACATAGCGCAAGACCCACCATAAAATATCCCCAACATTTACCATCGACGTCAATTTCTACAAAGCTCTTGGACATCGAGATCACAAAAGAAAAGGTAGAAGCTGCCAAACTCAGTACGAAGCCAGCATAACTCAGCGGCCGCGAGTAGGAAGGTCAAGCATAGCTCTAATGAACAGGGTCAACACTGTAGATAGTGGAAACTGAGACAAAAATCATAAGAGTCACTCCCTGCCCAAATTTCCTCACCTACCACTAATAAAACAAAATTCCTCCCTCGCCCGATCCTTCCGTAGAGCACCGAAGTTGGCAAAGGTTGGTAAAAAAGACGATTTTGAAAGTGGACCTGGCAGCCTAATGGGCAGCCTCGGCCGAAGAGCTTTGCCCGAGAGACTACCCAAATATTGGAGGCCTAATTTCCATGAATTTACGCGACCAAGTTTGGCGGCCCTTCTGGAGGGCCTGGATGAGACGACTGGTAAGTTAATCGAAAGATGCATATAGGCATCTTTGATTCCCGGGTGCTCATGTGTCGGAGAGAGACAAATCTCCATGAAAGGACGAACAATCCGATTAGCAGAACAACGCAGAATTTTCGTAGTGATAGGCCAAGAGGGAGAGAACGGAAGTGAGATATCGAGCGTAACAGCACCAGCCCCTTCCAAAAGCCTTTGGATTGCTGAAAATCCAAATAAAGGTGGGCGACTGCGCGAAAAAGACGAAAGAACAAAAAGGACAGTCTCAGTGGCTGTGTTGCAAATCCGGCAACTTCCAACTTTGATAGCCGGTTCTTTCACTATCCGGCGACCACCAACCTCGATGAGTTCGTCCAGGTATGAGCGTACCGACTTCCTGTCGTATCGACAGAGTCTAATTCGCCAATAGTCTCGTACCCAGACGCCGACACGTCCATATACTCGTCCGACGGCATCCGCTTCCGGCTACACGGCATCACCCTCAATTTCACCTCCTTCAAGACGACCCTCTTCCTGAATCGTCCAGGACACTCTAACTTTTGTTCCAGCTCCTGTATAACGAGCCACAGCCGGACCTTGCCGAGCTTACTTTTCCTGGTCTTCTCCTGCTTGCCGAGGCGGCTCACACATATCAAGTCTATGCTACCTTTAGTCCCTGCAAGAACGCGGTTCGCCCTTTGATACCTGCTCACTTGCTTACAGTTCTCGGCGCCGCATTCGAATGGAAGGATCGTTCACTCGTGGACGAGGCAGCTAAGCATACCATCGCTCTGAAGAAGTTGTACAGCCGTTGGATAGTTCATACCTGGCGCCTTTGGTCAGTAATCCTTTTTGATCAACAATCATTAATTCATTATCCATGTACTACAGATCTTATACCACTGCTCTTGGATGTCCATTCTCTCTGCCACCCGCGCCATCGCAACCCCGTCTCTCGTCACTGAATGCTCAGCGCCTCAGTTAATGGCTATATTATACACAAATCCACAATGGCTGAATCTTTTCCTTTAATGCGGCTTTGCGCTCGATCCCGATCTCGGCCATGGACACCGTCGCTGTCTAAACGCCTCCGGAATCTTGAGTCTCTGTGATAGAGAAGCATTTTGCTATGACGAAATAAGACTACAATTGGCAAGGCTTATCCATATGTACGAATTCACTCAGAGCGCTAGCCTAGGGTGAGTGTTTTACTAGCTCCTGCTACATAACCCGAGCCTCATAATGTCAGGGTCTGCTAGATGAAATGTACGACGTCTGAGTTACTGCCGTCAAGATTGGTTTTCCGGGAGGTATACTAAATGAAGCTATGCCTGTGACACTATAAAAATCGTCAGACACGAGCGTTTACTCCCTGAGAAGACCCTATGAGGCCTGTGCTTGAGCCTACCGCGTAGCGATTAAATTTTCCTTACAGAACCAGTGCCACCGGACACTCCGGCACGTCGATATCGCCAGTTCTGCAACAATGAGGTTTATGTGCTGTTTCTTCGATTCGGTAAAGGCATTCAATTGACGCCACACCGTCTTATAGTTTTTTCACAGTATGACCAGTATCAGCATGGGACAGCTGAGCTCAAGTACTTGCAGTTTTGCCTGTTCCGAACGTTGATGGCACTTATGTCACCGAGACGGAAAGTATGTGTCAGTAGTCGTCGTAGCTGAGAAGTCGACCACTAATCAACTTTTTTTTTCCTTCGACAGTGCTTTATGCGTCATCGAACAGACCACCATTACGGGCTTGTGCCGATAGATCCGTTGTCCAAGGGTCAGGAAAACTTTTTTATCTACTCTTCTCGGTGCCTGACGCTTGGTGCGTGCTTCGCGCCTCTCTCTCGTTGACTGGAACCAAAGAGGTGGCTAAACATACGTGAGTATTTAAGCGCGCGCTTCCGGTTTTGTTTTCATGACATTGAGACTTAAAATAGATCACGTCTAACGACAGCTCTTTCGTATTCTAGCCATGATTCTTTGCTAACGGTTTCTCATTCATGACACTACGCAGCATCTGGGACACGAACCTCATATTACTCTTGCAGCATGTTCAAGTCTCGTTTTGTGTACGCGCCATCCAAAACTAGAGCCGCTCATCCGTAGTGACAGTAAAGTAAGTACGCTCTCTTCCTCCTTCAGCCTTCAGAGTCTCACCGCCACTCCAGTGTTCTAATTCGCCACCTCAGAATTCTCCCCTGTTCCTCCAAGGCGACAATGGTGTTTTCGCCGTCGGCACAGGGTGGATATCAGGGATGAGCTTTGGTGGGCGCTTACCAGTGCTGCCATAGTGCGGTGTGCCTATCAAGCTGCCGCCACAATGAGGTGAGGCTTCATTGACTTCAGAATTAGATTCGTATCACATCCCCTTACATACTCTATTCTCACTACTCATGGCACTTCACCCATATCACTGAGGACGTACTTTTCATTGACCGTTAACTTGGCGCAGTCGGTAATGTACTATTGAATAGTACGAGGTAGTAGTCCTACTTGGTCTCAGGCTATCGGATCATTTCTCTTCACTATAGAAAACACCGAGCTCAGTTATTCTTCATAGCTAAACACTGCCTTGTTAAGTCACAGAAACGCACAGAAATCGTTTGAGTATTTATTCAGACAACCTACGCCTTGATCTTTAAAGATCTGATTGGCCTTAACAGTTGCACAAAACCTTATCGATCTCTAATCATCATCTTGAACTGATATCTCGATAGCTCTCCTTCTATACTGTCAAGTCTATTTTCAACTAAATTTCACTGGTCCCGGTTATCACTCAGGGCTTTGGAACTTCGTGGTTTGAAATAGAAGACCCTATACGGGGAGTGGGTACCGTACTCCAAAGATCCACTCGTCTCCGTTGAGTGCATCCTCGGGCCTCTTTCTCCTACTATTTCCCTTCCTTCACCAACATCAAAGAAGAGATAGCTCAATATTAGCTACTCGGACGACCCATGCATGTCTAAACTCTCTTCCTTGAACTTCCTGTCTTAGGTGCTTGTCCTCGTCCTAGGCGCTCAGTCTGTCCAGTATGCCAGTGGCTCAGTACTCCGTCTCACGAGGAAGTCTGCCTTTGGCGCACAGTTTGGCCCCACATAATTAAACTGACCGGGTGGAAGTCTCAAGAACAATTATGGACTAAGCTTCTCAGAAACCTTGCAGCACGCAGGAGCTACCTTGTTCTCGCTTCCATCGATATACTGATTCTACATCGTGACTTCACTCAATCTTGCGTCTTGCGTATACCGGGATTACTTGATCACCGTTCATATTATATCGAAGGCCGAAAGCAAGTTCCTTTGTTCATAAATCAAAGGAGTCGAGACGATTCTATGAAAATACTGGCAGCGAATCAGCTGCAGGTCCATGTATTGAATGCCCTTTCAGCTTCACATTGCTGGATTTAAGCGTGGGAACGTAAACGATGCCGCCAGTGGAGGTAGGAATTTTTCTGGTACCTTTTGTCGATGAACCAAACGATGGGTTCAAAGTCTCCGCTTCAAGATTTTGTAAACAAGTACTGGTGGATCAAACCCGAATGCGCGTGGGAACAGAACCAAGCTTAACTCGAACCTGCCTCATGCTGACTACCAGCAACAGTAACGCTCGCTGCTTCTGCCTCTGCTATAAGGACGACGCAGCGACATGATCCCATTTCTGTGGCTCTCCCAGCTCTTCCATTCCCTTCTGCGCTTCGTTATGCCACCCCAGCACAGCGACGAGATGCGTGTCTTTTCACGGACCAAGGACGTAACCAATGCGTCGTCTCTTCTCAGCTCTCTCAAAGAGAATTACCATTTCCTCGACCACGGCCTCAGAAACATAGTTCTCACCCAAGTTGAGTACTGTAAATGTCGCTTCAGCCAGGACAGTCCCGGGGAGCACGAGTTCCTGCTCGTGACGTTGAAGGAATTGGTGGGAGCTCGACGGCCGGCGTATCTGATGGTGGACCGGTTGAATGACGATACAAAGAAGTACAGAAAGGATGAACTCCTGGCTGATTTGGTTAGGCACCAGGACCAGGAAATGGCCGGCATGGAAGAGACCGACTCTTCCGATTCATCCACATCATCTTCCGCCGCGTCCTTAACGTTGTCAACGACGGCCTCGATGCCTAGAGTCTTACCCGCTGCTCCAACATGGGATACTCCGAGTCGTGCTCATCGCTCTATCGCCAAAGTCAAGATAACCACCAAGGGCGATCCTCCCGACGCTCTCGACAGGCTCATCATCTTACCCAGGAGGGGCGACGTTGTATCCTGTGCAGGAGAGTTTGACGTTCTCATGACGATGGACCTCTCACGCTCAGAGAATGTCACTCTCGAACGTTTCGCGCACCTTCTTCGAACTACTTCGAGTAACACACCACAATACCACTTGATTTTCGCTCAGTGTTATTGGTACGCCTACACCATTTGGAGGGTCCTTGAGATGGCGGTACAGCCGCGGGTGTACATGTACGACTCGGAACTGGCTAAACGCCAATGCTCACATCGGTTAACAGGGTATGGGAACAGGCTGGTTTTAGGGAGGGGCAAGTCGGTGAATGCGGTAAGGTCCCCAGAGACGATCAAGGCCCAGTGGGAGATGGAGAAGTTTACGGAGGACCAGGAGTGGGCTGAATTGAAACAGGTGACAATCACGACTTTTCGAACGAACGCGACTTTCTGATGATACATTCAGGCACTTCATGCTCCAGAAGAAGCTCGTCGTGAGGCTGAAGCCGCTTTACGGCAGGCAGAAGCTCGCGTGCGTGAGCTTGAGAGGAGGCTAGAAAGTTGTCAGCGTCCTACAGCTGCCGCTAACGCAGTCTAAGTCATCTTTTTTTCATCTTTTCTCTCATGTTCGTTGCTGTCATTTGCTTTCGTGTTATCCATCGCTATCGGTCTTTGCTATCATGTTCAATTGCTTTCTTGTATATTCAGTACTGTGCATGTATCCATGTTCTATTAATTACGGCTCTATCGCAACTATACATAATTCCTTATTAAATATTAACCAACACTCTTACTTCGAGAGCTGACATATCTACAGAATTTAGAAATCATGACGAGTTCTCTACGACGTCAAATACTGTTCAAGTCAAAAGGTTTTACTCACGAACGATGATATTACTGGTGGACGTATCGTATAAGCTCGTCCATTCCGAATACCAACCGACAACTCGTAAATACAAGAGATAGGTTTAATTCATTTTTCACGGGCATTCCGAGAAAACTATAGTTAGTGTCTTGTTGTTTACATTGAGTGGACGTAGCAGCGAAATATCTGTGGAGTAATCAGCCTCATACATCACCGAGGGAACGAGTTAGCAGCGAAGAAAGAAAACGGCGGTTATAGTACCAAAGCGAAGGGTCAATTACTCAGGTGCTACTACTTACCCAGAAGAAGCGCTAAAAGTTAAGCTCAAATTCAGTCACAATTGGGGTAGACATCTCCAAAAAACGATAAAATTCCCAAAACCCACAAATATACAAACACCGAAAAAAAATTCCAAGAAACCCGGAGAGATGTTAAATAGGAATAAAGATAACCTGTCCTCGAATCAGAGATATGCAAGTTCGCAAGGTTATAGGATGTCCCAGAAATGCCCAGAGAAGACCACGAGATCTAGATAGATATAAACGAGGTAGAGAGGGAATAGTAGAAGCGAGAAATAGCGATGATGATCATAGACTGACGATAGACGCCGAAGGATGTTATTCGAGCCCGAAAGCATCGAAACGATAGATATGAACCAGGATAGGCTGGGGGTGTAGGATGTCGACGAAGAGATATGCATGTCGAAAAGGTAGAATAGAAGTGATAAATAGGGATGATGGTAGGCTGAAGATAGGCGCCAATGGACAAAAGTATCGAAATAGATATGAATAAAGATAGGATGCGGAGATGTAGGATGTCGACAAGAGATATGCTCGTCGAAAATAAAGGTATATAGAGAATAGAAGTGATCGATAGCGATGATGATAGGCTGAGGATCGACGCCAAAGGACGAATGTGCAGGGTCTAGAAGGATCAACGCAATAGATATGGATAATGATAGCCTAGGGTGAGGTAGGATGTCGACGAAGAGATATGCACGTCGAGAAAAAGATGATATACAGATATCGTAAGATACGAGCACGCGCGCGAATGTTCGAAACGAATTTCCCAGGGATAACGATGAGACCGAGAACCGACGAGACACAGGAGACGACGAGGATATCATAGGATGCAATAGTTTGTTGTCAACGCAAAGCATTGGGAAAGGCAGAACAGGACTAGTCAACTACCCGTCGGCAGCCAACCGTCTTCCGAGGCCCCTCAGAGAACAGTGATAGCCCGTCGACCACACCGTCTCCAAGGTTCCTCGCATGCCAGGGATAGAGGAAGGACTGGTAAGCTCGTCAGCGAACCAGCCCTCCTCCGGTGACCAGCTGCATGCACCAGAGCCCGTCGACCCCAATGCACCGCTGATCGTCCCTAAAGAATCCCAATGTTACGACGTAGTATTGAATAGTTTGTTTAGTCAATATCCTCGTCATCTTCAAGCATTCGTTGGTGTATCACGGCAGTGAGTTCATCAAGGATTTTTGGGACAAGAGATCTGGGAATAGAGTCAGAACAATGAAAATACAATTGACCGGAATGAAAGCTCACGTAGCGACGTGCTCGGCGGGCGGCAGTGCCGCTTTCGTCCCGCTGGCACGTAGTAGGCGCAATGAAGGGGGAACAACAGGGTATGGCGGTTCGCTCGCTGGGACGCAGCGAGGGGAGAGATGGAGGTAAAGCCTTTCCCGGTCGCTGCACCCTCCCGGGAATCGGAATGCGAGAGCAGGTCGGTTTCGGGGTGTGGGATCGTCCGCTCCTCTGAACCGGGGCAACAGAAATTATCGCCTTTCGCTGAGAGGGGACTCGGATCCGGGACGGCGCTGGAGGCACAGGCCGACGAACAGTCGTCACCGCCAGCGCCTCAGATGTCGACCCCAGGACTGGGTTCGATCGCCGCTCCAATGGGCGATCCATGACCTTTTCATACCCATCAGAAGGTGTATCTCATTAATCAAGTGACGATGCTCACCGTTTCCTCCACCTCCTGATCCTTGTTTCCGAGTTGCTGGGAGACATTCGGAATTAAGGAGGGCAAGGGTACAGGCGTGCCCGCCGATGCAACCACCATGTTCTCATCAATGCATCCGTCTGAGGATGACAAGTCCCGAAGCATTGGATTTGTTGGCCGCTCCATTGGGCGTGCCGTGGATATCTCCTCGTCATCACCACCGGATGACTCTGAAGACGAACCTCGCAGAACAGGGTTCGTCGGCCGCTCAGGCAATGAGTAACCCATGGGCAAGTTCTACACAATATCACCTATCAGAAGGTGTATCAAGACAGCCATTTGGCGATGCTCACCGAGATTGTTTCTTCCGGTTCTTGAACGACTGTGGGCACACTCGAACTTGTCGAGGGCACTTCCGGGATATTTTTCTGACCATCGGCCACCGATAACAATGGTATTAAGAATGACACAGTCTACAAGGTATCCATTAGCACGTTCAGCAATAGAAACCAGTCTGAAACTCACCTCGAGGTCCTCTTCGAACCCGGCAAGGTCCCGGCGGAGTTTGTCGAACAGGGGAGTTCGACCTATCGAAGAGTGGACTGATGTATATAAATCCCGGGATACGTGCTGAAAAGACAAATATCAGTGACCGTTGGACATGTATTCTGGGTGGTACTCACATCCGAGCTCTCCGAGGGAATGGCTGATTTCAAGCAATCTGGAATATCAGACCTTATGCCCGATTCACCAACGGTCATACGGTATCCGCCGTTCTGTTCTGAAGGTGTGTTGCCAGTGGAGGAGGTAGCCTTTCGCATGTAAAGTCAGTCGGTACATGAAAAGCACTAAATGGCGGTGCTTACCTGGGCTTCGGGTATTCCGAATGTGTGTTCGCCATCAGTCGACCTTGTTGACATGTACATGCTACTGCTACTGCGCGCAAAGCTCTCTGAAGGTAGGGGCGCCATATTCGTTAATGCCTGAAAGGAACACTGAATAAATGCGGGTTATTTCATGGTATACGACACTCACCTGAAGGTTTGAAACCGTCAGTGAACCTATGTCCCGTTCTCCGTGGTCCCTTACCGATATATCCTCCGCGGCAGCAACCTCGCCTTGGCCAATTACGCTTTCTTCAATTCCCATGCATCTCTCCAATATGTCCCACAGAGCAGAAACTAAGACGTAGATTCCCGTCATTCCTACATGGACAAACAGAACAATCCAGAGGACGTTGAACGTAGCCGCATCGCTCTCAGAGACGAGGCTTTGGACGATCAACAGACCCAGCGTAATGGTAACCGTGACAACGAAGATGAGGGCAAGGAACAATGTTCTTGCACTTGAACCGGAGACGGCAGAACGCAACACCTTAGACACCGAAGTAGACGCAGAGTGATGACCGTGGGATGGCTTGAACACCCGCTTGAAGACCACGCCGATGGCAGAAAGAGCTGACAAGAAAACCGACAGTGAGCACGCCTTGAGGATCCGCCTGCTCGACAGAGACCGTGTGACATTAGGCGGGATACCAGGAGGAGGCGGCTGGAAGAACGTCTCGTAATACGGGTAATCCGTAGGTTCCATCGAAATTGGCGTCGAGGATGGTTCGGCGGGAAGTGTAACCGGATCCATGGTCTCGAAGACCACTGGCGTGATGACATCGGCGACCACGATTTGGGGGAGAGGAACATCCTTCAGGACAGAGGGTCCGACCCACCCCCAACTTACGTCAGAGGCGGAAATGGATGCCTTGTACAGGGAGACCAGAAAGAGTATGACGACGCTTAATAAGAGTGCCGAGTTGAAAACCATGGTAGTGGTTGGTGAAAAGATTTATAATGTTGGATTTCCTGAACCATGCCTGGTTTTATACCCCCCGATCTTTCCTCGATCGTCGGCTGCTTTGCGTGACTGACGCGTCAAGGGATACCACGCGTCCTAGAGAGCAGAATAGTAGTCTGGTGAAGAGCGGGTGGTGGAAGGGAAGGTAGAATCTGGACGCTTGAAAGAACGACACGAGTCGGACGTGTCAGTGGTGGGATTCAGATGATTCGGATCCCGTCACGGCATAATTACATTCTGAAGTTGGGCCAAGGCGTTTTAGTATAAAATCGATAGAATAATTTCCCAGGCGTTTCGTCGATGAGCCCAATATCGTCTGGCGGCGCGTTCGTTGTCCGTTGGGAAGGAGACTGCCATTGCATCTACGCCGTACTGACGTGGCCTAGCTGATTGCTCCTTCGAAGTACTACTCATGTTCGAGGCCATAATGGAATCCTTTGTTCGGAACGTTCAAATCATGGTGGTTCCCATGCATCTGGACTGAACCAGAAAATCCGTTGTGTTAAAAAACCAAAACCACGATAAATATCAGATATGCACTTTTGAACATCCCCGGTCGCTGTTAAGAATGGCTTGCACAAAGACTGTTGTTATCCCCTTTAGCCAGAGAAGAACTGTGCGAGAAACACGGTGAGTAAGAACGTTCGTATGCATATCGCAAAGCTCACCATTTCAAGTTCCCTATTATTTACCTTCAACAACATACCATTGATGCCAAATTTCGCAGATACGTTTTGATAAGGAATCAAAACGATCTGTGATTGGGTAAAGGATGCTCGGAAGGTTATCACAGAGATCCTATCGTCAGATAGGGTCTTGCAAAATCTCTTCCGGAAGCATTAATGAAACGACTGTGCATTTCTGAGCATGTAAAGGTAGGTATCGGCCACCTGCAGAAACGAAACGCTCAGCGGTTGAATTTCCAGACAAAGGCAGACTGCTCGTTGCCATACGCGTTAGAGGAAAAGAAAAGCGAAGGTTGATTTAATATTTTGAACATATCATCATCAGGAAGGGCTCTTCCTTTGGCCAAAAGACTTTCCTGTGCACGCCATCCTCGATAGTCAGACCGCCTGCACAAAAAATGCGATAAGCAAGACGATTGTGAGTTTGAATGCTGAAATACCCACCTTCGTAAAAATCCCTCCAACCAGAATTCCTCACAACCGTACACCTCTCATGTCTAATTCTGCTAGTATTCTCGAGCGAAGACCGCAAAGAAATGGCTGTTCGGCTCGTGAAGAGATGCACCGAAGCTGATTACGAAAACAGCAAGTGATCCCCGACAGAATGACTTTCTGTGAGATTGATGAAACAATTGGTTCCCGAATCACGGTGTACATTGTACACGTAGGCACCGCTCGTAAAAACGACAGGACGAGTATTGCCGGTTGTCAGGCAAAGGCTAAGGCAGAGATGTTCATCGTCATATACCCAGAACACAAAAATTTTGGCAAAAAAAATTCTCCCGAATCGTAGAAAAGAGACAGTGGCTGTGTTGGAGTCCGGCAACTTGAATATTTGATACCTACCTCACCTCGATGAGCTCATCCAGATGTGAGTATACCGACCGCCCGTCGCATCGACAGAGTCTAATCCACCGACAGTCTCGTACCCAGACGCCGACACGTCCGTATACTCATCCGACGGCATCCACTTTCGGCTACACCGCATCAACATCACGCTCAACTCTCATATCCCTCTTCAAGACGACCCTCTTCCTGAATCGTCCAGGATACTCGAACTTTTACTCCAATTCCTGTATAACCAACCACAGCCGGACCTTGCCGAGCTTTACATTTCCTGTTCTTCTCCCGCTTGCAGAGGCGGCCCACAAGTATCGAGTCTACGCTGCCAGCAGCTCCTGCAAGAACGCGCTTTGCTCTTTGATACCTGCTCACTCGCTTCCAATCCTCAACGCCGCGCTCAAATGAAAAGGCCGTTCACTCGTGGACGATGCAGCTAAGCAAACCATTGCTCTTTCTGCTGAAGAAATCATACAGTCACTGGACAGTGCGTATCTCGCGCCTTGGGTAAGATATTTGGTTCTTTTTCAGCAGTAACCATTACTCACGAACTAAAGATCTTATATCACCGCTCCTGGACATCCACCCTTTCCGTTGCTCTGCGCTACCGCGACCCCTTCTCTCGTCACTGGGAAGGCACGAAAGACCAAGTCGGCGCTAAACCTATGGCCAATCCCTGTGAAGTCTGGACTACTGTCGCATTCGACCTGGAGGGACACCCAGAGAAACTTATTGGAGGCAGCGTGTGGAGAAGGGCGCGAGAAACGCTGAGGCTGAGATGCACGGCATGTGAAGTGTGGCTAGATGAGTGGGAGGCCGAGTTCACGTGGAGGATTGGTAAGGTGCCAGGATTCTGGGAGGTCGCATCTGGAAAGAACAGCTAGGACCAAGTGTGCGTGTATATAATCATCTAATACCAACAGAGACGCATTTGAAAGTCCGTGAAGGTGATGCCCATATTTGGGTTGTCACGAGTCCTATCTGTGCTTCCTCTTCGCCATCAATACACAAACTCCAGGCCTCAATAAACCACGAGAAACAGTCATGTCTGGGAATGGGTTTTCTCGACGGATCGATTTGCGCGTAAAGGCGATCTGATATTAGGTTCAAACCGCAGCACACATATCTTCTAATCTTTATCCCGTATTTCAGCGCGCATACACATGGTCAGCGCTCTAAAATTCGCGCCGTAGTTCCCAATGCTTCCCATATTCAACAGAGCCATCAAATTTGGTGGCATGTTAGAATGATTATCCACTGGGTGCTCCACAAGTACCGACTTGGTCGTAAGGCCGATCTCTTACTCCGAGCTGATTTCATCATTAGTGTATGTATCTGGACACGAAGATGTCAACTTTAGTAACGTACTTCTGCATCATCGTGAGGTTCTCATATTTGATTTACGGTGGCCAAGAGAAGCTATTGTAGATTTACGGATCATTGGCGCCTATTGAACAAATGGCACGCATTGTCTTATGAATACAATTTTCTGATATTCCTTCTTCCTCATCTCGCAGTGGCAGCCATCGACTCCCCCATCTTTATCGCCTCGTAGATGTGAAATGTCCGGACATGAGCTGGCTCGTATCTTGAGTATTCCGGTGGAACTGCTGAACCTGCTGGAGGAAGAGTCGTAAAACTGGGCAGCGACACAATACTAGGAGCTCCCGTTTCTACTACTGACGGTATGAACGACATCGAATCTGATGTATCATCTACCGAAAGCGATTGGTAGTGCTGACGCTCGCTGCAGGAGATATTGTGAGAAGCGAGAACACAGAAAGAGAGGATCGACTCACCATTGATAATCTGGGATGTCACTCCAGCTTTCGGAAGAAATGGATGGAACAGAGAAAACTGAATCGAGGGTACTTCCAGTGTCTGAACTCTCGGGTACGTAAGAAGAGGCTTCACGCGGGTTGAAGCGTTCGTGTAAGAACCCTTCATAATCCCACAACGCATCTTCTACCTCTTCTCCCGCGAAATCCATGAGCGTATACTTGAGCGATAGAAGTACTCTGGGGTGCTTCAGCGCATGGACTTCGATCTCCGTCCGAGGGAGTGGGATGAAGGTAGATGGCCAGAGCACAAGCCCAGGTGAATGCGTCAGCTGGTGGCTCTCATCGGTGAAACCCAGCTGCGGTGGGGCCAACAAGAGATGTATCGTCCGAAGTTCCCTCGCCTGCCCAAATATCTTTTGTGCCATCTCCACGACAAACTGGCTTGGAGAGAGGTGGATCCCAAATTGACTGTTGTTCAGCTGCTCGAATACAGACTCGAGCTCTTTGGTGGCAGTTGTTTGTTCTATCCAGGGATCAGAGCTGGTGGAAGTAACTGAAGTTTGGGAATTGCTAGGTGATATAGTTGAATCTGCCTCGGTGTTGTACGACTCTTCATCGGTAGTGATGGTAGGCCCTCGAGACACCTCCAAATCACTGTTAGGGTCGGGAGAGGAGCCCTGTATTGCTGGGAGTTTACCATATGGAAAGAATACATGGTCGTCAATGATTTCCAGTCGGCCTCCGACAGTCAGTACGCGGCAGACTTCGTTAAGGACGAAATCCCATTTTTCAAAGGGTATCGCATACGTTAAATTTGCCATCCGGACGAGATCGAAGGAGTTGTTGGGAAACGGTAGTTTGCTTGTTATACTGCCACAATAATGAGCACCATCAGCACGAATCTGAGGAGGCCAAGATTCATGACATACAAATTGCCCTCGACGAAGGTTGTGTTGTCGACGATTTCGTGCTGCACCGCCAGAGCATGTAATGGATGTGTAAGATCGACCATGTCAAACCCGGTGACCTTGGTACCATAGCCCTTCCAAGCAATTGCTGCATGGAGCATCCAATAGCCTTGACCACAACCCAAGTCAAGAACCGTAGCCGGCGGATTATCGCCATACTTGTGAACCGACGGACTGCCAATCAATTCTTGCAACAGATCCGTCGTTAGTCGATCCCTGGATACAAAAGATCGTTACAACAAGTAGTGGCAAGGTATAGGAAACATACTGCTCTAGAAGTATTGGATCATGAGGATCCAAAGGGTACGTGTCTGCCATGCGCGAAGAAGATGGCAAGTTTCGAGTGGCATCATTCGCATTCACAGATGCTTGCAGAGTCTTTGACTTCTTCTTCAGCTGCTTCGTAAGCCTTGGACGCGATGCACTGGGGTGCGCTCGAGACCTCGAAGAAGGGAATACAAAGTCCCCAGCCTGATGGACAGGTTCCAGCCGAGCTTTAATCCGTTCAGCAACAGCTTCGGACATCAGTACCTTTTCTGCCTTCGACTTCATCACGACCTTTGCCATAGCAGGAGTAGCATTTGGATGCGCCCTAGATCGGGACGAGGGGAATACGAATGCGGATGGGGATGGCGCGAGTGATTCGCACGAAAGAGTGAACAAAGAGGCAGGCGCGTTGACGTCCAAGGAAGAGAAGGATTCAACACTTGAAGTAGAACTTGAGCGGGTCCGCACAAGGGATGGAACAAGTGCAGGGGCCGACACTGGGTTCGACTCCGTACTGTTCGGAGGGGACAAGACATAGAAAGTATCGCGTTTAGACTGACGTTGGAGGAGTGGAGGCGAAACAGCCGATGTAAGATCAATCGAGTCCACTTGAAACGGTGAAACGTAGGTTGGGAAGGGCGACGCTGCTCTTGAGCATGGATTTGGCCTCTCTTCGTTGTGGGGTAAAGTGGGACAAGCTGTACTAGACTCATGTCCTGACTGGTTACTTGCTTCGGACACATAGAAAGGCGAGACTCTTAGGTCGACCTGAACAGGAGAACAATGATGTTAGGAAAAGAAAGAAAAAAGAAGAGAAGGTAACTCACCGGTGGTCTTCGCAGGTTGTTTAGAATTTGCTGCGCAGATGTCTTTTTCGCCGGTATTCGCCTCCGTCCCGAAGCGGCTCTGGATGACATCTAATATTCGACGGCTAATGAGTGTGTGCCCAGAGATCAAGGAAAAGACGTACTGTAGCAGAGACCAATACTCTAAGGAGTGCGCAGCGAAGTGCGGGTTCAAGCGCTCGTTCTTAGGACGTGACAATAAGCTGAAGCCGAATGACTGTAAATCCTTTACTTAAAAGCATGGGGAAAAAGCGCTTACGGATTGTGGAGCGTGTATTTCTCGACCAAAATAGCGCCCAATGTATTTAAATGTTGAAGTTCCCGAAGGGTTTATCGTTCCAGTGCGTTATCATAAAATGATTGTCGAAATCAGAAGACAGCGGTGATGAGATCGCCCTACTGATCCACAACAGACGGAGGGGCTGTTCAACAAGCACATTCACTGGAGGTGCGCACCAAACACAGTCACGCCTTTGAGTTTCGGGTAAAACAAGGTTGGGCTGTGGGATGCTGATCTTACTCTACATTGACTTAAAGCAAGGACCGTGAGTGTCCGGGATGGCGAACAAGGGAAAAACACACCATCAGCAAGAACGAGAAGTTGATAAGAGGTGCTTCGCATATTATAGGCCACCAATGGGACGAGGAGCCTTATCAAGCGCCAGTGAAGCTTTTGACGGCGTTCGGTTTTGTGCGAGAAAAGAATGTCAGGGCCATCCGAAGTCAATAAAATTCCCGCGCTGACAAACACGAGCTAAAAAAGCGAGGTTCAACAGATAAGAGAAGGTACCAACAGATCCTCGAGCATGTGGTTCAATTACACGGCATTGAAACTGACGACGTAGTTGTACCGTGTAACATGCTAGGACGCCGATCAGCTTGAGCGAATGAGAATACCGCCCCTTCGGCCCAAATGAAGTCAAATTGGAGGCGGCACCTATCGATGTGCAACTAGTAGTAGAAGTAACTTTGGTTTCGGATTCAAGAACAATCCCGACAGATACTGACATCACTTACCAATAGAACGGCAGGATTTCTTGATAAAATCGGTGCCTTTGGTGGCAGAGGCTGTGAACTGAGATGTCCGTGGTCTGTGGATTGACTCAGCAATCGTCACTGTGGCAGCCTGAAGGCAGGTCCTAGACCAAGAAGACCATACCTCCAACTAGTTTTAATCTCGACGTATCGTTCTTGAGGTTCGGGGCCCGCAGTATACCGTTGACACGATCTCAGTATTCAGACGATGGGCGGGATGGAATCAGCCAACTGATATTGATTGACATCGAACTGCCATCTACTGAACAGAAGCGAGGGTCAGCGAACAGAGACTCAAATTTGATACACACTTGAAGAGATGCTCGTCAAAAAAGAAACCGGCGTAGTAAATTTTTACACACGTCGTATCAGGATTCAGGCCCAGGAATGACCCCAATCGAAATGAGTCATTATAGCTCACTTTGACAGACCTCCATGCTGCGCCAGGCTGATGGTGGTAGAGGCCGTGAGAGGGAAGTGTTCATTTTGCTGTTTGGGGATTCCAACGGCATCGATAACAAACCACTGAGTGATATCCCAGTCGTTCCCACGTTCCTCAAAACCATGCAACAGCTTCATTTAATCCAGCACATGTAGGACCACTAATAACAGCACTCGTTATCCCAACTGCTCCACCGCCGAGTCCGCCCGAGTTGGTGTGCGACTTCAATGAAACACGACTGGCATTTCTTGACCTGCAAATAGTGGAGCTACCGAGTGAATTAGAATATGCCGGTTGTAAGGATGACCATACTAGGGATAGCCTGCGCGCGATATTTGTGGGTCTGCGAAATCCTGCATTCTTGTGTCGTTTATGCGCGCTAACGTTTATCCGTCAAGGCAACAGTTGTCAAGTGGTTTTGAACGCCGTGACGCGAGGTTGCTCAGTACAGCTCGCAACTCTTGTACCCGTATGTTTCCTCAAGCGTAACGTACGATGATACTAGTATCTAACGAATAAATTGAGTACGCCCAATGGTCAAGAAAATGAAACGGAATGCTGACATGCAATACCAGACTTCAAAGACTCTATTGTAACGCTGTTCGCCTCCCTCATCGTGACTCCAGAGTAGGATTTTGCAATGATTCACAACAGAGTGTGATCTGAAAGATAATGAAGAACATCGCAATGAAGAAAGGAACCGATAAAGTTGAGCTGGACGACGGTGATGGTGGCGGGCAAACTCCCGTGGCACATAGCCACCCCGGTCGGCACGTTATCCGCCCCTCCTCGCCATTGTAAAGTCACGCCCAGCTCAGCATTTCGCCCAATGGTCTAAATTCTGCAAGGGAGTACGAAGCTGTTAATTTTTATACTACTTCTGCTTCAAACCTCCAGTTCGCATCACCATTAATTTTTAAATAACAGGGCATTAAATTTTTTGGCGCATTTGAAGCTGTCGATCTTCTCAGCACCTCATACTGTATCTACTTGCTACTCTCATCTCGAAATTACCAATGACTCAGGTCTCTGAGGGCGTGTAAAGAAGGCCTTTACATCTAAAGCGACCGTCAGTCGCACGGTTCCCAAAAAAATCACCGAATTCCGGGATGGAGCTGATTGTCTACATGAATGGTTGCATATTCGAGGCCCTTCACTGGCACCTCTAAGCTCACTATGTCACTTAGATGTAGTTCTGATACGACTACACGTTATCATGAAGAACTTCGCAACTTGACACTCACTGCAGGCTTCTTTGTATTATGACCTTCTCTTTTCAGCGTCGCGTCCTCCTCGTCCTCTTCACTGTGTGTTCTTCGTCAACGTTAGGCTTGTCAAAAGGTGAGATGTGAGGGCTTTTCATGTACTCATCTGCCCCCAGGCTCCTCATAGCGAAAACCCGTTCCCTCTTTACTACCAGGCCGCCCCGAACCCAACCATCTACCAACGAATCTTCGAAATCAAACCACTTAACCGAGACATCCTTTAGCACCGTCACATTTCTAACCCAGCGGTCACACCCTACGTTCCTATGGTAAGTCAACAATCCGTGAAGACTCTTAAGCCAAAGTTGAAGTGCTTTCTCCTGGTGAGAAATTATACATGATAAACTCTCTGTCGAGATATTGGAGCATGATCACTTCTAGTCACCACACAGTTACTCTTCCTCTGGTATACGACAATCTGAATGATAGATAAGCATCGTAGTTCTGGAACTTCAAGAAACTGAGGCATAACAGTGCCCAAGATAGGTCTAAGCTTTACTGTAGACGCCGACTCCAGAGCAGAAGCTGTGTCAATAGAAATCTTTGAAGCCGGGGATTTTGAGGATAAGAAACTGAATGAGAATCTGAGGCTGCCAAGATCGTGCATCATGGAGAATTCGACAAACAACCTTGACTCGGAGAATACACCCAAGAACCAAAAAATTTCTTTCGGTGAAGCTCGGTGAGGATATCAAAGGCGATGGCGCCCTAAAACGCCAAGAGGGTGAAATCACGTGATCGTGTCGAGGAAGCAGACTCGCCACTCCCATGGAAATTCCTAAGCACGTAAATCCGCAACTGTCAGATCATATTTACTGAACCGGGTATAAAGAAGCGTCCACAATACATATCAGCCTCAATAAAATCTCGTAATTTTTTTTTTCTTGTTTCCCTGCAACTTTTCTGAATGCCGGCAAACTCTTTAGTTGGTCGCAATCGCAACAGTTAGGGGATCCAATGCGGCCATCTGGCCCCAAGTTGTAAAGTTCTGTGCGGCGCCGTGCCAGTCCGACGAATACGAGCCTCCATTTGCGACCTGTGTGAGAAGGGCATTGTACTAGAACGAATCAGCATCCTGAATAGAATGGATCGACCATTCACTTACCTGTACATCAACGTAGCTATGTATCAGGATGCGCAAGTCGTCGTAGAGGGGGTTACGATTCCATGCTTCAAGCAATCCTCGTATGAAAATCGCTACGAAGATATGCGCTATCAGCCAAGGATTGTTTCACTGGATCAATATCCGAACCTTTGAACCCAACCCCATCGTTGTTCGATGATGGGCTCGCGCCTTCAGTAATAATGCCGTCGCTTCCTTCCCACGCCGACGACTTTACTGCACTCGCCACAGTGTTTACCAATCTGCACCAAGATGAATTCCAGTCATCCCTTGACGAGCTGCAGGAAGACTCACAAGTTACTCCAAGTTTCGTCGTTCGTTATATTTGCTAGGACGCTCAGTCCTTCGATAAATTTACCACTATTGTAAGTGAACAGCCAATTTGCCGCACTCCGTGAACAGTCGTGTGCGTTTAAGCTGTCTAAGAGAATACCATTTTCGTTGATCTGGAGTGCTTGCATCCACTTAGCACTCTGGATCGCTGCGTTGGTATACTTAGAGTCTCCTGTTATATCAGCAAGGAAGGCAGAGAGACTAGAAAGCTACTAAGCCTTGCTATCCCTGAATAAGACAAAACCTACGTTACGTAGAGCCTACAAAACATCAGCGAAAAAAAAATTGGTTGAAACACAAAGCGTACCCAGTTGTGATAGAATTCATGCCTGGATCGTCCTCGACCGGTCGCTAGCGGAGTCAGGCATCAAGGGCTGACATCAAACTAGATCCCGGACATAGCTTACCCAGAAGGCGCCTCCTGCCATGGACTCTAGAATACGAGTACGTTAATTTGCAGTGGAGGAAAGTAGCAAAAATCGAGCACGCACTTCCCTCGCAGGTCGCTTCTAACGAAACACTCTTGTAAGGACTTGTCCCGGCACTTGCCTGATCAGCGGTCAGAACGCTGGTCGAATCATCAGGTCCCGTAACAGGAAGGGGGAATAGTCAGGATCACTCACTAGTTTGAGACGTGAGTCCAGGTGTCAATTGCATGTTGAAGCAGTGTGTCATTCTAAATTCTGGTACTTAACGCGGCTTCTTGGAGATGATAGAAAAGTTGCATACGCCGTAAGATCTGTATGCGTATATTGCCGCTTGCGCCCACCACCTAGTACAAATCTTCATGAATCTCACTAAAGTCGAATGCTTGAGGACTTACATAGCATCGTCATTGTACTTGAGTCAATTGTTCAGCGAAACCGTCTAGGTCTACGATATCGCACTCACCCTAAGGGTATGAAAATCAGAGCCAATTAGCTAGACCAACATCGATACGAAACTCACCCATACTGATCGTAATTATCCCATAAACCCCAAACCAGTTCCAAGTTGTCCTCAACGAGAGCTTTGTTCGTGGTCGTTTTCGCGAGCCAGTCTTGAATAGCCATTACAGAAAAGACATTGCCTGATTGCCAGTATCCGATGCCAGGCACACCGCTACTACCTGGATCACATCAAGATGATCAAAATCAAAACGGATACCATTGGATAGATGTTCAGGATCACTAACCGCTGAATTCCCCTGTAGCACTGTTCAGCTGTGGTAGAATCGTGTCGATCGCAGCCTGCCCAATGGATACGCGCTCCTCGTACGGTCGCGAGTTGCTAAAGTTCTGTGAACACGTTAAGAGCCAGCAACCGTCATCGCACATTGGCACGTACTTTCCATGACAGCGGAACACCCAAGTCTTGGGCTTGAACCATAGCCAGTGCGGCGCTGAGATACAAGATATTTTGGAGCATCGCAATAAGAAAATGGGGTTCGGCCTGCTGCGAAGAGATCAAGAGGCGTTTCAATTTATAGTGAAGCATGAAACAGACCGACCGCGAGTAATAGTGAGGCGATGAATTCCCGGGACCTAATGACGATGCTTAATTTATACGCTTCCCGAGCGATGTTACCACAAGGGTAACTGATGGCGACTATGATGGCAGCTTACCCGTACAGTTGTCAGGTATTTTCTATTCCAACAGGCAGGTCCCCGATTTGAGTCGTGCTGTTTTCTCGCTGCTTGCATAACAACTAGCAATTTAACTAGGTAATAGAAAAGCACATAGCGATTTTAGTGTTGGAACGCTTGGATGCAGCTGCACTATCACATGATTGCCGTATCCACCAGCATGTGCTCAAGTGAGATCTGGACATAGTATTCAGTAAAGAGTAAAGGTGAGAGTTCGAAGGTAACCATGGCTCACATGCCTTGCTTGAATCATCCAAACCGCATGCATCGGTGATATCGATTCAATGTACAGGGACGACTCGGAACAATTTGTGAAACGAAAGGCTAAACAGATGTCCATTTAGCGAGCGTACGGTCACAGCTTTCAGCGTAAGCATTACTGTAGGCGAAACGAATCTGGGTCGAAATCGAGACGCGATCAAGGCCTCCGCTAGCACGGGTAGTGTTTGCTGATACGCGTCTCTGTCGTCCCAACATGGATCTGGAGAAGAGTTAAACACAGAATGAGCCTTCCACTGTAGGGATGGATGACGTATGGAATCGTTTCAGCGATTGACGACGGCACTGAAGACGACGTGATCATTTTTGCTAGCAGCAGCCAGCAATTTCATCGACAATGACGAGATATACTGCGGGGAGCGAAAACTGGTTTCAATACAACAAGAAAAAACCTGAAAAGCAAAGTGAAGTCGTCTTGTTCGAGGCACTTCAACTCTAACAGATCCTACGAAAGACCTCCCTGATTTGCGCCGCGCTTTCTGTTCTGTTCAGCCAGAGATCATAGTCGAGGTATTCCATGGCATTTCATAGCTCGGTAGTCAGTAGCGTTGCTTTTTCTGAATTCTTCTCGTAGAGGCCAGCGCGAGTTAAAGAAAGACGGAGCTGATAGTTTAAATAGCAAGGAGGCGCCGTGTGCTCATCGTGGTTAAAAGCAGACCACGTGTCCGCAGCGCCAAGGCCAGTCTTAATCCTGTTCAACCAAATTCAGCAATCACCGTCCACAGGACACGTATTATCAAGTGTTATAACTATCGACAAGACTAAGGTATTGTCTGGCGGATGCTAAAGCTACCAATTTGGAATTTACAGACAAATTGCAAAGAGTTGCCAATCGTTAGTTCTGGCACGAACATCAGTGGATGCTGATTTGTTAATGGTTATCGATGAATGGCTTCCTATGACTTCCCTCAAGACTCTATTTGATACAAGTGAGTCGTGACGAGTCAATTGAAATGTAGTCCCGGCATAATCCGTATGGACTGAGAATTCAACCTCAAGCTTGTTACTCAATTTTCTTTCTGTGAACCCTCAGCTGATTTACTTCGTAATAGGTCTGGTTAACCGTATTCATTGCAGGATTTATCTGTCAACAAACGAAAAAATAGATTTTCCTGCCATTTTACTCATTTTCCCTTTCGGTGTTCAATTCGTGGCGCAAGAAGCCCTCTGTTCCCGACGTTCAACTTGAAAGAAAATGTCTGCGTACTGTCATCGACGGTCTCATGCCAATCTAGACGGGAGACGACACCCGACAGTCGCAAACCCTGAAGAAAGAACATTTCGTACATTTCCATTTCTCACCGCGGTCTTCAGTACTCTATAAAGTTGCCATGCCAGCGCGGAAGCGGGACCATGCGCCTTGTCACCGAGGCCTCAAACCTGACATGCCGTTCAGATTTCGGCACTTCTGTCAGGCTGCGCTAAACTCGTGTCTAAAACGACCCTGTTCTCTCTTCAGGGTGATCAATATTCCTTGACCGACGTCGGTTTTTGTGTGGATCGTGCGTTCTTTTGGCAACCAAGAGGGCGGGATCCTCACCATTATCTGCACGTGTTGGCAGAAACAGTATTCTTCGGACCGGAATTTGACGCGGTAAGCTGCCGCGACTGGCAGTTACTGTCTGTTGGTTGACTTGTGTGTCCTAGGCCGCCTACGTGTGTCAAAGCGAATGTAACATTCGTCAACTTCGCCGCATTCTCGGATTGGCCTCGGGTCGGCGGCGAAGCACAGGAAGATACACGAACTCCACATTTTTCAATCTGCGACGGTATTCGTGAGTCATGGTTTTGCTGCATATGGTCTTCATTAAGATAATAACCGTGGAACGTTGAGTGCCGTTTCCGTGGACTCGTCTTCATTTTTCTACCCGACTTAAATTTTAGGGTTCCAATTATTGTCTGGAGGTGCGTGAGATATCCAACTACTGCTGTGAGAACAAAGCGGAGCCTTTATAAAACTTACTTACCAGAGCGTTCAAGCACCGGGAAGCCGTACTTGGTATTCAACGAACAATGATATGTAACGTGGGCATCAGGCCGCACAGGGCAAATGTCCGCCGCCTCCTGTACCGCATCCGGCCATCATCCGCCTCCTGCCTCCTGTCCACTCAAAAAATTTGCAATATGTTACGTGATGACTGACCCTGGTGCATATTATTCTTCTTCTTCTCCATTCCACCTCCTACCACCACCTTCCACCAACATCAATACCTTACCACCATGGTTTTCACTCCTCCCGGCAGCTTCGTCATCCGCTCTAGAGAATTTGGCAACGGCCAAGAATACGACTTGGAATCCGACTCGAATATCATGCCAGATCACTACGTGAAGCGCTTGTGGAGGACGCGCGCTCTTCCTGGTCCTGAAGGTCGAACAGTGAGTCATATTGGCTTTTTCTCTGCCTTTCGTCGCTGAGCAAAAGCTTTGCGTAGGTCCAATTCATCAACAAGGACTCAGTAGACCGTGCTATCCTATACACCGTCACAGAACGTGGGAGTGCACTCCTCGTTAGGAACGGTTCCGTCACCAAGGGCGCAGAGGAAGTCGCTCGCGTCCTCTGGGAATCCGGTCGGAATGTGGATAAGAGCAGGTACGCTTCATCCTCTTGCACTATCACTTATCATCCGCCCTAATCCACAAAAACCAGAATGTCCATTGGTACCAAGTCTGGCATGTTCAAGGAGATGCTCAAAAAGGGCGGGTCATTGTACGTTATCCCTTATTGTTTTCCATCGTATCATGATATGCTGACTTCCAGGCCCTCAGTGCATCGGCGTAAGTCCCATGGCGCTCATACTTCGGATCACCTAACCGAACATTCATTCAACCTACTTAGAACACCGAGCCGTATCTTCATAGGCCCTGACTGGGTTGGAGTACAAATGGAAAGTAGTCTTGGAGGGATCAAATCCGGTCTTCCCAGACTCGTCCTTCCGCGTGCTGTACTGCAAGGACTCGAAGCATCCTATAGCCACAACAGCACGGTTCGTCCAACGGGACGGCGAATACAACGTAAGTGGCGTAAATGGAAAAACAGCGGGTTGTCCTTCTGATGGTTCCATTTTCCAGGACGAAACATACCCTATCTACATTGCGGAACGTGGCCTGTGGATGGAGTCATGGATTGTCGCCACCACAGCCATCCTTGAAGGATGGGATAAGCTAAGGTCTTGAATGATTCATTTCACTGCATCAGTTTTCTACACGCTCGTTTGATTTCCTTGTTCGTATTGTACTATGGTTTTTGGTTAGTTTTAGCATATACTGTATGATCCTCTCATTTAACCCTTTTCCTTCTTAATGGGTTGCCCGCATTCTTTTTTACATATATCTCCATATGTCTTTTTGCTTCAAAAGCAATCATTTTAATGTTGTCCATGACATGTGCATCCGGATGGCCTTCAAACGTCAAAAAAATAAGATTATTACTGGTATACACAATTGATACTGCTGTCATCACATGAATCCGTCAACTCTACGTCTTAAAAATCAATAATTCGTGAACAGGTAGTGAAAGGTATCCAAAAAAAACCATTTGCAGTCCCAATGAAGTCCGTTATCGGCATCACTTCATGATCTACGCATAGACCTTCTTCCCCAAGAGTTCGCTTAACTTCCCAGCAGCTACACCCTTTCCCAGCCCCTCATCACCCTGCACCTGTACCCTCGACTTGCCCACAAACTCACTACGCTGACCATTCGAAAGCCGACTCCCATGTCCATGCAACATATGACTCCCCTTCCCACCAAGCACCAACGAAAACCTCTGCGTCCTCGTCGACTTCTGTACATGGGCCAACTTACTCCCCTCAACCACCCCGCCCCCAACCATCGTCCTCGTCGTAACACTCGTCGTCTGCAACGCAACAGCAGGCAAGGAAAACCTTTTATTCCTCCTCGCTGTATCCTCCCTCCTAGGCACAGGCTCCTCTGTCAAATTCACCGTATGCCTCTTGCTCGATGCAAACGACTCCGTATCAAGGGAATCCTCCTCCGTCGTGCCTTCCTCCTCCACGGGAGACGTCAGGTCGAACCGCGAATGGTCGTGGCCCTGGAAGTCCTCCAAAATTTGGTGGTAACTCCGCGGCCGTGAAGGGGGCGACTTGACGCGGACGCAGTCCCGGGAGAGCTCATCGTCGTCAACAGTCGTGGTCGTATAGCTTCGTTTGGACGTGTCCCTATTAATGGCCATCAGTGCCTCAGGCGTCGAGCATAAAGGTAATGACGGCATCGACAGCCAAGACGGGAAGTTGGTAAGTGAGGTTATCGTATTGTTGCTAGCTTCGGGCGGTACATGGTTGCGTTCTTCTTCTTCTCCTTCCGGCGGATCGAGAAGCGGAAAGACGGTTTCATAACATGCATTGCAAGCTCGAGCAGGCTTGCTCGTGTCTTCTTTGGAATTAGGATCCGTGATGAAGAATGTCTGTTAAGATATGAGCAAACGGAAAGTGCGCTTTGAGGAAAACTTACTCTATCTGAACATGTAGCACAAACGCATCGCCCGCATATCCTGCAATGATGTCTTCGCCGCCTCCATCCAAACGACCTGCCGCATCTCATACAGCCCTCTGCTTTCTCGTCCGGAATCCAAATAGCCGGAACCCAATGCTCCACCCACCCCCTTCGTGCCTTCACATTCTTCTTCTTTCCTTTACCTGGAGACTTCGAATGATGGTCCGAAGGCGCGAAATGGTAGTGCCTGTAACGACAGCCGTATGTGGTTCGTCGACGACGAAGACGTAAGCTGTCGAATTCGGATTCGTGATATTCAACGACATCAGAAGCTGCGCCTTGGCCTGTCTTATCGTCGAACACCACTCAGTTTCGCTCCTCCTCCGTAGTCCTGCATACAGCACAAAACTTCCCTCAGGGCTCAGAACCTCGAACCTCCTCTCTTCTCCAGCCTCGCGGGGGGACGTAACCACCACCTCGAGGTCTACCAACCCCGCTCGAGCCTTGTACACCCACCTCTCATCCCCGCTACTCGCTTGCCGCCGGACGCCGCCACCAGGCAACTGTGATTTTCTCGTCGGTGGCGGAATCAGTGCTCCGGCTCTTCATCGGGAACCCGCTTATACGGGATCGAAGCAGACTAGGCAGCTCCGCCTCGCTCTTGCTCCTTGTTCGTATCATGAGCGGTCGCAACGGAGAAATGGGCTCCTGAGGCGCCCAACCGGGAATGGCCCAGTCAGTCTTCATCCATCCACGTTCCGAGTCCTCGCTCGCAAGCCATATGAGACAATCAGAGAACAGGAGGAATTCACGTTCGCGCGGCGGCTCGCTCCGTTCAATTTGGAGGAGACTGCCAGCGTTTCAGGAGTGTGCGGCCGGGACTTATGAGCTGAAACGGAAGATTTGGTGTAGTCTTTTGCAAGGCGAGAAGGGAGAGGGTTTGCGCATGAGTGTGGAGTGAGGAGTTAAGCGACTGGGTAACTGGGTCAATTGAATGTCAGTAAAAGGGGGTCAGAAACAATGCAAAATGACATACTTTTGGAAACAAGCGTATGAACTGCCGTCAATTGCGCATGCTCGGGATCATCTGGTGCTGTACGTTCAATCAAATCCTTTAACAGAAGAAGATATCGCGGGCAGCGTTGAACTATAGTCAAGAGCCAATCTCGTAGCTTTAGTCTACCACAGCGAGGATCTGACTCTTGCTTGGCTAGAAATGCCGCAAAAGAGGCACTATACTGAGGATTAGAGCTATTTGCCGAAGGCGGGGAGATGAGATTGGTTATGGAGGCAATTGTGGTCGGAAACGCGGTCACGAATGGTGTGTATAGAGACAAATAAGGAAAGTGAGAGAGCAGGATCGGGGAAAGCGGCTGGTTAGCGGAGAGGGGGAGGGAGGAGGTGGAAGCGGAACCCGAGCTCGGGAAAAGATGGGACGTTAGAGCAGAGAAGAACGACCGATGAAAGTTCCAAATGTCGATAAAATTTGAGAACACAGAAGTCAGTCCGGACCGGTCGAGCAGTGGCTGAGAAGTCTCGAGAGATGCAATGATGGGAGTCAGGAAATGCTGCAGATCCGTCAGGAATAGAACGAACAAGAAATTATTTGGCACGCACGGAATAAATTAGCTCGAGACCGTCGACGTAGGTGCGCTCTGTCTCATAAAACTCCTGGATGACCTTTCGCCGTTTCGACTCCAAGACGTCGTCAACGGGACGCAGGCTCCTCCTGTTTCCCTTCCGGATACCGTCGGTAGATATTGGCCGTCCATTGGGCCTCTTTCCAGCGTTGACGTTACGCATCATAGCAGGTATCGGCAATGACCCGTCTTCCGGTAGCGAGTCGAACGACGCTACGCTGACTACGGATTCTCTATGACCCAATGTTGGTGCAGTTGGTAGCGATATCCGTCGAAATGGTAGATGGGTAGGGCGCGGCTGTGGCTGGGCCTTGACTGGCGATTCGGACAAGGGAAAGGCTACACTCGACGGCTGATCTGCTTATACGGAAAGAATCAGGAGCACCGCCAATGTCTTGCTAGGGAGCGTGACTTACCGGACTGCATTGAAGGAGGAGCGATGTCTTGACTAGAGCGGGAAAGGAAAGGAAAGTGGTGGTATTGGTGAAGCTTTGTTATTACTCCGTCCGAGTCGTCGACGTCAGTTGCTTGCCCCTGAAAACATCCCCGTCCAGCAACTTGATCGAATGATGGTCAAAAGCAAATACTGCCTCCCAATTTGGAATTCTGCGCCAAAGTGCTCGATTGCCGTCGTTGACGGTTTGAATGTAAGAATGTGTAATACTATACAACAATAAGATACAGTAAAAAAAAGATGCTCAAAGGTGCGAGTACAAGTCCGTTTTCACAGCATTATCGTGGCGTGGGTATTCTAGGCTATTTTGAGTCATTGAAACAGTCCGGCCCATATACCCAAACCTCATTAGTCAGCTACTCGGAATCGCTCGAGTGCTATAGAAAAGTGAGATCTCCTTTCCAGTCTCTCTCTGATATACAGCCTCAAAATCTTTGCAGATTTTTCTTGCACCTTTCCGAGGAGCACCAGGTAGTTTGACAAGCTCATTCTTGTATGCAATCATTTGCAATGACTGCCTTTTCCATTAGCTGGTCATGGCATTTGTGAGCAATCTGACACTTTTTCGAGTTTGATTTGGCATGTCCAGGCATAGTAAAAAATTGAACAAGAGGAGAAATAAAGTTCGGAGGCAGCAGGGCAATAATGGACGCATTGGACTGTCAGACTGTCCATCAAAGGTGATGTACTTTTTTGCGCTAAAGAAAAAAAAGAAAGAAAAAGATGAGGCGATTTCGCTACTTGGTGGTGGATGGCTGGACTGTGGAGATGGTAGAAGTAAACAGCCGAGCACCACCTGGCTCGGCGATGCCGGTCATATCCTCGATGCCGATTTTCATCACTATGCCGATCCGGGACCTGACGCGTTCTGTCAATCTCTTGCATTTCCTATAATTCCCCATTCATTCCCGCCAAGGTACCTGTGAACCCGTTTCGGATGCAAATCTTTTGTCTCGGTGGAACATAATTACCTACAGCATGGGGATGAGGAGAAGATAACGTCTTGACTTTGCAATTTGGCAAGCGAGGGTGCAGTAGTAGTCGTCGGTAGGAGAGGTCAGTTCGCTAGGCTGAAATATATAGCAGGAGAGTCGCTGTGTATGTTGGAAAGGAGAGAATACAAGGTGGGGGAAGGAAGGAAAGGAATGATGTAGGTTTGCCTTTTATACTGGCGGGAGGAGGGCGGGGGATCTGCGCATATTGATCGAAACGCGTCATAGGTGTCAACAGTGCCGTATACACAGGCTGGTCACCAACGATGTGGCCGCGTAGTCCGCGGCCCATCCGACGCTCCAATAAAGACAGTGAGCCTTGAGAAGTTGGTCGATAAGTTCGTTCATCCAATGAAAACGGCTACGGGAAGAAGATTTCGCCACTTGTAGTGGATATGTAGATTCCGAACAGTTTATTATATATTGGCGTGTTATCAGTAAACAAATATTAAAGATCCAGTTCGCCTCGTCTGTGCCTTTGGTAGACCCTTGTAGTTGCACGCGTGCGGTGGCGGTAGATATTTCCCGAACCATTTGTTCCTAGTGATGTTTCCGTATCCGTATTTCTCTGGTACTCAAACCGGCATCCCTTCTGCCACGGCACTGATTTAATTTCCGGAATCTCAGAGACGCATATTATATCTTCACGACATTGAGTTGTTTGGAGATTCGTGCAGCAATGGTTCGAGAATCAATCTGCCGGCCGAGGGCCCTCAAACTGCCAGCCATACAGTATAATTTTACAAGCACTGATTTGTTCCCATAAAGAAAGCTGTTGAGCGTTTTCCCACAGTCTCTGGGTACGATTTAAGACAAGTCCTGCGTTTTTGGATACACCCTGTTGGACTAGAACATTCTATCCAGAGGCGTCGTAGCCTTTAGCTACATATACACTTACATATTTATATATTTATATGCTCCCCACAGAAGAAAACGAGCCCGGCAATACAAATCCCTGGTATGAATGATAAGTCTAGGCTGTTTGCGTCGATCTCATGCAATCTGAAAGAGGGTGTGAGGAAAAAATCTGTTTTTAGAGTGTTTGAAGTACCCATACCTAGTTCCAAAAATCCCGCCGTATCAAAAACAGCGTAAGTTCTTTATTCAATGAGGAGAGCCTGATCTATAAATGTCCATTCGGACAAAAGGGGTTCGTTTAAGGGGCCCAATACGAACTGTGCAAAAGATATGACTAAACCCAAACCTGTAGGAATTAAATCAAGAAAAAAGTACTTTGCTCGAAACTGCTTTCCCAACAATTTTTTCCATCAGCTCATTTTTGCCGTCATAAAAATGCGGATAAACCGTCATCTCGTTTGAAATTGATGACGATTCTTGTCCCAAAAAGGAATTTTGCCAGGGAAGAACCTGGGAATTGCCGAAAGGTCCCATGAAGCACCCATCACCAAAATCATTCTGGCTTACTCTACTGTTGCACCACCTCCTTCGCCACCAACAGCTTATGTGGACCTCTGATTCCTCCATTTTACCGACGAAAGCACCCTCTACAACGGATTCCTGGCGAAGTCGCTCCCACAACCTTCTAACGAAGCGATATGCACGCGTGCTCATAGCAGGGGTCGTTTCTGTGTCCATACTTCTCTTCATTTTTCGGGTAGAGAGACCAGAGAAATCGAACTCATACTTTCCCTTACCACTGCCTTTTGAGTCGGACCTACCGCCTCTATACGAACAGTATCACGAATACGAACGACGGTTACCGCAGCACGACGCATCATTACCGCCGCCGGAGGGGAAACATGCCAAATATCTGTTTTTTGGGAACCACGCGCATGGTGCATATCTAAATTGTCTTTCATAGCACCATTTCTAACTCCCGACAGCTTCAGGATGGGGAAATATAATGCAGGAGCTGCTAATGAACGCGCTTCTCGCATATTCGACGAAAAGAGCGTGCGTGACGGCGATATCAAACTTCTGCCGTCTTCTGAGATTTTATACAGCTTTGTGTTCGATAACTATACCTGGTCGCGAGAGCCTTCGGACTACGCAGACTTCAATGGGAATATCATTCCATCCCGGATACCACTGTCGGCTATAATATCAGGTAAGTAAACACCTGCCTTTTGTGATTTCCACCCCACCCGCTTACCGGTCCACCCCAAAGGCCCTATAATAGGCGCTCCATTTGGCTCCGAAAGTGATGTGCCGCGCGCAGTATCACTAGAATTCTTTCGAGAGCAATGTCCCGAACCTCTCGTGCTAACGACAAACGCCGTCAAGGACAGGTTAGGGAACGTAGAAGCGTCAGAGATCCTAGAGACATGGGTAAAGGAGATTAACGCCATACCAGATCGATGCATCGAGTTTGAGAGAGACACACCGCACGTTTTCGACGTCTGGTATGCATCCTCGTTGTATCTTTAATACTTTTTCGGTTCTGACCTCGTCTATGCAGGCTATTCTCAGACACGCTTCTACTCTCTATATTCCCATACATAAAAGACACCCCGATCATTACGGACTTTGGGTGGTCTCCACTCATCTTATCCGCATATGACACGAATCGCGAGTTCTTTGAAGGCCAGACTTCAACTTCCTGGCTTGGGTTTAACTTTCCATCCCTTGTGTCTCCAATGCCTCCCGCTACCGAACAGACGCCCCCTTACCCACCTTTACCGGGTCTCATCGCCCTTCATATCCGCCGCGGTGACTTTAAGGAACACTGTACCAACCTTGCCGGCTGGAACACACACTACAACGGACTAAACTCCTTCCCCGAGCTTCCAGACAAATTCGAACCACCATACGACGCACCAGAAGAGGAGAAAATATCTATATACCTTGGACACTGTTTTCCCACCATTGAGCAGATCGTCGAGAAAGTCAAACATGAGCGACAGGGGAGACATCTCAATCGGGTATATATCATGTCGAATGGGGAACGCGGCTGGCTGAAAGAGCTCAAGGCGGCCTTGAGACAGATAGGCGAATGGGATGGCATCACGACGAGCAGAGATCTGACGTATACCCGGGAGCAGAAGTACGTTGCTCAATCGCTTGACATGTATATTGGACAGCGGGCGGAAGTCTTCGTAGGTAATGGGGTACGTTTCGTCTTTTTTTTTTTGTTACTTGACTGTGCGTGCGTGTGGCGCTGACTTGTCCATCAGTTCTCGAGTCTAACATCCAACGTGGTGACACTTCGTATGGCAAACAACGTAGATCCTCAAAATACACGCTTCTGGTGATTTGGCACACTGGTCAAAGTTGGATTCCTTCGTTTCTTGTCACTTGTGGGGTTTGCGGCTTCTGTGTATCGCCTTTTTTTAAATTATTTACAACGTTGACGAATAACGATGAAGATACCCCGCAAATATTGTAAAATGAGCATCAAGCAGTACGCATAGCTTGTAATACACGTACCGAGTTCTTGTCTGGGAGCATGTATGGTCATGAATCTCTTGATGGTATCAGAGCCAGCGAGGCCCTTGGCGTCATGCAGCGTGAACGGCTGGTAGCGGAGATAACACTCGAAAAAAAAGGTTTTGCACTATGCCCTCTTCCTCATGGAAGGAGGCACGAGGGGACTATATACTTAGTATAATTACAAAAGGTATTTTGAACCGAGTGCGTGCCCCTGCAGGGCGACGAAAGCTGGGACGATGGGATACTAAGGGAAACACGAGTATGCATTAACCTCGGGAGGCTGAATACCGAGTTCCGAACCAAATGTGATCAAGTCACCCAATAAATACGTGAACTCTGATCCACCAACAATGAATTGCAGGGGAATCGGGTTTGAAGGTTCTCGATGTAGTATTCGGAATGGTAAACCCCAGCTGCGCAGTGATGATCAAATAAATATGTGTTGGTTAAAAAATAAATAACAGCGGCAGAGAATTGTTGCGGCGCGCAGCGGGTCGGCGGCGCCTTCACCACGGCGGCTCGCAGCGTTCGGGATAGGTTTTAGACTCAGTTGTAACGGATTAAATGAAAGCTTATTTGATTGCTTCCGGTACCAAGAAATTTCCTTCTTCGACAGATATATTACCGAACATAATCCGAGATACTCCTCCTCCGGTTCGCCCCGGCAATCTACCCACTCTTTCTCTTCTCCCAAGTTGTATTCAAAATCCTTGTCGTTCTTCTACGACTGGAAATCTCGGTGCCACGGGGAAACCCAGGATTTGACTTTTTGTCCACTCTGATCGATTGACTGTTCCTTCCGTTCGGAGACCCACATCCGCTGATACATGTTATTACCCACGCAAACAAACCGCGTCTAGCGGAATACCACCAGGGAAGCGGTTGTGACCCGTTACCCTGCGCTAAACCCGTTAGAGAAACATATGTTAAGTTACTGCGATCTCCAAGGGCGCTTGGGGTATTCGTGAGATAGTCTCTTTTGTCAGCCGCGCGTTACAGCTCATGTACACGCGGCTTACTCCATATGAATAACGGACCGATGGATACGAACAAGGTGGATATGACAGCAACGATAAATGGAGACACGAGCTGATTCGAAGTTTGCGGTGAGAATCCCCTCTAGTACTGCTTTTCCCAGCTACAAGGTGGTTACTCAACGTTTGGGAATAACTTGAGGACAATTTGTTATTTACAGGTTCCCTTCTTGTGATCATTCTGTTGGGGAGGGCACTAGAACGCGTAAAGTCGTGGGTGAATTCGCAATGCTGAGCGAGTGCATGTTCGGCATATTGCCCGAATGACCTCTGAGGCTTGCTTCTCCCGTGCACTCAAGCCTCGACACTTCAATGTGGGGGGGTTTGTTCATTGGGGGACGAATGGAATTGGTCCCATGCCATCAGGTCTTCGCAACAGCCATCCCTCCATTCACCGCCTCCTTGATAGTCGTGGGTACGACTGAAGACATTGCCCCCATGGTCGGAGAATCAGCGTCTCCTCCGGGAGTTTGTGTCCGCGATATCGACGGTATTGGAACATTTTACCTCAAGACCGGACATTGCTGTAAAAGCTATTCCACCGCAGTTTGTCCAAGGATTTCACGCTCTCATGGTCTACCTCCGATACCCGTAACTTCCTTCGAGGACTATTTTTGTGATCATGATCGACTCGGGCCGTGCCACCCTTTGGGTTTTTTTTAGTGACCGTTGCCCGCTGCTTCCCACCGACAAGACTTTCATAAAACCCCATACATCATTCGATGACATATCTCATGAAAGGGATCCCTACAAACCTGTTTTCGTGTTGTTCCCATGGTCGCCTTACGTCGGCCTTTCAAACTCCTGCTTTCAATTATAATTGGATGCTCCTTACAATTCTAGTGACACTTTGGTGATATGTTGACCCCGTACTCAGTTGCGATACTATGTATGACTATTACCGCTGATCAACATTTCATTTCCCCCGTCAATATGGAGGTTTCACCCACAGGTGTCGCTGTGGGAGAGACTCCCACAACCAATATCAGAAAATCAAAGTCTGTAACATGTCCCACAGACACCGCCGTACAGGGCCAGGCGGGTTCGGTCGGTCGCGTATCTATGGAATCAGCGATGGTGTCGTTGCATCACGGAAATGAACAGGAAACTCCACGCGAAGGAACAACCGTTCCGCTAAAAGCGTGGCGTCAAATGGAAGGAAATTCCCATACCTCGAGTGGAGTAATTCTCACGACATTTACCTCGACTATCGTATTTTCCCATCGGATCCTTACTTGGGTCAGTTGCATATCGTGAAATTGGGTTGTCAACGGAACTTGAAAAGTGCTTTTGCGCCGCGTGCTAATTGTTTCGTCTCAGCGCCCCTACCGCTCTTCTTTTACGGATCCAGAACTGGTAGTACCGCGCTTCGTCCGTCCAGATGACACCAATTATGCTGGCAGGAAGGAAGATGCCCTTGAACGTGGCGGACGTCAGTCAAAAGAACCATACCATGGACAAGTTAATCGGAGGAAGCTTGTGTGGTGTATATGTGAATTATAAACAGCAGTCATTAGCTATACTATAAGCAAGGTAGTAGGTATAAGAGGTAGGACTAGGAGCGCGATTGATGGTGGGAATACACGTGTGACGGTTCGATTATAATACAAGGAGAATCATTACGGTGATGCGCGGCGACGGGGTCGTCGAAGATAAGAATATTTACGATCGTGGGTGCATGATGCGGCGAGGTAAGGGTAGTGTGTGAGACAAAAAGTTATCGGGGAAAATGGTAAATTGGTAAAATTGCGGTCGGTCGAAAATATGCGAAGGATCGGAAACGGCAGCCGTCGGAGGCTGAAATCAAGAAAACAAGGTGGATGGTTGTACAGGTTGCAGATGATAATGATGCTGGTTGTGAATGCGATGGGTGGTGAGAGATTTATTCAAATGCGTATTGGACGGCGACCGAGCATGCTTCGCTAGCTCCCTTGGCTTGCCCGTGCCGCCGTAGACTCTGTTGAGTGTCGAAAAAAGAATCGCATGCGGCGCACGAGATGGCGCTGGTACTCATCTCACTGCGAGATGAAGAACGAGACCGCTTAGATGTATGCGGCAACTAATTAAACAAAAATGAGCACTGAGGTAAGGGATCAAAGGAATTACGCAAACACTCACTGTATGCTCATTGTTATACAAAGCGGAATCAGATTTCCGCTTGAGCGGTGAAGAAAGAGAAGAATCTACAAAGGAAGTCTTTCAGTATGAAGCCGGCGGACGTAAAGATATTGAAAGCATACCAGCCATCGCCGTGCGATAATTCGTCGAAAAGTTTGCTCTCCAGGCAAGGATTCGCTTCATCCGCATAGCACCTGGGCCCCCGTTCCGTTCGTGTCCAGGCTCGCTCAGTTCGCGGCTGGATGCGCCCTCCTGATAGTCATCCGATGAACAGTAAGATGATCCTATTGACTCTTCATCGCCGTCGTCGCAGAGCGAGGAGCCCTCGGAGTCGGAGGTGGATGCATAGGATGATGATGAAGAGGTATAGCTATCATCAGTGACGGCCTGTCGGGGCGGTGGAGGCCCCTCGACGAGCTGTATGATCTGGACGCTGTAAGGCTGTTGTCGACAATATAGGCGGGATTTGCTGTTGACGTCGTCAAGGACGGCGAGCTCGTTGGGGGAGGAGGCAAGCATGGTGCGGGCAAAATCGAACATGGTGTTAAGGATATGGGCGTGGTTTAAATTGAAGGGGGACAGCGTGCGCCACGCGACTTGGCGGATGGGCCATTTTGTACTCGACAGATTTGGGCAGAAACAGATTTGCGGATTCGATCACGCATACAATTCCTTGCTGGATCAAAAGAAGATCTCTGTCCCGATCCATCGTTCCGCGTTTGGAATACACGTGATTTTAAAACTCCGCTTATCGGATGATTCGGATTCCTTTTCCACCAGACTCCCAGCCTTTCCCACCATCAAATGCCTCACATCGATTTTCTCATCCCAATTTAGACTCGCTACATTTATCGTTGCGCGGCTTCTTCTCAGTCGCCGGATGTACCAATCATTGACATTGACCACTGCATCGTTGCAAATTATCGGGAGAGAAAGGAAAACAATGTTTCGAAAGCAATGTACTCCATCATATAACATCGACGACCCCGGTTCCATTTCACCTCGCGATGGTCTCCATGGCTATCTCAGCCCCTCCGTGAGAAATTGTTCATGGTCGCATCGGTGCTAGCCATGCCTCGGCTGCCTCAAATTGGTCAATCAGCTCCCGTAGAACTGCGCCTTCTGAATGCAATTGTCGCATCGCTGTCAGCGCCTGTCCCATGGAATAATCAGCGATCGCTCTCTATCACGATCCAGAAATGACCTACCACATCCCAGAACCGGAATCCGCGCTCAACTTCCGACTTGGGAGATTTGACGCCAGGGAACGTTTCCTCGCAGATTTCAAGTGCTAGCATCTTTGCCTCCTTGACGCCCTCAGCCTGGGGGTCACGAACCCTGGTGCCATTGTTAATGTGTGTGAGTGCGTCGAGATATACCTTGGCAAGAACTCCAAATCCGGTGTTCACCTCCGTCTGGAACGGCAGAGATAGCGTTATATCCAACAGATCATCCCGGGCGCGTCGAGCATCCGCACGGAGAAGCATATTCAGCGATGCCACCTCAAGGAGGGTCCGTAGGGCTCGTGTGAGAGACCGTACAAACGAATTGAATACAAGCAGCTCTCGTGATAGAGGGGCAGACCAGGGCTGGGACTAGATGAAATCGGCGCGTTGAGACATGTATCAAACAGCGGAAAGTCACGCTGACGCTTCACCTTAAAGTTCAAGGGAACAATGCTCAGGACCCGCATCACCAGCAACATACACGTCTTCTCGTCATCTGGTGGCGCCCACGCTCAGAAAAAATAAGAACATAGTCTTGATAAGAATCAACGAACCTGTGCCGAAACTTGGTCCGCCGCTGAATGCTCGGCTGGACCATAGGTGACCGTGCATTACACCCGCGCGTACTAGCTCCAAAAACAAGTAGAGCGGGTCTTGAAATTTGTCATTTACCTTGGCTTGTTTGATGGCGGTGTACATTGCACGGGCCAATGGGGAATGGGTATGTGTGTTCATTAAGAACCTGCATGTGTTTGACAAATTGAATCAGTGAGAAATGAATACGTCAGATAAACCTATTCTTACCCTCGCAACTCCAGGAATCGCCAGATTACGTTGGCGACAACTTCATCCTTTTTCTCAAGGGGACCAGCAGAAGGGTTCGTCTTGGCTTTGGTACGCAGGGCGAGACGTTCCGAAGCCGTCGCACCCAGACACAGGGCAAAATCGATCGTGGAGGACTAAAGACACGAGGAAGAAAACAGAAACAACCGCGCTTTAGCCAAGAATGGTCGTACTTTCCCTAGAATCAAAAATGAAAACCTTACATTCTGTCGTCTCAGTTCTTCTTCCACGATGGCATATGGGACGTTCCAACCGGAGACGCGGTCCGCCAGTTGGATCGTCTGTGGAGAATTGTGCTGCACGGCTTTTTGGGTATGGTTAGGTCCAGGCTGTTCGAACCAGAAGTAACCGTTACTCTTCGGCTGGACCAGAAGGGGTGGGCGACACTACTGATGAGTGCCAAGGCGGTAGCACGGGGACCGGTCTGCCCGTCGGTGATAACCTCCTTCACGAATCGTTTGTACTCCGTCGTTTCACCGTTATCTAACGGCGGTTTCTCAATGATTTGTCCACTTGTAAGCCAAACGAGCGCCTGTGGCCCAAGGAGTCCACGGGAGAGGTAAAAATAGATTTCGTCTGGGAGCCGATTTGTGAATATATCATGAAGATCCTGTGGGATATCAGCAGCCGTGGGGTGGTGAGGTTGATTGGGATGACCATGGTTGGGAGGGGCGGTGATAGCGAGGGGAAGTGGTTGGACAGTTCCTTCAGAAGACAGAATCAACGAAAATTTGATCATGGAACGTGTGCGGGCATAATGTTCGGGATATTGGATAGGCTTAACAACAGGATGCTCCACGAAGGCGAGTACGGCACTATGTCCAGTCTTGTAATATTTGATCATATCGACGGTTGCTTTTAGTCCTTGCTCATGAATGGTAGGGGGGAACGGCGCGGAATGGTCAAAACCGACGAGAATGCCAATATCCAGAAATTGGTCTTCGTTCACACCGAGATCCGCCATAATTGCACGTTTGGAAACAAACGTGAACGTTGGCGTGTTCGAGAGCAAATCCAGGGATGTGATAACCTTGTCAACCCCTGGATACAGAAGCGTGTCGGTGGGACCATATATCGCGTGAATGTAGGATTTTGGATGGCGCTGAAGATAAATTAACTGGAAGGTATCGTTAATGCGGTTAATAATTGCTGGACGTAACAACAGGAATTAGAAATTCACATACCTGCGGCCATGCTAGATATGGTGCAATGATGAACTCGACATTCCGATGCCTGAAGATTCTCAGCACCATTCTCCAGAGATCCCACTGTTGAAAACTACTCCGACCAGCGAACAGCTTGGTCGCTTGGTCTTCAAGACCTGCTTCATATTTTTCCCATGCATCGCGTCGGTCCTTGCAGGCTTCGGTGTTCTCTAAAAGTTGCTGAGGCTTCCATTTCCTGTTGGGAAGAAGCCCTGGAAACACGAAAACGGGCTTGATGTGCAATTTTTCGAGGACACGGAGGTCGGACTCGATACGCAGTGTGAGCGCTAAGGGCAAACCGCCCGTCGCTGCGAGAAGAGGCTCCCTCGACGGTGGGTTGTCGGTGAGCTGCTGAAGATAGTAAGACGCATCAATGCCTAAACACGAATCAGAAAGGGCAGAAAGCGGGAGTATTGTCAATTGTTTTCGCTCGGGTAGGTATGCTTCAGGAGAAAATTATCAGTTCACACGACGCTCAATTTCACAGGGAGACTCACCGTCAAAGTGCTTGATAGGCATCGAGGACAAATCTTTTGATTTGGTCTCGTCAGTACAGACGAAAAAGGCGTGAAGCTCGTTGACAACGTCGACAACGACGGGGACAACAACGGAAACAATATTTCGACCAGAGCTTCCAGATTGCTTATGTAAGACTGCTCCCAACTAGGGTTAGGGTTCATGTTCGTTTACTCACAGCCTCCTCAAGTGACTTAGTGCGCCAATGGCGGTATTTTCAACTTTTTTTTTTTGGTTTACAACAGTCGCTCAATTTTTCTACAGATTTACTGATGATCGGTTAGTATTATGGAACATCTTCTTACTGTCACGCTCTCTTGGAACCCATCATACCTCCTTTAATGCGTTGAATTATGTTCCATCAAAAGATTGAGGCCTCCATATTGCATTGATTTATGGTCCGAACTCTCACGTCTTGGCGGGAGACTGATTATTACCCCAAGTCTCCAACACGCCGTCACGGACGTCAGACCTCATGGTTATAGGTGATGCTATGATGAACGTTCATGGACTCGATAATGTGTGAAACCCGGACTACTGAATGTCTACCATGTTCTCAGCAGATGAGGGATCTCAATGTAAGACAGCTCTTCCCTGAAGCCACACTTCTTTGCTCATAGATGTATTCATAGCATACGTTCCTTGTATCCGCCGATGATCATCGATGAGAGTTAGATGAAAACTCGTCCAAGCGATGGTCGCAGGTCCTCAGTGCGGGCATGGTGCCCTATTCACCGTTGTTCACTCTCCATGGCAGCAGCATACGAGCCGTGCCATCGAACCTAACTATTACGACCAGACTCCCAGCCATACGTGCGCATGTTACCCTTGCCCCTTCCACTCGGATCTCCTTACGATTATCTTGGATGTCTATTTCTATGCTGACTTATCACTGCTAATCTGCTTCGCTGGCTCTCACAAGATCGGACGCAATATTTACACAGGTGAAGATTAGGTGGATGCCCCAGACCTGCCATACTTATGTGATAGTGACCTATGTGGCGTTTGCGTATATCCGGCTCAATCTCGCCAAGCCTCCCTTTCAGTCCTCGAGTTCCCATTAACAGCTTAGCCTACCATGACAGCCTATGTGCCAATTTCCGCTCAACCCCTTGCCTACATCCCGGAATCTCCGACTATCCCTCGTCCACAGATCCCGACGTGACACTCCTTCCCCGCAATGTCTAGTCATCCCACATTGATCCTCCACAGTTCACGCGCGGTCGATCCTTTAGGCGGGTCGCCTCAGGATCACATGAAGGCAAGACCAACGGTTATCACTGATCCGATACCAAGAGATACTCGAGATTGTCGAAAGGAATCGAAGATTTTGGGGATGAACCCAGGTCGCTACCTGTAGCCCCCCTTGTACCTCATGATTTTCTGCGCAGCAGGTTATGGGTAAAGGCACGCCTAGACCGTATGCATTCTTGAACTTGTTAGCATGGGTAAGGTGTCGGTTGCGATACCCTAATGGACCATCGGCGGCCTGATGAAAACGTACTTAGAATTATACTCATGCGGAGGTGCTGAAATGAAATGACGCATGGTTCTGAAATGGCGACATCATCACACTTTAGAAGGTGATCGATTACCAAACTACCACTACTGGTTGATCGAGGGTACTGTCGAGAGTCAATTGGGACCAGCACGCTCATAGCTTTCTGTACATTGTTGACGTGCCTTGAACGGGCGCTCATCGCCAAAGTCAGGCAACAGTCTCAAGGGGAGTTCGGGTCTAATCATCGTTTTACGATGTTTACAACGCGTACGACCACGATAACCCGCATCATCTCCCAAAGGAGATACAGAGGGAAAAATCAAGTACCATCGTTGAAGCCCAGCGGCTCGCCGCTGTCCCACAGGATGCCTAGATACCACCTGAATCCCTCGACTCCCTGTCCCTGTCTTTGATGATTGACAAAAAATGATGTTAGGACATCAGTTTAGTTGGCTCATACGTACGTTTCGAGTTGCGTGACGATTTCTCACGATGGCCTCCTCACAACCAGATACCAGGTATCAGGATGCAATGCGAGTCGAGCGGGGGGCCCCGGGTCCGAGTTATCGTGGGAGGTGCCCCAGAACGCTGGGATGCTTTGAATATGCAAAGTTTGCAGAAGACAGGACATTCCTTCCGCTCTAATGCAGAGTAATCGACCCAAAGTAATTTGCGAGAAGGAACAATCGAGTCATATCTCTCTCCACATATCATGAAGAGAGTTCTATCGATGAAGCTGAGCCGGAAAGTGATGGGGCACCTGAGACTATCACCTCCATCCAGGAAAGATGATAACCAATGACCACTTGACACACATAAAGCCGACATGAGGTACAACACATGTATTCATACGCAACTAGGCTGGCTGCGACGTCAGGGAGCCTTAAACAATGCGCCGGTCATCTAACATGGAACGTGATGTCGGAACGTCCATGAAAGCCGGAGGAAAATCTTTTCCAAAGGACATATGACAAAGCCCGCTCCCACGCAAGTCTGGACCGGTGCCTCCGCTAGAAGCCCCCCCACGCAGATTGGAATTCTAAATTCCGTCCGAGCTTGAGCTTTTGTTGGATCCGGTAGGTCGTGGACACAGAGATGTGGAGATAGGATAAACGTATCCAATGAACTGCTTCCGCGGACGTCCGGATGCATCTGACCATCGTCCAGTGATGCGATATTGTATAGGAATCATGAATGCCACTATAGATGTGAGCGATAACTTTTGAAGCCGAGTCCGGATGCTTGTTAGAGTCAAGAACGGTGCCACACCCAGTAATACTTAGCCTTTGCAACGCCGAGATCTCATTTCTTTACCGGGTTTCTACAAAATAATGAGAATGGATCGAACTTTTTTTCGGCTGCCCAATATAGTAATTCATAGGTACCGGTTTTCTTTCAACAGCGACTCAACACCAAGAGCAACAGTAATGATAGAATAAATGGTTTAAAATTGATTCCCGAAGCAGTACACAATGTTTTGGTGTCATCAAGTCATGCAATGGAGCCTGCAGTGATGAAGAAAATACTGCTGATTTGGGATTTGACAGACCAGATTAGCGGATTCATGAGGATCACAAACCAAAGGCCCGGGTGGTGATATCAGAGCCTTTGATGGATAATTCGGAGGAATATAGCCCAGTTATACGTCAGGAAGGTATAATTCGCAGTGCTTATGCATTTGGTGGAATCCAAGATAGGGAATTACTATATTGGGCAGCCGAAAAAAAGTTCGATCCATTCTCATTATTTTGTAGAAACCCGGTAAGGTTTCATAACAGACCTCTGACATCAACTAGCTCCTCGTTAATTACCTGCAAATGAATACAACCTGCCCATCGCGTCATCATGACATCGAGCCTGAGATCCGATGATAGCCGACTAGAGGAGGCTAGTGAACTAACTAAAAACCGATAAGCTGATCATAGATTCCGAGTCGAATTCGTCATCGAGGTAGTTCGCATTCGCCGGAAACTCCACGGAAGGAGAACCAGACAGGGTCCAGCCTAGGTCTAGGATAGAGATATTCATCCATGAGTTTGGCGGTGAGCTAAGACGGATTAGCAAGAGTCAGCTGTTGAGAAGAGAAAGAGAAATGAATTACGAAAAATTGTAAGGCTGGGAAGGTACAACAATCATCGACACAGCCACTGATTGCTCCTTCCTGGTTTCAACGAATGTGGTCAAGCCGTTGCGAAGTTTCATCGAGGTGGACTAGTATTCTTTATTACTATTCTATCCATCAAGCAAAAATTGTATGGTCTAGACGAGGTACTGGGATCCCTGGTCTATCCAATCCAGCCGCTGCGATTTATCACTAGCCTCTTTGAAGTTGGAACATGCATCCAGCGCAGGCCTAGACGCCTAGGCTCAAGTCCAAGCCCCACGGGGGAGTTATCATCTTCTCATGGAGTCCATCTGAACCGCAAACAAGTACGTATTTCTGCGTCACTTTTCGCCTTGATGACGATCAGAATTTCACGACCAAATATAAATATTTCTATGAGAGACAGCTTCCAAATCCTTTGTTTCGCACGTCGTTTAATTTCAAGTCACTGTCCATCCAAGCAGTGGTCTGGTCCCAGCATTTCTTCTGTTCTAGATACTCAGCGGGATGCCACGCGCGATGGCAGTAACACTAGATTGCTGGTAACCATGCTTCAATGGCCGGCGGCCGGTTACTTCTGGGGTATAGCCTTTGCACGGTTTATTGAAAACGTTTTGTCTGAGTCCCACGCGACCGCTACATACACACTGCCGCCCAGGTTCAGCCCGACACCATCGTCGCCGAACCAATTGAATGTATCACTTACCTTTACTCCGGTTTCACACCACCCAAAAAAGTTCCCATTTTCCTCTGGCTTTTTTTTCCTGAGTCGCGCGGAGCCTAGTACCTACACCTGTTATGGAAAAAAGGCGGGAGATATCTGGATTTTCAATTTGAATTTGGTCCGAGGAACGGGTTTCGCACCCCACAAGCCGCGTGGTTGGATGCATATAGGCAGCTGAGGTGCGCCGAGTCGAATCTAGGCGTATAATTTCGATTTTGTCCGTAATTGTTGTCCTATGAACGTACTCAGGTCTGATGCGAATTAAACTGAAGTGTTGTGTCGGGCTGATATGACCCAACAGAGTACCTTGGCGAGAGTAAAAAGGTAGCAATTTCCCTCCTTCTATCTTGTTGCGACTACAACTCAACTGAGTTGCTGATTACCAATGTGAATATCTTATAATGCAACGTCCAGGTCCATCTTGACCTCAGAACTGGATTTGAAAATGGACGACTTGGGTTCATTTCACGAGGACTGGCCGGTGCTAAAGTGGCCGTCTCAAAGGTCATGCGCGTCTCTGCTCTGACCACCAAGCGGCCGTACGTATGGGAACCTACACCGCACGATTCTCCAAAGTATTCAGTAATTTCGGATCTCGACGAGACATTTTAGCCACAGAACGATCCGAAATAGTAGTCTCAGGAATAGCTACGTGAACGGTGGAGACTGCAGCGGAGAATACATACTGAATAAAGTCACAGACACCGCCATCCCGGACCGCCAGGATTAGCACGAGGAACAGGAGTGACGCCGGAGCTCCTAAAACGGGTAGAGACGGGCGAGATCGGGATGACGCCCAATAGGATGGCAGAACACTTTCAGTCACTTTGTTTTACTCCTGTGCCTTCACAGCCGTTTCCAGACTCGCTGTCTCGTCCTCTGCTTCACCTGAAGAACCGCTGTCGCCGTTGTCTTTCACCACTACCACCCATCACCACCAGAAATGTCGAGCCACTGCAGACGAGGATGTCTCAAGTCGCCCATGTCGAGTCCAGGCCTGGATGTCGGTCATTCACGGAAATGTGTGGCCTTTTGCGATGCTGGGAGTGAAGAGGTGCATATAGCGGATGAATGGGATAGAACGCCTTCGGAGCCTGCTCGCAGTCTGTCATACCAGTGAGTGGTCGTACGACATGTCGTGGACGACCAACAATACCGTTCACTGCCATGTCGCTCGTTGTCGGCGCTTCGTACTGACATTCTAACAAGGGACATGCTGGAGCTCAAGGCCATTCAACGGACACTGCCAAGAGCAAATCAATTGCCTGATATGTACACTGGCAAACCCGCATCGCAATTCCTGTCAAAGTCCCAATAGGCCTTTTGCCTCTTCTTCCAACCAACGAACCACCACAAACTAGCTCTTCATCTCCGACATATACACGGCAACCTTCCGAGCAACGGACTTCATATTTTCCATCGTCAAGTCCTCCACCCAATAAAACAAAGAAATTTGCTTTTCTGCCTTTACTAGAAACTCCACCGACGACTCCACGTTCACCGCCATCTCCAGCGCCTACTACCAACACCGGTCATGCGCCATTTTTCCATGTACCACCGTCGAATCGAAATAATGCACCCCCGGACCGAAACCCTGCTATGAAGGCCTTTAAGCTAGAGGCCGTAGCTTCTCCCGGGCTTCCTCCACCTTCTCCGCTATCCCTAGATTCTCCTCACGCCTCGAGCTCGAGAAATGCCCCAGTCAACAACAACCTACTTGGTTCGGCGAAGCCTATTCGTCGCCGAAATGTCATGTACATCAATGGCCAGGAAATCGATTTGGACGAAGAGGAAGACGAGCAGCCGCAGACAACTGCTGCCGAAGAGACTATCCGTCCAGAATTAGTCTCTTGTTCCTTTCGTTCCCGCCGCTCGCGATCGATATCCGAGGTTTCATTGAAACAAGAGAAGTTTTCGCCTTCACCACCTATACCCATTGTAGCCCCCATACCCACACCCCAGAAAGCTCCGTCACCCTCGAGCTCGCCCATATCATTATCACCGCTTAAGATTCACTCTTCCTCCCCTGCACAATCACGTCCGTCCGTCCGCTCTCCGCCCACGACAAACTCGTTCGCACCTATAAAGGTCGTTCGAGCTACGAGGGACAATACGAATCCAAGTAACCTCGTATCGCTCTCGTCGTCGTGGCGCAGGTCTCCAAGCCCGCGGACGAGTCCAGTACTGGTTCCTCTTGCTTAAGGTTCCAAAGAGACTCTGTTGTTAGAACATGACTCTTTTTACTCTATTATCGTGTATTGTCGCAGTGCTTTTTCCCACCCGCTATCATATCTTGTACATATCATAGACTATATACATGTGTTCTTGTTTCCTTACTCCAAGGCTTGCTTGGCGTGCTTATGGGTACGCCGCTACTTGCGGTGGTGACACTGACATGGAGTGGGCGGTCCATTGCCAAAAACGGTCTGTCATCAGTTTTGATTTTCACGTTGATTGACAGCGCTCTAACCTTTTTAATAATAGCCTAGCGTTTTCTCGGGCCTGAACCTGATTTTGACATGCCTCTCGGTGTCGAACACAATTTTACTTCTGGTGAGAAAAAGTGTTATCGCCGGCATTTAAATAAAAACATACACAGAGTTCGTCATATGTTATCGTCATTGCTTCGACTTGGTACTCACGAAGAGAACGGACTCGGACGGCATTTGCGTGTTTGTCCAGGCAACTCACCGCCTGACCTGAGAGCCAATCAATAGGTTGCTGATGGGTGGACACTGGCACCGCACCCGATACCCACGGCGGTACTCAGGCTCAGGGCTAGAGGACTTTCTTGAGGCTGACGCAATTTCCGCTGCCTCTGAAAAAAAAAAAAAACAAGGCATGAAGCGGAATTTTCTTCTCTTTTTACTCTCGTTCGGTGCAAGTAAAGAGATATGATCCTTGGGTTTTCCGAGGCGGAATAATATGCCCCTCTGTAAATCCTCGACGCTGCTTGTACGGTCAGTCTTGTAGTCCTTCTCAGAACCGTAATTCTATTTGATAGAACGATGGACCTCTATCCGCGGATAGGCAGGTCAATCGCCGAAATATAATTGGCGGCGGTGGCGACTAGACGAATCTATTTGCATGCTTCAAACATGCCTCTCAGGCCTGGCCTGACCTGTTATCACGACTGGGTACGAGGCCCTCTCGGCATACTTGAGAAGATAACCACGGTCGGATAATAAATAAGTCGACCTTCATATCTGGCGTCATGGCCAAAAATACGCGTCTGGTCTTTGAGATCGCCTGATCAGCGGCCACAGGGGAAGAAGCAATGGCATTAGAAGAGAGTGTGGCGCGTTGTGTGGGTTTCAGGTTCACTGTCAGCCGTCGAATCAGTATTTTGTGCTGATGCAAATCCCGGGTTGGTCGTGGGGTGGCTGATAATACTGACTTGTGGCTGGAAGAAGGAATGGAGGGGTAATAATGGGTCCTCTGCCTTCCGTACTGCTATCGATGCTGAGACGCAAGTAAGAGTCAAAAGCGGCCATACCTCTGACCTTGACACGTGCACTACGGCGAATAACAGCTCTGACGAAACACACAGAACTGGACGAGGAGCTTAATTCAAGACGATCAATATAATTCCCGACGACTGTCAGTTTATCTTTTCTGACCTTCTCAGGTTCGTTTCATTTGTTGGGCTGATAGTGTTAACCTCGAAGGCGTCTTCTCGGAGCTTGTCTGTATACGAGCCCGCTGGAAGCGAAGCGATAATAGCACCTTTCCTTGTGGATGCCTCTTCTTTGTAGACGTGATCTGCTGTGATACGTCTTGCGCAGGGAGTTGAGGCAGTTCCAAGTATACAGTGTCTATCAGCTACATATATACTCAGGAAAGAGTTCGATCAGCGTGTACCGCTGTAATTTCTACTGAAGTATTAAAGTCCTAGTCATAGCCAAAAATTATATCTCCCAGTTCAATCTACCTCCGTTTCGACACTGGCCAGAGACAGATGGAATAATGAGAAGCTGGAAGAGACGGGAGAGAATGATTTGTCGCGCAAAAAACACCTCGAAACGTAACCCTCACCGCTTTATTAGCCCATCAATCCTCTTTTCAGTGCCGCTCTCCTCGAGCTCGTATATTTGTTCTGTTTGAGCCTCTAGGTCGTTGTTGAGAATATCGTCTGCCATGGAACTCTCCTGGGAGGTTGTCTGAGAGCCGGCCTGCGGGTGTGCTTCGAAGCGGAGCGACGATACGATACTGCCCTGCCAGGTATCATCTCGACGAGCATGACCTGCTGCTACACGTCCGGCGAGAAGAGTTGGAGCAATTCCCTGTGTGATGTTTCTGTCAAATATATGTATTAAGGAAAGAGTAGACCAGTGCGAACTGTTGTGATTTCAGCAAGAATGTCAAAGTAACCGCTCGTCCAGTTATAAATCGCTTTCAAGATGATGTATATGATCAAAGTCAGAGTGTAGAGAGCCGAGGACTCAATGAAGACTTCAATGACATGGCGATACTCTCCAAGCCCACCACCCTCTCTTCTTTGTGCCCGTATCACGATTAGGGTCCGAAGAACAATGAGAACGGTGCACCATAGAGTCGTAGCAATAATGCAGGATATGTAAATCACTACGGGATTGTCGAATGGATCCCAGGAGGGGGAATCTCCGGTGATATCAAAGATTTTGAAACCTGTACAAGTTATCGGCTGTCAATGGATATATGCAAGCAGCAGTATCGGGCATCGCACTCAGTCCAGAAGCAAGACAAAGGATCGGAAATGGAACGACGAGCCAACGTCGTCCCCAAACCATCCAGCAACGCCAAATCTAGAGTTTTCATAACGCTAAGTTAACATCGATTTCAGCCACAAGAGTTGCACATACCATGGCGCAGTCTGCAATTACAGTGCTTATAACGACGGTAGCACCAATTCCTACACTGAGCCTTTCAATCTGTGCACCCCAGCGAAGAAAATCAAACGTTTCTGCAAAGGGTATAGAACGATTAAGTGCACATCTGAAGGAGAAACTGATGGTCGTCGTGCTGTAAAACAGTATGATAATGGCTACCGAGGCTGGTCTGATGGACTGAGATTTGCTAGTAACCGTGTGGGAGTTGCGTTGGGTATATTGAAAATACAGCTCATACTCGACCCGACTCACATATATTCCACAGCGTGACGAAAAAGATGCCGGTATATATGCCTATGCTGTGTAGTCACGATTAGCAGAGACAAGTACCAAGAGCTTGAATACACACCCACCATGCAATAGAGCGAGTTCCATAGTTTCGTTATAACTCTCATCTGGAGAAAGATACATCCCACTGGACTCCAAGGACATCTGAATGAAGGTATGAGTAAACAAAAATATCGTTTATGGGTGCAAACACGTACATATCATTATATATAGAGCATTTCCCCTGTCAAAGTTTCATCAAGGAATCAAACAAGAACACCTCCAAAGAGATCATATTGCCCTGTATATGTCAATTGATATCTTTGAAACACAGCCATGGACGATTGAATGGCATATGTCGGTGTATGTGTGGCTCACAGCGAAAATTTCCTTGGAAACACGATCCCAATTGAGTACGGACAGATGTAGAAGCAACCGATGGAAAGAGTTGAATCATACTGACAAGCGATTCACAATGAACAGCCGCCCATGTCCATATTGTGATTGATCAATCAGGCTAGAAAATGGCCGGCACACACCTGTTCTTCGTAGGGATGACAAGGTAACTTCCAACCACCGTTCAGGATAGACTATTCAAGTAGAAAGGAGAGATATGAGTTCGATAATGTCAACCTCTGTGTGTGAGTCCCTGAAGCGACGTTGAATTAGATGGACGTCTCACGCACGTTCGAAGTTGTAGACTATTAATAAGATGGTGGACAAGGCAGCCAAGGAGTACCACCGTACGAGATGATCACCGAAGGACAAAAAAATCTTCGAGGGTTCGAAGATTTTCAACAAAATTGATATGATCGAGATCTCTAGGGCTGGATCAGTATCAACACCGTGTGCTATAGATGCCATAGATACACTTTGTAAGTACCAGATTTTCCCCGCGACTTTACTTTTCCCCACGCGGTTGTGATCGTGAACATAGCCTTCGATACTTTCTGAAGGCATCGATCCCGGTGTTCTTTATCATGTTATTGGCTGGCACTGATAACAAGAAGGCGGAGTTAGATGGATGCAAAGAAACGTACGGCTATCAAACTGATCTGTTATTCAGCACGACGAGAAAGATCAATGCGTGTAAGTATTCGGACTCGAGCCCATATCATGGAGCGGAATAGCATTGGGAGCAGAGAGTAAGCCTGATTCGATAATACCAGCGACGCCGAAATGACAAGTAAAACTTCACCAAATTTATTCTGGTATCCATCGACGTCGGTTCGTTGTTGACGCATTGATGCTCCGCTTCGGACCATTGGTATTTACGCCCACGAGGACCCAGAAAGAAACAGAGTCGTGTCAAATTTCATATCTAAGCATAAGAGGTGACACTGCCAGGCAAGAAATCAAAATTCGATTCTCGGATGATGACTGTTCGATGTTGACGAAGGATCTGGCCAAAAAAGGAAGTCACCCGGCGGCCCCTCCGATCGCTCTTGCTTTCGTACACCATGGCCCGTCGTGCGTTCGTCGTGATTGAGCACCAAACAACAGTGTTGGGATTTGGCAATCCGGCATCATGCCGAGTTCGCTTATTAAGGTAGAAGTCTGAGGAAAAGCGTGGAAAGTTCTAGTAAAAGTACATTTAGTATAAAAGTAGGTACTTTAGAGTAGATCCTCATGCGTTTGCAGAGCTCAGCCAAGCGCAATACTATTGGCTTGCTACCGCACATGTGACACTGGGAACGAACCGATACCCCGTTTTCCAACAAACAGCACCGAAGAAACGTGGAGAACAGTCAGCTAGGTAATGAAACTCAAGACGATATAATTTTCGACAACCATCAACTTATCTTTTTTGACTCAGGTTGTGTTCGATTAAGCTTTGATGTTATTATTAAGAGTGTCGCTCTCCGAAGTATCATTTTGGGAGTAAGCATGTGCGCCCCACTTGACAGAATGAAGGGACGAAGATTCAACAAGGGCTTCAACGATATGGAAATAAGTTTCAAGTCCACCATCCGCTCCATTATTTACTTGTATAACTAGCAGGATATGGATAATAAGAACGATGCATCACAGGGCCGCGGTAAGGATGAAGGAACCGGATGAATAAAGCTGCCAACTGGTACACTTTTACTTTGTTCGAGGCGTGTCGGCCTATTCTGGAACAGGTTTTGCCGAAGTTCGAATTTCGACCACTCCAAAACCGTACGTCCCGATTCACTCCATCTCTGTCTGACACTGGCTTCCACGAAACACAAATGAGTTAAAATGACACGAGAATAGAATTATCAAAAATCGTTCAGAGACAGATAGGGTTCACTAATCAGAAATGGAGAAGAAATTGAACTTGAAAAAGTTGGGAAAGCACTACATACAGACCGTCCCTCCCTCGGTTCAATATATCGGTATTATCATCTATCTATGAGAGACTAGGAAACCAGAGAGGAGAGGAATCCGTCGCGCTCACTGAATCCTCTTTTCAGTGCTGATCTCCTCAGATTCGTCCACTCGTTCTGGCTGAGGTTCTAGGTCACTCTCGAGAGTATCGCCTGTCATGGAACTCTCCTGGGAACTTGTCTGAGAACCGGCCTGCGGGTGCGCTTCGAAGCGAAGTGATGATATGATACTACCCTGCCAGGAGTCATCCGGACGAGCTTGACCTGCGGCTACACGTCCAACGAGGAGAGTCGGAGCAATTCCCTGCATGCAATTTTGTCAGATATATATATCTACTATATTCAGGAAAGGGTAGACCAGTGCGTACCGTTGTGATTGCTGCTAGGGTGTTAAAGTAATCGCTCGCCCAGTTATTACTCCCCTCCAGGGCAACATATATGATCAAAGTCACAGAATGAAGAGCCGAGGACTCAATGAGGATTTCGATAACATGGTGATACTCTCCAAGACCACCATCCGCTCCATATAATGCCCGTATAACGATTAGGATGCGAAAAACAATGAGAATGGTGCACCATAGAGTCGTGGCAATGATGCAGGATATGTAAATTATCAGAGGGACCACACGTCTGAACCCAAGGTTTTCTACTGCAGTAATTTCAATGATTTTGAAACCTGTACAAGGTATCGGCTGTCAGTGGATATATGAAAGCAAGATTATCGGACGTCGCACTAAATCCAGACGCAAGACAAAGGATTGGAAGCAGAATCACGAGCCAACGTCGTCCCCAAACCATCCAGCAGCGCCAAATCTAGAGTTTTCATAATATTAAATTGACCGCAATACGCGCTGCAAAAGTTGCACATACCATGGTACCATCTGCGACGATAGTGCTCATGACGGCTGTGGTACCAACGCCTGTAGTGAGTATCCCAACTGGACCCCATTGAGAATGAAACGTTTCTGCGGAAAGTGTTGACCGAAAGAGTATCAACCGACCAAGTGTCCAATTGAAGGAGAAATTGATCGTCGTGATGGTGTAGAGGAATATGATAATAGGTAACATGAAGCGTCCGATGGACCGAGATTCGCTGATATCTGTGTGGGAGTTGCCTTGGATATATTGAGAATACAAGGAATAATCGACTCGACCCACATATATTCCACAATGTGACGGAAACGATGCCAGTATATATGCCTATGTCATTTAGCCACTATTAGCAGAGCTAAGTAACCATAACTTGGAATACACGCTCACCGTGCAATAGAGCGAGTTCCATAATTTCGTTGAATCTCCCATCTTGAAAGCCATTTTTGCCCATGGAAGAACCTACCCCACCGGTCTTTAAGGACATCTGAATGAATGTATGAGTGAGCAGCAAGATCGTTTATGGATACAACTATGTATCATACCATCCCATTATATAGAGCGCATCGCTCGACCAATGTTCATCAAAGAATGAAACAAGAGCCACCTGCCCAAGGTCATGCCACATCGTATAGGTCAACTAGTATCTTAGATGCACAACAGTGAGCGATTGAATGGCATATGTCGTATGTATAGGTGGCTCGCAACGAGAATTTCCTTGGAAACACGACACCAATTGAGTACGGACAAATGTAGAAGCAATCGAGGGAGATGAGTTGAATCGTACATACATTCGAACAGCCGCACATCTGTTCGATCTATATTGTGATAGATCAATTACGAACTGTAAAATGGCCGGTACACACCAATTCTTCGAACAAATGACAAGAGAACTTCCAGACTTCGTTCAAGAGAGAATACGCAAGTAGAAAGGTAAGATATGAGATCGATAATGTCAGGTTTGGTGTAAGAGTCCCGCAGTGGCGTTAGGTTTGAATTAGTGCTTGATTGACGGACGTCTCGCGGCATATGCAAAGTTGTAGACTAATCTCAAGACGGAAGGCCACACAGCCCGGAAGTATCGCCATATGGGATGTCCATAGGAAGGTTCTCTTCAAATCTCCCTCGCAGGTTTGATGATTTTCGACAACATGATTGCTTCTAATGGCCAGATTAGTATCAGTACAGATATAGATGCCATTAGCACACCTTGTAAGTCCGGTCTTCCCGGAAATTTACTCGTCCTATAAATTTTAAACGTATTAGTCTCCAAGGTTTTTCATCGTGCCTGCCACATGATATTTGGCTGGCTCTGATGACAACTGGAGCCAGATAGATACCAAAAAAGAACACATGCTGTCAAGAAAGACAATGACATCGTGTTGCTATTCAGCACGATAGCCCGATGACGGCAGCAGAAGACCAATGCATATAAGAATTTAGCACAAGTCGATATCACGGCACGAAATAGCATTGAGAGCAGAGAGCAGAAAGATTTTTGAAGGCATGGGTTACCCACGACGCTATAATGGCAAGTGAAACAAATTTCAGCAAAGTTATCCTAGTATCCATCGACATCGGTTCGTTGTTGGTGCTCCGTTTCCGCCGACTCAAGCTACTCAAGGCCCACGATGTGATGGTTACGTTCCACAGGTCCCAAAAACAAGACCATCCTAATGCCGTGCCGAGTTTCGGGTATACCCAAGCATAAGCATAAGAGGTGGCGGGCCAGAAATCAAGGTTTGATTCTCGGATGATCATGATGGCTGTTCGATGTCAAGGAAGGACCCAGCCAAAAAAGGAAGTCACCTCCGATCGCTCTTACTCCCGTACACCATGACCCGCGGTGCGTTCATCGTGATTGAAGGCCTCGACAGATCTGGCAAAACGACACAGACAGCGGATCTTCGAGACAAATTAGCGGCTTCCGGGAACGCAGTAAACTGCACAAATTTCCTGGTAGGCATCCGTCGAATTTACGCGTCTCTCGCCGTGACGCCCCCCCCAGACAGGACTACCTCGATCGGCAAGATGATAGATTCTTATCTTCAGTCCAAATCTGAGCTTGATGATCATGCGATTCACTTATTATTCTCGGCTAACCGATGGGAACTTGCGTGAGGATCTTTAACTATAGTTGCAGGAGGACTAGGATACGAGCTAACCTAGATCTACTATTGAAGGCCTTCTTGAATCGGGGACGACAGTGCTATGCGATCGATACGCCTTCTCTGGGATCGCGTTCAGCGCATCAAAAGGCCTGCCTTACGAGTGGTGTAGATCTCCAGATGTTGGATTGCCAGCGCCGGACCTCGTTGTGTTTCTTGATATCACTCCTGAAAAAGCGAGGGAGCGTGGAGGGTACGGTAATGAACGGTATGAGAAAGAGGAGATGCAGCAGAGAGTGCGAGAGCAGTATAAAAGAATTGAATCCGAAAATGTCGTTCGGTGGGCAACAATTGACGCGGGAAGAGAAAGAGAGCAGGTTGCCTGCTGACATTTGGACGCATGTTGAAGCCGCTGGTTGACGGTATTGACCATGCTATTGCAAAGCTTTGGTTTTGAGACGTGTCAATATATATTTGCCATTATACAAAGCTATCCAATGTTGTCCGTGAAATCTTAGGTGGAAGATAAAGATGAAGAATACAGTGAAACTAGAACAAGAATGAGTGTGGCCTAGATTAATTAATCTTTGGAGGATATCTTGGAGACAATAACGGCGAGAGCAATAAGGATACCCCAGCGCCACTTCTGCCAGAACAATTGACTCCACCCACTGGCCCACCCCACAGCATTAGCAGCCTCGTCTGGTTTACCTATTGAGCCACGGGGGACACTAGCAGCTGATACCGTCGGCGCTGTTGGTGTAACCGCCAGAGTGGGCTGGGGGGCTGGCTTGGCTACAACTGTTTGGGGAGCTGGTGTAGTCGGTTGAGGCGCCGAAGGGAAGAGAGTTACAGGTGCCTTAATGATGCCTCGTTCCCGCTCACCCATATTTGGCAAGTCTCGGGGTTGTGGCGTACAATACTACAATGTCATAGCGATCAGTAAGCGTATCATGATGCCGCAGGGATGAAAGTCTCCGTTACGGAATGACTTACGTCGGGAAAAGCTTCTTTGAACCGCGCCTGTGTAAGATTCCATCCATGACTTCGCTGAGCATAGGTACGCTTGTGGGTATCAGAAGATGTCACAGAACCGGTTGTCATCTCATCCGATAGCATGAAGGAAAGTAGACCCGTCAAGCTAGGGGAAAAGCGTAAGCAAAAAGACAGGAACAAGCAAGCAACGGTCGGGGGAAAGAGATGTCACTCGGGAAAATGAATTACGGTGCTCGCTTGCACATGATGGCCGGAAACGAAGATAAATGATGGCCGAAGAAAAAGGCAAACGCACATTGTCGCAACACTCCAAGCGGGGTTCCACTAGCGCAATATGAGCGCCTATGTAGGTAAAAGCAAGTGATAGACGCACGGATCCGGGATGAAAATCTGACATTGAGAAACATATCTTCTTGTCGGGGTGAAATCGTCCGGAGGGGGTAAGCATCTGGGCCAGCACTTCAGAACGAGATATGGACCGATAAGAATAGCAGACGCACCTTGATACCAGGAGGCTTAAACGGATACTCTGAAGGAAAGAGCAAGAGGCCATGGTATTCTCCGCCGGCGAAGGGTGAATCGGGTGGGCCACGCTAGACAATTCCGTGAGAAGTGCACTACACAGCACAGCAGTTCCACGAACTATAATGTAATTCCCTGCCAAGAGACGTCAGTCGGATAAGGAAGAAGCTGAGTGGCAGGAAGAAGAAGTGCTTACAGGTTAAGATGTTCTTTTCGTCGGGTACCGCCCAAACGAATGGTGGTGGCTCTCTTTGCATGGTCACATATTCCTTGGACAGCTGTGGTGAGGGTAAGCGATGGCTTTCGGGAGAAAACGGACGACGTACGCGCTTGCTGGCAGCTTTGGTGGCCATTGAGGACTAGATGGAAAAGGAGAACGTTACAGTCAGGTCGTGGTTATTTGTAATGAGCACCGTGAGAAAATAATGCCCGTTCTCGCATTCCGTTTTGGGTCAAGGAAACGGCCGTCCCGTTTCGGCCCCGAAACCGGACGCCCAAGAATATCCACGGGTTCCGTGCGAAGACGGTCTCCAGAACCGCGAAGAGGTTTCGCCATTTCTCTTTTTTCTAATCAGGTTCATTCGAGGCAATCTTCAAAGCAACATTTCGGACAAACATCATTGCAATGTGGCGCTGTTGCCATGCGGTCCATCAACACCTGGAGCCTATGTAAGCGATAATGACTCTGATACCCCTTGGCTGTAATGATTGCGGTTAACGAGCAGCGAGCTCCTCATCTAGCCATATAAAAACTAGGTGGCGAATCATCACTAACTTTCGACCCTAGGAAGAAGCAGAGGACATCGATTCATTGGAAGCGGGCGAGTTCCAGAACGACATGCCTCATTTCATGGAAGTAACGGGAAATTGTTACAGCGGGCATTGTACCCGGCGGGGAGCTGTGGTATTTATCCTATAGAACTTTCCAGACGCCGACGCCGATGCCGAAGAAGTTGACGATAAAAGAACAGCAACGAGAAGCCTCATGAAGAACTTCAGTGGCTATACAATCAATGGGAAATACAATTACGACATACTAGCGCTTGTACTCCTTTGTACTCGCGAAGCTTGAACATTTGTTTAACCTTTAGGCTCGACGGATCCTTTTGGTTGTCAGTCCACCGGATAAATGGCAAGACATTCGGTGCCTGAAACGAGACCATATACACTGACCAAAAGAATTCGCCAGGATGCCTACGAACTCCTTCAGACCATTTGCAAGGCGCGGAGAGGAACTACAGTGGTGATATCCCTGATGATATTCAGTGGCATCACGGACCCACTGGGGTCGCGCCGAGCTTCTCCAGGTTTCGCTGCCGAAGTAGCTGTCAGCAGGCGGGCGGGAAGTTTGGCCTCGCTTGCGGCAGTTAGGCAGATTGGTTCAAATATACTGACCCGTACCTGGAAACTTTTTAGGGCCAGTGCTTGGGAATAACTGTAAGTTGCGAACGGTCCACTGATCTCGACAGAGAACCAGCAAGGAATGGCGTGCTGTTTAATTAGCCGACGGTATGTATTCTTGGAGGGGTCGTGCTCACCCGTAGTCCTGGATTCTGCATTAGTAGTGGTGAGGTGGCATCACATTCTTGTCAATGCGTCAATGCGGCGCGGAAGATTTGTGAAATCTTCACAAAGCGACGAGGGTCAAAAGCTAAAGTTCATTAGGTTATGCACTGGTGGCGCCTTAGGGTTGGAAAACGTTCTCAAACGTTTTCAGGGACAGGAGCGGTGGTTTAAGTCGGACTCTTTGACAATCACAGTAATACAAACTGAACGTTCGACCTCAAGGGACAACACGAAGAGCAAAAAATGATGGCATTGTGTGGTTCCGAGTAAAGTGAAGCAACCTATTGATGCATAAGTCAGGGAAGACAAGAAATGAAAGAGTACACACATTATCGTCTCCTCCCTCCACGCCCCGCTTTCGCCTTCATAGCTCTCTTCCTCTCCCGTTCCTCTTCTTTAGCCCGGGCGTTTCGTTGCCGTGGATCAATAACCTCATAGTCCCGCTCTGCTTTCCTACTCTCCTCGCCATCGTCCTTCGGGAAATGTAGTGCGTGTCCCAAAAATCCACGATCGTCATCAACTTCTATACCAGGGTCCCCCTCAACGGGCCCTGGAGCATTCTCCCCATTCGGTTCTCCGGCGTCATCCAGAGGTTCTGGCTCCTCCAGCATTGTACTTTGCAACTTTCCACGGAACGAATTCAAGGCAGCAAGGATATCTCCTTCGTCCCGCCGCTTGCCCTTCTTGTGTAAACCACGACCCTTTGAGTACTTGGAAAGCTCCTCCTCGAGGTACGACTTCTTGGTGCGTTTCGCTGAACGCTCGTCATCGCTGTCGTTGCCTTCACGCCGCCTTCGCAAGTTTCCGAATTTCTGCCTTCCATCTTCTCAATCTCGGCTTTGCGGGCATTCTCTCCAGCAGCCTGCCCTTGAGCGTGCTGTTCCCGAATTTTGGTTAGATCGGAGGCATCTCTCTTCTTCTTGGCCTAAAACCTAGTTGAGAACCCCATGGCTTTGAAAGGCGTAAGCCGTACCTTTGACTCTGTCGTCTCCTCGGATGTCTTCACACTTGACTTGGGAGGATTGCTCACGAAGTCGGGAATTGATACTGAAGGCTGAGGATCCTCCGCCACTACATTCTCCGGTTAGGTGGATGGTACGCTAAGGAATATGGACATACAATCTGGCCGGGCAATCCCCTTCTTTTTAAACGAGACAGGTTCCTCTTCAGCAGTGTCATCTTCAAAACTTAGCAGCTTGACGTTCCTACGGGTGAGGTTCAGAAGTGAGAAAACATGAGAACAGAAAATCTGACTTTTTCGCTCCCTTACGTCGCTCCATTTCTTCCCTCTCCTGCTGTGCTTGCTCTCTTGCGCGAGCCTGAGCGCGTCTCTCCTCTGCTGTAATTCGAGGGACGATATCCTCAAAGGGATTGTCGACTATGCGTATGCCCTTGATTTTGGGTGGACTAGTAATGATGAGGGGAAGAAGATGCTATACGGGCTACGCTACTCACTATAGCGGTCGTCCATCGCTGTCGAGCTCTAAAAGTGGTGTAAACACCTAGTAACGCACATGGAAGTAGGGACATACCCATTTCGCCTATTTTCATGACATCTGCGAGCCCGTGGGTTAGGATGAATGCTTGCTACTATGTTCTGGCGCTCACTGTATACTGTGTCTCCGACGAGTCGTCCGAACAACGTATGTTTTCCATGTAGCTCGTCCGCTCTGTCTATTGCACGTTTAGTGATAGAACAATCAGGACACGCCAAACTCACCAAGAGTGATTATGAACTGCGAATCATTTGAGTTCTTCCTCCCGTTGTTGGCCATGGCCACGAGCCCACGATGAGCGAACCGTAGTCGCGGGTGAATCTCATCCTCGAAAACGTCTGGAGCGGGGAAGCAGTGAGACCTTTGCCAGCGCAGTAACCATAGGGCGTACCGCCGTAGATTGACTCCCCACCACCACCAGGTACCTGTTTTATCACCAGTCTGCACCAAGAACCCGGGTACTACACTGGAAATAGGACCTGTCAAAACGTACCACAGGTAAAGATGGTAGAGCTGCTCGCACCGGTGGAATATTACTCCATCATAATATCCTGTGCAAAAAACGATATTATGCCACGGATCCGCGGACTACAGAGAACTCACAGACCCTCCATAGCCAGCGTCAAAAAGTTGCGGCACGTCTTGGGAGTTTCCTTGCTCAGATTGTTCAGTTCAAGGTAATGAATCAGGGGGATTCAAATAAAGTACCTTGGACCATAGCTCAATGTCAATTTCGCCGACGGTAGTGTCAATGATAACACGTCCTTTGATAGGTAATGCCATGGAAGGGAGTGAGAGCAATCGGGTTCTGCCGACCAAGCCAAACTGGGCCGTGACGAGGATCACATGATGTGACTTTCTACGCGTTACAATAAAGACGCGATTTCCTTCGTCTTTTCTTTCACCACATCCACCATGTATGGGAGGGACAAGGACGATGACGCGAATGGTGCCTTTTGTATCTTATTATGTGTAGCCTCTTACTGAATCCTGCTAGATAACGACCCAGCTTTCGTTACGTTTTTCGGAAAACTGCCTGCAAAATCTCCAGAGACCGGGACCTTGCGACTGTTCCACCGGACGGCGCCTGATGAATTCTACTCTGCTTATGGACCTGACGCGCTGTATGCAGCTACTCATGTCTTTCACACCAATTCAGGTAATCAAATACCTCGGAGCTGGAGGGCGAACTGTCGGGCTTCCTTATGTCTCTCTTAAAGTCAGCATAGCCCAAATGCTGCTTAGGGAAGCCCTCACGACCAAACAACTCCGTGTCGAGATCTGGGAACCCGAAAGTCAAGGGAAGAAGTGCTCCAAGTACAGACTGGAGAAGGAGGTGCGCGCGCAGCTTAGACCATTTGTTTCTGAGAATCGTCCTAACAGATATTACAGGCATCTCCTGGGAATCTTCAGGCTGTGGAGGATCTGCTTTTTGTCTCGTCCGACCTACTCTCAGCTCCCATTGTCATGGCCATCAAGGTTAATACTACTTCGGCGGCTGGAGGGGGAAAAGACAAAGTCAAGTCTGTCGGCATTGCGTTCGCAGACACGAGCATACGCCAGCTGGGCGTAGCTGACTTTGTGGATAATGATTTATTCTCAAATACTGAAGTACGGTTCCTTCTGTCACAGTCGTATCTTGGCGCTCACTGGTTTGCAGTCGCTTATCATCCAACTGTCTGTCAAAGAGGCCATCCTTCCGACAGGAACTTCCTCAGGAAATACGGATCGGGACCTTGACCTTAACAAACTAAAAGCCGTCCTTGACCGCTGCGGTGTAGTGATCACTGAGCGAAAGCCTAGTAGGACTACGGCGTTTCTTTTTGCTTACACATGCTAATCACGATATGCAGGCGAGTTCATGGCCAAAAACATAGCCGACGATTTACCACGCCTCTTGTCAAAGACCCCAGCACCGGCGACTGGATCTGCTGATGCATCGGTTTCTATTCGTATGTCCGCAAATTATGGCTGGATTATGTTAGCTGACATCAAGTTAGCCCAACTTTCGCTTCCTGTTGCACCGGCTGCGCTCTCTGCACTGATAGCATATCTGTCGCTCCTCGCAGATCCAACCAATCACGAAGCATATACCATCCGGACCCACGACTTGTCCCAGTATATGAAGCTTGATGCAAGTGCGCTGCGCGCTCTAAACCTGACAGAAGCTCCCGGAAATGCTGTGAGTTTTGGCTCTTCCAGGTTGGCACTCGCTTTAACTTCGGATATAGGGCACGACCACACGTAATACGACCCTTCTCGGTCTTCTCAACAAATGCAAAACGGCTCAAGGGACAGCGTCTTCTCGCTACGTGGCTCAAGCAGCCACTAGTCAACCTCCATGAGATTCGTATGTTCTTTGGCACCATCTCTGTCCATTAAGTGAACCGTGACCAACAGGGAGACGCCAAAACTTGGTGGAAATATTTGTCGATGACTCAAATTCGCGCCGTAGTCTTCAGGTCAGAATCTTTGCTTAAATGAGTCGATTCATTCTGAATATGTGGTGCAGGACGACTACATGAAAATGATGCCCGATTTGCACCGGCTGTCAAAACGATTCCAGAAGTCCTTGGCATCCCTCGAAGACGTCGTTCGCGTGTATCAAGTTGTTCTAAAGGTAAAGGTTTTCGACATTCGGTGTGATATAGAGCTGACTGAAAGACTGCAGCTTCCTGGCATGATTGAAACACTGAATGACGTACAAACCAAAGAAGAGCACGCGTCCTTGATAGATGAGGCTTACCTCACCGCTTTGCGTGTAAGGCGCTTGGTGTCTAATTCACGACTAGTATTAACGTTCTTTTAGGAACACGAGGCCAACCTTTCAAAGTATAGTGAGATGGTGGAACAGACGCTCGACTTGGATCAGCTCGACCATCATAGCTATGTCATCAAGCCAGACTTCGATCCGAGATTGAAAGAATTCGCCGAGGAGCTGAGCAAGGTTTGCCTTTGTTTCTGCAATCATACAACTAGCCATTGAGTGACTCTCCAGATTCGTGACGGCTTAGATGAAGAGCACCAATCCGTCGGGGACGATCTCAACATGGAGTTAGACAAGAAACTTCACCTAGAGAACAGTCAAGTGTATGGATACTGTTTCCGTCTAACGAAAAATGTTTGTAGTTGCTATCAGTCATTTCTGCTTCAGTTGACGTGCGATAATAGGATGCCAAGGGCCTTTCAACGAAGAAGTATATTGAGCTAGGAACCATTAAAAGCGGCGTTTACTTTACCACGAAGACGTTAAAAAATCTGGCAGAAGACTTCAAGGACATATCAGACAAGTACACCCGAACCCAGAGTGGTTTGGTCAAAGAAGTCGTTAACATAGCATGTGAGTACAGCCAACTTGTTTCTTCTTCTCCTCATCTCCTCATACCCCTGGATGTAGCCACATACACTCCAATCCTGGAGTCGCTGGATAACATCATCGCACATCTCGACGTAATTCTGAGGTGCGTCCGCGGTATTCTTCTTGGACCTATAGCTCATTTATATTGAAGCTTCGCCCATGTGTCCGTTAATGCTCCTGAACCTTACGTCAAACCGACAGTCTTTGAGATGGGTACGTCAACTATTCCCCTCTCCACGTATTCTAAGCTTATTCAATGCGATAGGTACCGGAAGCTTGGTCCTTAAAGACGCTCGGCATCCCTGTCTTGAAGTTCAAGACGACGTTCATTTCATTGCCAATGATATTGAGATGATTAAAGGTGCTGCTCTTTCCCTTCCGTTGGTGTGTATCATCTCACATCACCTTCAGGCGAAAGCGAGTTCCAAATCATCAGTAAGCGTCTATCCCTTCCAGCATCGATCATCTTGCTCACTGGCCTGTAGCCGGTCCCAACATGGGTGGAAAATCAACGTACATTCGACAAGTTCGTTTTCTTTTCTTCTCCTTTGAACTGAGGTCTAAAGACATATCGTTAGACGGGTGTGATTGCTCTGATGGCCCAGACAGGATGCTTTGTGCCTTGTTCCGAAGCGAAACTCCCTGTCTTTGACTCAGTATTATGCCGCGTGGGAGCAGGGGATAGTCAGTTGAAGGGCGTCTCCACTTTCATGGCGGAAATGCTAGAAACAGCAATCATTCTTCGTGTAAGTGGAGTATCGATATATGTTGTGCATGCAGGCTCATCTAGGTTTTAGTCGGCGACTCCGAACTCTCTCATCATCATTGATGAACTTGGACGAGGTAGGGCACTGCTGATACCTTTAACGCATACATTCACCTGTGGCAGGTACCTCGACGTATGATGGATTTGGCTTAGCTTGGGCGATCTCAGAGTAAGCCTGCTTATTTGCCGGGTTCTTCTTGCTAATGTCAGATCCCTAGACACATTGCTTCCAAGATACACGCCTTTTGCCTTTTCGCGACACATTTCCATGAGTTAACTGCGCTGGACCAGCAAATCTCTCATGTGAAAAATTTGCATGTAGTAGCTCACGTTGCTGATACTCCAGACGAGAATCAGCGACGGGACATCACACTACTGTACAAGGTCGAGCCGGGTCAGCGCCTTTGTTCAAGCGAGTATCTTCTGCTTATTGAAAATGTTTCATGCAGGTATTTCGGACCAAAGTTTTGGTATACATGTTGCCGAGTTGGCGAATTTCCCCGAAAGTGTTGTCAAGGTGTGCTTTCGTTCTTATGTCTATCAGGAGCACAAACTCAAACATCTACTTAGCTCGCACGTCGGAAGGCAGAGGAACTGGAAGATTTTGGTGGTGGTCAGCACCCTTTTATTTTGTTCGAGAACAGGCTCCTGATACTGTCCTTCTAGCCGAAGATTCAGCCGATGACAACATGCCCGTAGAAGTGACAAATGAAGGGATTGCCATCGTCGAGGAACTACTTTCCACTTGGGCTGCATCGCAGACTCAAGACGATGAGGACGTCGTTATGGAAGATATTGATGGCGTCTCTCCGGAAGTCCAATTAGAGAGCCTGAAGCGATGCTTCGATAACTTCAAGCCAAAGATAGAGGGCAACGCTTGGCTTCAGTCCTTGCTTGCGACACTCTAGTCCTTCATTTCACCCCGGATGCTTGAGTATTTGTAAACATTGTATTAATAGCTTGCTTTGTCGTTTGTGTATAATGCTTTGTGTAAACAATTTGATGATCAACTACTTCCTTGAAGTACATGTTCCGTACAATAAGAAAGTCTGGCGGTGATATCTAAATTGGGACAACCGCGTGGCCGATCAGCTCCGTTTTTGGAAACGAGCAACTTCACTTTGTTCATTTTGCCACTGAAATCCAGTCTGCCACTCTATAGCTCTCAACTAACAAAGTAGCTCCAATTCTCTTTTGTTCTCTCTTAGAGATATATAGCATACATAATCACGATGTACTCTTCCTCATCCTCGTCTTCTTCTTCTTCGTCCTACTCTCAACCTACTCTTCCTGGTCAACGTCTACGAGCGATTCAGGTCGCAACAATTATACGAGTGCGTTCTACGTGTTTTCTATCATTATTCTGCTCACACACTCTTGTGAAGATATGTCCGGTACTCCAACCAAACAGCGCACGAAAGACCGCAAGTCCGATGGTACGAAGCGGAACGTCAAAGTGCAGATAGGCACCAAGATAGTTTCAGACATCGACATCCGGGAGTGGATCATAAATGTGTGGATCATCTGATGACGACGCTATAAGTCCAGTTCTTGATCGTACTTGGGTTTTGGACCAGGCAGCTCTCCGAGAATACCAAGAAACTATGCTCCAACCAGATAAAGTCGAACATCACCTCTATGATCCATTTACCAAATTATGCACTCCTTTGTGGAAGACTCTGCTCGATGACCCCATCTCCTCATCGTCAGAACAGTCCAACTCTTGGAGCCTGCAAGCTAAGTTGTGGCATCAGGAGGGCGACTTCAATATTTATGCTGGAGACGACAGCAAGAGCTCAAGGCGCCCGGACTTCCTTGCCCTTTCATCTCAGACGTTACTGTGGCTTGATGGAGACTCTAAGCGCCAACCGGATTGGTCTATGACTGTCTTTCCAATGGAGGTACAGAAAACACGGGTATCAAAACTTCGCAAAGAGCGGCATCCTTTGGCAGCTCAATCAGCAACACACGTTTCCGAAGCCTCTCCGTACCGCTCGGATGAACACACCCGCCGTCATAGCATGCCCCCCGTTGATGAAGAACCGTCGCACACGTCGTCTTCGAAGCGTAGCACCAAACGGGGAGTGTTGCACAATCCGGAAATCTTTCTCAGCGGTCTAACAAATGGCCCCATCGGTACCAGATGAACAAAGTGCCTCAGCTCGCTGCAGACGCCTTGGAATGCTTTGTTGCCACTCCTCGACTCTATGTTGTGGGGATAGCCCAGAGGGACAGCCAAATCGTCTTGTCATATTTCGACGCTACCTGCATGTTGAGGATGGCGGCGTTTGATTTTATAGAGAAGCCCCAATATCTGGTGCTCGTGCTGTTTGCGATGCTGAAATGCACGCCCCGCATCCTAGGATGGCGGCCGGGTGTCAATCCATACTTTCATCCGGGACCTGCGCAAGATGGAGAAGAAGGGAGTATGGCGAGGCGATGGAAAGGTTCCAGATTCGTCTTTCCCGGGGAACAGAGTGGCTCTGATTTGACATTCACAACCGAGGATAAACCTTGGTTCATAGCTCCGGAAGTTAGCGGGTGAATGGCATGTGTTGTTCTAGTCATCGATGAACAAGGGCGATCTCTTGTTCTCAAGGCTGTTTATACCGATGGCGCGCGCCCCCTTGAAACTAAATTGGTTAGGAAGCTCCTCACCAAGGCGCCCAAACTGAAGAAATATCTCCCAAACATTACCTGGAGTCGCCTCTACGACTCGGAGAAAGATCTTCACCTCCCACGTTTCAAATTTTCTCCGGAGGTCCTTTCCACGTTTCCAGTCCATCACCTTCTATACTTTGCCTGCCAGCGTTACGAAAAGCTCTGGCAAGTTCATAGCCTTGAAGAGTTCAAGGCAGTCTTCATTGATTATGTTGAATGTGAGTTCTGGCTTCAAAGACGCAGTGTATGTTACTAACTGGAGACTACAGGCCATTACTGGGCCTACAAAGAGGGCAAAGCACTTCATCGTGATATCAGCGACAACAATCTCATGGGGTGCAGAGACGAACACGCAGTCGTCGGTATATTGAATGACTGGGATAACGCATCTGAAGTCGAAGAAGATGGTACGGTGATGTCGTCCAAAGCTCTCCAGCGCACCGGAACGAGGCCATTTACGGCTCTTGACTTGCTTGTTACGAACACACCATCCCACTTGTACTGTCACGACCTGGAGTCCTTCCTTTATATTCTCGTATGGGCTGGACTTCATTACAACCTCAAAGACCGTCAACGCCAAATCAAGGACCATCCCGCCGTTATGAACTGGGACGCGCAAGACCTCGAGAGGGCTCACGATGCCAAGAATTTCTTCCCTACTATGTGGCCCTACTATCAGCGCATCATCACAGGGTTCAACGACGAGTTTCGACCACTCATACCTGGTTGGATAGATCCATTACGCCAAATGTTCGGTCGCGCAGTCAGAGAGAAGGACGACACAGAGGCCAAAGCAATGGTGTTTGGTCAGCAAGATGCCTACGATAACGCGACGTGCAATGGGCAGATAACATTTGAAAACATGGCTGTTCTTCACGCTGAGCCCCGCTCGCTGTCCAATGAAGAAACGACGACTCATCCTCCCACAGAAGAGAAATCTAATTAAACACGTATAACAAATAGCTTCCCCTCAATCATCGCACGACTTTCCAATTCAAACAGAAATATAATATGAAGTCCCAATGTGATTACATTGATGCCGTGGTGCAGTGGTCGTAACGTCCGTTGATCAAAATAAAACAATAAGGGAGGGGAAGTGACGCGGCGCGCCATATGTTCGTTTGGAGTCCTGCTATCCAATTCAGAGCCCTTTTCACGCCTGTCCTAGAGCGCTAATGGTTACCAGTGAGCGATTCAAAGTCAATGCGAGAAAGAACGAAAGCCTCACCACATAAATTGTACGCGCTATTAAGTGATAACGCATCCCCCGTCCGTCGTACACAGTTCAGATGCTTCATTCTGCGGAGTGCTATCTGGGGCTAGCCCAATCATGTCAAGGATGAACTCGACAAAGTTGTCCATGAATATTAATGAGGATGTTCGTAGAAGATTATGAGCGCAGACCAGTGCAGCTGTGATCTAAGTAGTAGGTGAGGACACCAAGCACGGGTGGGGTAGCTTTTTATATGTGGACATTACACGGCCGGTCCTATTGTCTCATTGCAAAGCGCAACCGCACTTTTTTTGGCGTAGACAATAAGAGATTTACGCTTTGAGGTATGTCGCTTCGGAGACAGTTGCCACTGGTCGGGTGCGGATCAGTGCGCTTTGCAAAGTTTATTTCAGAACGTACAGATGGGTAATACGTTCTGATCTGTGACATCTTCTCTTCTCATTGAATGGCACAGGGCTGACGGATTAGCATCAAATGGCTATTGTTTTATGGCGCGCGCCTTACATACAAGATGACGTTATTGTTTTGAGAGGCAGTCCGCATACCGGTAGCTCCGAGCGTTTACAAAGTTCCGGCAATAAAGTAGAATCGGTTGAATCTGAACTCGGACAAACAACAGGACGAGCTCCGGATCATCTTCGTCCGATTCGATAGTGTTCAACAGCAAGACCTATGCAGTGGTAGTATTCCCGAAGCCAGAGAAACAAGACGTAAAGACAGTCCTGCCCATAAAACAAATCTAGTATGCGGTGGAAACAACACGTAGTATCTGGGAACACCTCGGAGAGTCGGAAAGGCATGCAGGACTAGATTTGCCACGAATTCGAATCTGCCCCAAGACTTGCCCCTTCTTTCCACGTCTTTCATGTTGTTTTAACGGTTCGGCTGGTAGAGACGGAAATGGCCTGTTATGGAGGAGAAAGTGTCTCGAGGCTAGAGGTATGCGGGCCCCCAAGCCACTGGTCTGAGCCACTGATGATATAGCGACACCCGTGGCAAGCTTCCACTGTGAGCGTTATCAGCAGCCAACGGCACGAGAAATGCTGGGGAGAAATTCAGAGCTCCCACATAGTAGTGAGGTAGTCCCATCGACCCCTTCAGGACCATATCCTACATTTGATATCGAAGGAGGTCGGTCCCTTGGTCCGGTTCTACTAGCAGTACTAGATAGTACTAGGAAAGACTCGACTCGAAAAATGGGCAGCTAAGAAGTTATTGGCTTGTCAGGTGGTGGTGGTGTTATTCATAGTCTCGGTAGACGACGCGACTACGTGGTGGGGCTGATCATAAGGTTAATCGTGCCACCTGCCTTTGCAACCTAACTCGGCAACCGTTGCGGCATAAAATAGAATCCGTTTTTAGCATACCGGCAAGTTCAGTGTGGGACAATTTCAAGCCGGCACGCAAATTTTCCAGAAGATTGTACTCCCTTTTTACTTAGAATAAATTTATTTTCTGTAAAATTGTTAATAATATTCAGAACGCAGATACTTTTTTACTTTTCACAATGCGGCCCGAAACCTTGATAGCGCTGAGCCGACTTTCGGCCATCAAATCGTGGCATGCTTTGTAATAGCACAGGCGCCGCGGCAACTCTGCATCAGTCTCAACTGTAAATCGCAACCTCGGAATTGATGGGCACATGCGTCGCACTCGAGTGAACGTGCAAGGCCGAAAAACTTCGATTGATCAACTACATCCTCTTCTCTTACTCTGCTGACCTGGGGTTCTTCCTCGACGACTCAGCGCAAAACGACTCGGAAAGGCTTGAAGGTATTGACTTTCGTCGCCTAACACCTTTCCACGCTAGAATATTTTGGGAACGCGCATTGCAAAGCGGCTAACTCAACGATCCCACATCAGGATCGACGCGGCGGTAGCCGACGCTCTTGCGACTGTAGTTCGCCTTTTCTTTCAAGGCAGTGGTCAAGACTTGCAGGTTCTGAATGACCAGCGCTGAAGCGCGGCTGCATGACGGTTCCTATCAGAGGACATCGAAACTGGCAAGAAGTTACATGTGGGCCCAAATGAGATAAATAGATAAAGGTTGCAATAGCGCACGAAAGACGAGACGTTAGGCAAACGGTAGGTGCTAGATAGGTAGGTAGCATGACTTCATACAGTGAATGTCGAAAGAAAATGGCTAATATACACATATATCTCGCACTGACGTACAGGTGGCTTTCTGCTATGCTCTGATGGCTCAATCCTAGAGGCGATTATCATTCCTTCCTTACTACAAAGGCAAAAGTGAATATGAAATGCCATATACACGCAACCGACGCTCACGTTTGCGGGAGGAGTGACTGCATGGGCACGTGTTGAAAGACGGAGCCCAGCAAGCCTCAGCCTCAGTTCATTTAGTCGATCCAATTCCTGCAGGTCCTTGAAGGCACGGTCATGGTGATCACCGGCAAATGCCCGTTTTTTGGCCTCGCTAAAGACTTCTACCGAATCAAAATCCTCGGCCATCCCATATCGTGTCGCCAGCATCCTCTCTGACTCTTGCAGAGGTATGATTTGATGCTGGATCACGTTCATTTCTGCTTGGTCGTCATAGTGAACAGCATGAGGGAGCATGGCCTCGAATATTCGTATACAGACACGTTTGGCGTACTCAATCAGACGTGCCACCTTGCCGGCGAGCTTCTTGAGGTTGAGAAACATGTCCCGGGTAGTAGTGAGAATGATAGCGACTTTTGAACCCCAACACCTTGCACGAACAAACGCACAGCTCATGCCTGTCACACCACGTTACAAGCAACTGACCCGGTGCGATCAATGGATTGTGGATATTTGAATAGTGGTTGTTGAGTACCAGCATGAGAGCCGTCACACCCGTGTGCGAGTCATGCTGGTATAAGGAAAGGCCGTAGTCTTCCATCAGTTTGTTGTAAGAAATAGAGACGGTGAAGCAGGTACGATACCTGCATCTCACGACATAACAATCATATTACTAAAAATGTAATAGATCGGATCCAGAATGCAGGTAGGTAGCATTACACGGCAGCGTCCACACAGTAAACACTGGTCCCCGACATATGTACACGACAAGGGAAGAAGGCGCTAACTACAAACAATCCTACCCTCATCTGCACGACCCACAGACCCAACGTTACTGAGCCAAGCACCGAACCACCAGCCGTAGGGGAGAAGCACCCAGTAGCAGGAAAACCAGGCAAAAAACAGCATTGTATCCACTCAGGTAGAATAACTGCTGCCCTAGACCAGAGACCAGGTCAGCGTATGTGCACAAGCACGCGGCCACAGTATGATAGAACATATTAGGTGCTGGAACGACAACATGATGTTGACAAGGAATCTCGCTATGTAAGTGTACGTGGCAGGGTGGGGGGACGACTGTCGACATCAATTGCGGGATTGGGTGGGTATATGATATATCAATATTGGACCGCCACTGTGAAGGTGTTGGTCGCACGCATGAGAAGCAGGGAAAGGGTTGATAATTCTGTTGTACATCAGAGCACAGTTGGAGCTAGTCCATAAGCGTCACCTCTTCCATTTGTTGTCGTGGTTCCAACCTTTCCTCGGCTCTACCATTCGCACCTCCCCACCCTTCCAGCACCCCGAGAACAGTTGGTTGACGCCCAGACGGCGAATGATTTTCAGGTTTCTAGCAACTGAGGTGCTACTTTGTGTGATGTGCCGGGGTTGGTTGGGATTGGCGCAGACCGGAATAAGTACTAGACGTCCGTCGTCCCCTTCGATATCCAAAAAGTTACCTGGATTGATCTTAGTATATTCACAGCGAAAGAACAGGCACGATCAGAAAGTTCCCATGGGCGTAGCACACCAGTGAAGCGTGTTTCCCCGCAGATGGGATTTATTCATCGACACCTGGGTTAAATTGTCACCCTAAGTGATTTTTCAGGAAAATTGGAAGCTGGAAATTTTTCTTCTGAGAAGGAAGGGTCTTTGCTGGTTCAGGCTGAGGGCAGGTTATGCCGAACCGGACAAATCATGCCGGTACCTTCCGGTGGCTTGGCACCGATTGGCAGCATTGATCATGATTCTACGCCACGCTGTGCGCCACTGCGCGAGTGAGGACGCATTAAGGACAAAAATGTCCACCCACCATTATAGTTACCGTTACTTCCAGGTACTCATGGCATTGTCACGGTGGACCATCCAACTGGAAGAGGAGACTACGTCAGTTGGGTACTCACTGTAATTGAACACCATGAGGTTCTATGCCGCTATCCACCCTGGATGCGACTACTGGTCCGCATCCCCACGGACCAAATGGGTCTACATAGGCGTCAATCAGGAAGATACAGCGGAACTCATGTTTCTCGCATCCTCGGTCCAACGTGAAGGTCGGAAAACGTATCTTGTTGTTGCGAACACGGTCGGATGGCCCACATTTGCTGGGCCATTCTCAGAATAGATCCGCCTATGTGAACACGTTTAAAACGATGAGTTGGTGCGTCTAACGTCTCCCCAACGTCCTGTCATCCACGCTCACCTCTGGCAATGCAGAAATGAGTGGTATTAAGAAGCGTTGGTGCATCTCGTCAATTAAAAAGCTTTTCTTCCGCAGTATCGATATCTTTCGACGCCATCGCCGTACATGTCGGTGCTTATACGAAGGCGCCGTGTACCCAGTATGTTGATCAACTTGAACATTAAGTATGCTTATTCTGATCTAGGGTCTCGACGAAAGAATGGAGAAGATCCAAAGTCAAATCAAGCCTCTGGAAGAATTGGAGAGGAATCTGGCGAAGCAATACGGGATGGGCAGGGATTTTGATCCTGTCGAGGTTTTCGACAAGGGGAAAAGACTGGCATTTTCGAATCGCGACCAGGAGGTCCTGAAAAAGCTGGGTGAACTACACGAATTTCGGCTGCAGCGTGCAAAGCTTAGACGTTTGGCTGAAAGATATCGTGTAAGTGTTTATCATATATATCTTCCAACGAAAGTTAACTCTTGATCGATGGATAGAGCCGAAGCACAGGAAGAACGAATCCTTCCGTATCTCTCGGAAATTTCATACCTATAGTACTGTAATATATCATCACCTAGTAAATACAAAATATTGGAAAGGACGTGGGGATGAGGCCAAGGACAGCGGATTTTCGCAATCTGAGTTTCAACAGTGGCCAAGAGAACGATGATAGTCTACGATTGGGTCCCCGTAAATTGGCCAAGGGGTCATCTCATAAAGTGTTTCTGAAGCCCGAGCTAGCCTGCTTATCTGTTTACTTCACTTTGGCTTGTTGCCATTGGTTGTTTGGAATATGTCAGCCTGATACAGTATGCGGCCCGGACGGCAGATAAAGACGCGGATTCTATCATCTCACATATATGAACTAAGGGAGTCTTAGGAAACACGAGACAAGTTACAACTCACAAAGAGCAATGATTTACTCTGTAGTTGTGATACTTACATACATAGAACACAAACGAAATAATACACGATAGGACAATCGAACTATAACTATACCTAACATACAGGATATAAACACAGTACCGTAAGAAAATGAGACCGAAAAAATTATTAATATAGCCGCACATTGGAAGCGACTTCATCGCTGGACCGCTTCTGCTCTAGCCTCTACAAAAAACGACTAGGTGTGTATATGCTTACACTAGCAGTGTGCTGTTATTCCGTTGCAGGGCCTAGCGGAACAGGATCACGTTCTATGTAACTAGGACTAGGACTGCAATTGCAGCTCTGAATACGCAGCCTCAGCAAATATCCACGTAATGATAAGAGAGAGTAACACCGTACCATATACCAAAGTCGTTCATTCTTACTATCCCCTGCGACAATCGGGTACTGGTTCAATAATTTATTCTCAGGAAGGTTCTTGACAAGTGTCTCGACAAGCTAGACGTAAGTTGGTAATTCGCTGTTCAAGCTAGCCGGGTCGCGAATTATCGACTTGAGCGAAGAAATCAGTGCCAAAGTAAAACACCCATTGTGCCGCTCAGACTTCGAGTCCAAGTTATCCGCCAGTTGCACTTCTGCCGCATACTCATAAGCCTGACACGCTGCCAAGACTACATGCGAATTCTCTGGGATATCAGGTGTCCAATCCCCCCCAGATATAGACGGATATCGAGGGGAACCATCATCAGTTTTTAATCTTCCCAACCTCTTATCAGCAGCCTCAAACATGTCTGCAATCGAAGTGGTTGCAGACAGAGCCTTGGCCTCGCATACCACCGCCTCTGATCCTCGAACTTGTATGCCTCTGGTCAGACCTGAGTGGCAGCAGTCCAGAATGACAGTGATGTGATGTCCTTTAGTGCGAGAGATTTCCGTGAGAATGGTGCTGAGCTCTCGGTCGCTGATATCAGGGATTGGCTTAGAGCGTCCTAGCCTAAAACCTCTGGCCCTGGCCCTACGGTCCATAGGACATAGGGCCTCTATTGTACCTGTACTGGATGGGGAATCGGGACCGTATCCAGGATGGTCCTTACAACGATAAACCGCGCCGTGCCCGGAGAAATAGATGATGACATTGTCTCCCTTCTGTATCTGGAATTCGTAGAGTGACCAAGGAGGGCCTCAATGATGTTAGCACGAGTGGCGCGCGCAATTCTGGCCATGCCAGATGCCCGATTAAATGACGAGAGGGAAGCTGTAGTACCGAGGAGGAGACTGATATGATCTGTCGGGATGCCTAGATTCTGAGTCAAGAATCCGAAAATTTTGGTAGCATCGGATACGCAACCGCGCAAGACGTCCTCCTTAGTTGGATACGCATCAATGCCGATGACAACTGCTCAAAATTGACGACCATCGTGAAGGGGCTAAATTCAAAAAGTTGCTTGTCAGTACTGTAATATCTACCCTGATGACTGCGAGTATACGCTCATACTCACAGCGCTATGACATGCAGCTGGGTCCTCGTTCAGGGGAGGGAAGGCCATACTGAAGAGGGTTTCCGTAAGCCTATCCCCGCGGCTTTATATAGACAGAATCTCGATGGCGTTACTTGTCGCCGGTTCGTTATCTTTGATACATTGAATCGATATATTATTGCGACCAGTGTGAATAGCTACCTGGATCGAGCTGAAAGGAGGCTTTCAAGGGTTAGACTGTACCGTCAAAGAGCGGTAGATTCAGGTAAACGAGTCC